TTCTTTTTTTTTAAGATTTTATTTATTCATGAGAGAGAGAGAGAGAGGCAGAGACACAGGCAGAGGGAGAAGCAGGTTCCATGCAAGGAGCCCGACGTGGGACTTGATCCCAGGACTCCAGGATCACGTCTTGGGCCAAAGGCAGACGCTCAACCGCTTAGCCACCCAGGCATCCCTATTTGGGATATATCTGGTGTGTGTATGGCTAAAACATTCTATTCCATGAGGAGCTATAGCAAGGTTTTGTGCAGCTGTGTGCTGTGTCAGGTGTAGTGAAGGCCGACACGTGTGGCCTGTCCGAGCCTCGGAAAACAACAGCGCCTAGGTCCCATGTAGACCATGAGGATTAAGTGTGATTCCCGTCCAGGTCTGTAAAGCCCACAGAACAGTGCCGTTGTCTACACCACCATCAGAGCATTTGTGAATACTAATATCATTAAGCAAGCACTCTATTCTAGGTGCTGTGCTGAGTGTCTTCATCTATTATTTTATTTAGTAAAATATATATTTTTAAAAATATTTTATTTATTTATTCATGAGAGTCACAGAGAGAGGCAGAGACATAGGCAGAGGGAAAAGCAGGCTCCCTGTGGGGAGCCCAATGCGGGACTTGATCCCAGGACACAGGATCACGCCCTGAGCCAAGGCAGATGCATAACCAGTGTTGGTAGTTTGTATATTTCTAGGGATTTATCCATTTCTTCCAGGTCTCCCAGTGTGCTGGCATATAGTTTTTCATCGTATTCTCTTATAAATGTTTTCCTTTGTGGTGTAGCTATACCCTCTCGCATTTGGGATTTTATTTATTTAGGTCCTTTCTCTTTTCTTGTTGATAAGTCTGGCTAGGACTTGATCCATTTTTTTTACTTAGTTTGATGTCCCAGCTCTTCTTTTTGTTATTCTATTCTAGTGTTTTGTTGTTGCTTCTGTATTATTTATTTGTGGTCTCATCTTTATTATTTCCCTTCTCCTGCCAGCCTTATGCTTTGTTTGCTTCTTCTTTTCTAGCTCCTTTAGGTATAGGATTAGGTTGTGTAATTGAGACTTTTTTTGTGTCTTGAGGTAGGCCTGTATTGCTATGTACTTCCCTCTTCCAACTGCTTTTGCTGCATCCCAGATGTTTGGACAAATATGTTTCCATTTTCATTTGTTTGTTTTTTATGTGAACTTTCCATCTATTTCATTCGTTAAATTTATTTGGAAAAAATATAAAATATATAAGTAATAGGGGCATCCAGCTGGCTTAGTCAGTGGAGCATATGGCTCCTGATATCGGGATCATGAGTTCGAGTCCCACATTGGGTGTAGAGATTTTTTTTTTTAAGATTTTATTTATTTATTCATGAAAGACACACACAGAGAGAGGCAGAGACACAGGCAGAGGGAGAAGCAGGCTCCATGCCAGGAGCCTGATGTGGGACTCGATCCCGGGTCTCCAGGATCACGCCCTGGGCCAAAGGCAGGCGCCAAACCGCTGAGCCACCCAGGGATCCCAGGTGTAGAGATTTTTTAAAAATAAAATCTTTAAGATTTATATAAAACACATAAGATACATACTCTACTACATATTTGTTTTTAATTTTAATTTTTATTTATTTTTTATTTTATGATAGTCACAGAGAGAGAGAAAGAGGCAGAGACACAGGCAGAGAGAGAAGCAGGCTCCATGCACCGGGAGCCCGATGTGGGATTCGATCCTGGGTCTCCAGGATCGCGCCCTGGGCCAAAGGCAGGCGCCAAACCGCTGCGCCACCCAGGGATCCCATACTCTACTACATATTATGAGATGGTATATAAATACATAATATAAAAAAATACATAATATAATGATATACAAGGTGATGTATATTACATTCATTAATATGTTACATATAACATATACTATATTATAAATGTATCATAGATTATAAGTGTTAAATGTTTCTTTGACAATAAGGCTCTGTGTAGAACCCGCAATTACTCTCATTTCATAGGGAGAAAACTGAGGTATGGGGACAGTTGGAGGCTTGTCAGGGAGCATTCCTTTGGCCAGGAGGGATGAACAAAGACCGTCACTGGAAGAGCCCTTGGGGACTGGCAGGCAGGAGGCACGGAAGAGGGCAGGCGGGAGGCCCAGAGGCTAAGTCTAATGAGGGGTGTGTGCATCACAGGGTCAGAACTGGAGCCTCCCCTGCCTACATCTGCCTTCTCCAGGTCACTCCGGGTGATCCTGTGGAGCAGCGTTGCTAAATGGGGAGGTGCAAAGCTCCCCGGATCATCAGTGAGCCTCTCAGGGGGCTGGGGAGGGCCAGAGGCCTGCAGTGTCCCCTCTCACTCTCCTCCCAGAAGACCCAGGTGGCTCTGCAGCCTGACCTTCTGACTGCTTTGCAGTCCCTGTGGCCCCGAGTCCCCAGGGGAGGAACTCCGCTCCAGTCAGACACCAGGGGTCTGTCTCAGGCTGCCTGGGCAGAGGAGAGACAGTGGCCTGGAGTCCCCAGAAATCCTCATAGAATCCTGTGTCTGCCTCTCACTGCCTGCTGGCTAATGCCTCTCCTGCTCCCTGCCTCAGTCTCCCCATCAGTACATTGGAAACCATCATTCTACTCATCCAGGGCTTGTAGGGAGGATTCCACAAAGTCTTGAATTAAAAAAAAAAAAAAAAAGTCATACCTGGCATCTGGCATCTGAGAAAAATTGAATAGTCATCATTGCATTTAATCATTTTAGTTTAGTTTTTTTAAAAATATTTTATTTATTTATTCATGAGAGACACACAGAGAGAGGTAGAGACATAGGCAGAGGGAGAAGCAGGCTCCTCACAGGGAGCCTTATGTGTGACTCGATCCCAGGACCCTGGGATCACGACCTGAGTTGAAGGCAGATGCTCAACCACCGAGCCACCCAGGCATCCTTAATTTTGTTTTTTTGAATAGGTGACATGTGCAGTGCAAAAAGGGGGGGGGCGGGGGGGGTGCTGCCCCGGTGGCACAGTGGCTTGGCGCCGCCTTCAGCCCGGGGTGTGATCCTGGAGACCAGGGATTGAGTCCCGCATGGGGCTCCCTGCATGGAGCCTGCTTCTCCCTCCGTCTGTGTTTCTGCCTCTCTCTCTGTGTCTCTATGAATAAATAAACAACAAAAAATTAAAAAAAATTCAAAGAGTAAAAAAAGGCTCAGCAATAAAAAGTTCCTCCAAAGCCATGTGTTGACATTGATCATTGACCCAACTACACCAGCAACATAGGACTTATCTGGACAAATTGGGGTAAACAGAATAGGACTGGGTATCAGCTGGTTTTCAGGAATTGCTGCTGATGCCTCTAGATGCGACTGATATGGCACTGCAGTAGGGCTGGAAATTATCCTTACTTTCACAGAGATGTAGATCTCAGCATTGCAATAATTTCTCATGACATCTATAGTGTATTTTATATTTAGCTTTTTATGAGGAAAAATGTCCAGCATAACCAAAAATAAAGAGTAAAAGGAATCCCCTTATTTGCACTTTGCAAGGTGAATGCTGTTCCTGTCACAGCATTTCTTTTACCCTACCCTGCACGCATTTTTGGATTTTCTCTTGCTGAAATACCTTAAAACAAGCACCAGGAATCATACCATTTCACCCAAAAACATCTCAGGAGGCTGTAATTAACTTTGAAATACTTCATCCCCCCCCACCCCAAAGAAAACAGAGATAAAGAGAATATTGGAAAAAGTCAACATGTGAAGTCTGGTCAGCACAATGAAGGGTGGTCACTCTGAGGTTCTTTTGACTTTTCTGCACATTTGCAGAACTTTTCACCATCAAACCCCCCAAGAATCAAAGAGCAAAGGAAGTCCTTTCTCTGTCACCTGCTCTATTGCCTGCCTGCATTCCCAGGGGCAACATTGTAGCCAATTTCCCCGGGATCCTTCCAGAGTCTGGATAGCATCCTTGGTGTCTTTATTAATAGCAGGGTTGTAGTAGTAGTGAAACCAAATTGGGCAGAACTCAGGGCTGTGAGTCACTCAGACCTGGCGCAGGTCCCACCAGACACCTCCTCCTGCTCTGACCTTGGGTAAGGAGATCCCAGATTACAACCTCAGTTTCCTGCTCTGTAAACTGGGGATAAATACCCACTCTTTCTGGATGGCTGGGAGGATCCAGGGTAAAGCCCGATTCCAGCCTTTGCCCAGAAACAGTCTCAGGCCAAGTGCCGAGAACACGAAAGAAGTTATTTTCCTCAATGCATCTTTTGGCTATTAGAACTCCTGGGTCTGAGGGAGGAGGGGTTGGGGGCCTGGACTCCTGGGTATGAGGGAGGGGTGCTGGGGGCCTGGACTCCTGGTTATGAGGGAGGGGTGTCTGGGGGTCTGGGCTCCTGGGTTTGAGGGAGGGGGGCTGGGGTCTAGGCTCCTGGGTCTGTGGGAGGGGGGCTGGGGGTCTGGACTCCTGGGTATGAGGGAGGTGGGCTGGGGGTCTGGACTTCAGGGTCTGAGGGAGGAGGGGCTGGGGCCTGGACTCCTGGGTCTGAGGGAGGGGCTGGGACTCTTGGTCAGGGAGAAAGGGTCTGGGGATGGGAATTTGGTGTTACAGAACAGTGCTTTGTGAACTGTCTTCCCAGTTCCAGGAGGCCAGACTCCCATCCCATGGAGGAGGACAGAAAGCATGGACCTCTGGGTCTCCCATCCAATGTAAGGTATGTGAAGGGGCACCGTCTCCCCTTTCTCACTGCCTTCAGACCTGGCCCTTGGGGGTTCACAATATGTTTTGTCCCCTCTGTCCTGGGACCAAAGCCCAGAGTCCAAGCTGGTCTAAGTTTGGAAGGGGGAGGGAGGGGGGCAGCGGGTCAGAGGGGGTGAGGGAGGGGTGGCGGGGGACAGGATGTCTCTGAGCTGTCACACACACCCCTGTCTCCGGCCCAGAGAAGGAGGGACAAAGGCTGTGAGAGAGAGTCAGGAACAAAGACAGGAGGAGGGAGACAGAGAGATACTCAGGAGAGCAGGCCAGAGCGAAACCAAGCAGACAAGTAGTGAATGGGGAGGGCAGGGAACACAGTGTGGAATATCCTGAGTGACAGATGGTGGGGACAGTGTGGGGATGAGACACAGCATCGGGAGACCCACCAAGAGATCTGAGAGCTGGGACAGGGAGGGTGGTGGAGACAGACAGTGGAAGGAAGATAATCAGGAAGGAGGTGTGGGCCGGGAGATTGACAGGACAGTACAGAGGGACACACAGACACCCGGGCTCACAAGGAGGCAGGAGTCCGGCAGAGGACGGCAGAGAAATCCTCTGGCTCCGACAGGCAGAGGGAGACTGAGGCAGATCCTTCAGATAGGTTTTGTACCTTGGCTCTGTGGGGTGAGGATCTGAGAGGTGCAGCAGGACTTGGTGAGCCTAGTAAGGGGGTGCTCGCTCAGGGGCCAGCTGACGCCAGGGACTCTGAAATGGAGCTCAGGGAGCCCAAGAACCCTGAGGATGGGGACCCAGAGGTGAGAGGTGGGAGACAAGGGAAAGAGAGAGACAGAGAAACAGAGTCAGAGAGAGACATGAAGAGGGACAGTGAACAAACACACAGAGAGAAATGGAGAAGACAGGGAAATAGAGCAACAGCAGAGACCCAGAGTAACACAAACCCGAGAACACAGAGCAAGACCGAAGCCTCCTGGGCAGTGGCCTCAGAAACAGAGTGGGAAGCACAGAGACAGAGTGGACAGTGGGGGTTGTGTCAGCTGAGGAAGCAATTGCAGCAGGGGCCAGGGGCTCCTGGGGGTTCTCACAGAAGGTGGTGGGCAGGGTCTTTGACACAATCACCCCTAACCCTGCCAGGACACAAAAACAGGTGGCCCGAGGCCGGTGAGTCATTGTGACTCATCCTGCTCCCTGAGGACAATGACCCTATCACCCTGGCACCCCAACTCAGTCCTGGGCTGGACCCACTTTTGTGGTGGCCCCCACACATACACCCTCCTCACCTCTGCTCCTTTCCTCCAGGAGGACACAGCTACGGCCCTCCAACGGCTTGTGGAGCTGACAGCCACCAGGGTGACCCCAGTGAGGAATCTGCGTGTCCAGTACCGCCTCATCCGAAAGCTCGGCTCTGGCTCCTATGGCCGCGTACTCCTTGCCCGGCCTCGCCAAGGAGGTGAGTTTGGCCACCCAAGGGCAGACTCCAGAACTTCCCCATAATAGGGTTCTCAGAAGCTACTGAGGCCGGGTACATCCCCAGGAGATGATGGGAATCCTTGATGGGGGCTCTTGGAAAGTTAAGAACTTTCTGATCTTCTAATAAACAGAGTTAACCCAAAGAAGGTGAGAGCCTTGCTTGAGGTCACATAGCAAGGGAGGAGTGCAACTTGGATTGGAACCCAAGTCATCATGTCACCTACTCTATTCAAGAGAAAACTGAGGCTCAAAGAGGGTCAGGCAGTTGTACAAGGCCACACAGCAGAATAGGGAGTCCTCAGGGAAGGTCACCTTCAACCCCGACTTCACACAAGGACAAACTGGAAGCAGAGAGAGGTCAGGCACTATACCCTGCCACTATTGTTTTACACACAAAATATCTGAGGTTCCAAGAGGTTGGGCAGTTTGCCTAAGGCCCCACAGCAAGATCAGAGCTCCCTGAGTTCCCTTCTGCACCCATCTCCCTGGCAGGTTCTGCTGTGGCTCTGAAGCTCCTGCGTCGGGACTCGGTCCTGAGAAGTACCTTCCTGAGAGAGTTCTGTGTGGGCCGCTGTGTCTCATCACACCCAGGTTTACTCCAGACCCTGGCAGGACCCTTGCAGACCCCCCGACACTTCGCTTTCGCCCAGGAGTACGCACCATATGGGGACCTCAGCGGGATGCTGCAAGAACAGGTGAGGTGGGTAGGGAGCAAAGGTCAGGACTGCTTATCCCATGTACAACTCTGTCCCTACCCCGTTCCTATGTCTAATCCTGACATCCAAATCAGTGCTCAACGTAGCTCTGCTCTAAGCCCCCAGACACCCTCCTTATTTCTCTCTCTCTCTTTTTTAAAGATTTTATTTATTTATTCACGAGAGACACAGAAAGAGAGAGGCAGAGACATAGGCAGAGGGAGAAGCAGGCTCCATGCAGGGAGCCCAATATGGGACTCGATCCCAGAACTCCAGGATCACACCCTGAGCTGAAGGCAGATGCTCAACCACTGAGCCACTCAGGCATCCCTTTATTTCTAACTCTTGATGCAATCCCATGCCTAACCCTAACCTAACCCACCCAACCATTCCAACACAAGTTTGCATGGGCACAGGCTTGGAATTGGGGCTGAGAATGAGGTTAGGGGTGGGATTTTAGTTAGCCCTGGGATTGGGAGCATGGGCATGGGTGAAGTTGAGTGGGTTGATTATAGATTGGTAGTGGGTGTGAAAAGCATGGATGGAGTTGCAGAGTGAGACAGGGATGGTTAAGGGTAAGTATACGGAATAAGTTGAAGATTGGCTGTAGTGAAGTTCTTTTTGGTGAGAAGACCAGGTGAGGACTGAATCCATGAAATTCTGAGAGTACATGAGTTTGGAGACTAGGGGTGGGGCCATCTTTAGAAATAGTTTTTTTTTTTTAAGATTTCATTTATTTATTCATGAGAGACACAGAGAGAAGGTAGAGACATAGGCAGAGGGAGAAGCAGGCTCCTTGCAGGGAGCCCGATGTGGGACTCCATCCCGGAATCCGGGACCACGCCCTGAGCCGAAGGCAGATGCCCAACTGCTGAGCCACCCAGGTGTCCCTAAAGAAATAGACTTTGGATTTGAGATAGGGTTGGAGATAAACAGAGGGAAATAAAGAAGGGGGGAGATAGATGAATGGGTAGAGATAGATGGATGGATGGAAAGATGGGTGGATGGGTGGATTGATGGGTGGGTGGATGGGTGGATAGACAGATAGATGGAAAGATGGGTGGATGGGTGAGTGGGTGGATGGAAATATGGGTGGATAGGTTGGTGGGTGAGTGGATGGATGGATGGAAAGATGGGTGGATGGTGGATAGATGAAAAGATGGATTGATGGGTGGGTAGATGGATGGCTGGCTGGATGGAATGCATGGTAGATAAATGGAAGGAAGCAAGGAAGAATTAATGGATAGATTTTGGATATTAAATAATTGAAAACATTATTGGGTTTCTGACTGGCTGGTAGAATGGATGTTAAGCAGAAACCCTGTTGTGTAGACTGCTGAATGGATGAGTGGTTTGATGGATGGATTGCTGGCTAGCTGCCTAGCTAGCTGGATGGATAGATTTATCAATCCAATGGTGAAGTTAGTAAAATGACTTCAGAATGGTGTGTGAGTTAGAGACCAAGGAACAAAAATTAGGATTAAGTATGAGATTTGGGTTCCCATTGGAGATCTGGGTGATCAGGCTAGAGATAAGAAATGTGAGGAGGGGGTTTGAGTGTTAGCGTGAGGAGAAAGCTTGGTGGAAGCTAAAAGAGCTTATGGTTCAGTGACAACATACTGGGGGCTGGAGTGCAGAGTTAGCAGCAGGTTGTGGCTGAGGGTGATCTGGAGAAGGCTGAGGGACACTAGAGGTAGCCATTGGTCTGAGGTTATGAATTCTTGAGCCCTAAGAAACAAAATAAAGAAGGAGCCAAGGCACCTGACTTTCATCTCTCCTTGACTCCAGGGCCTCCCAGAGCTTCTGGTGAAGCGGGTGATGGCCCAGCTGGCTGGAGCCCTGGACTTTCTCCACAGCCGGGGGCTGGTCCATGCAGATGTCAAGCCAGACAACGTGCTGGTCTTTGACCCCGTCTGCAGCCGTGTGGCCCTAGGTGACCTGGGTCTGACCCGGCCCGAGGGGAGTGCAACCCCTGCACCACCAGGGCCACTGCCCTCTGCCCCCCCAGAGCTCTGCCTCCTGCTGCCACCTGATACCCTGCCCCTGCGACCAGCTATGGACTCCTGGGGCCTGGGGGTGCTTCTCTTCTGCACTGCCACTGCCTGTTTCCCTTGGGATGTAGCACTGGCCCCTGACCCTGAATTTGAGGCCTTTGCTGGCTGGATGACCACCAGACCCCAACCACCGCGACCACCCCCACCTTGGGACCAGTTTGCACCCCCAGCCCTGGCATTGCTCCAGGGGCTTCTAGACCTGGATCCTGAGACTAGGAGCCCCCCACTGGCTGTCCTGGACTTCTTGGGGGATGACTGGGGTTTAGAGAGGAACAGAGAGGGATCTGGGGGTTGGGGGGTTACATCTAGTGAAGATGGGGAGGAGGAGGAAGACCAGGAAGCAAGCCTAGAGGAGTGGACAGAGGAGGAAGAGGAGGATGACAAAGACGGCAGGAGGATGGGGACAGATAGGGGATCTCCCTGACCAGGTGACTGGGACAAGTGGTCAGAGCCTGGGCCAACGGCCCCTCCCCCAGCACCCGCCCTCCCCGTCCTGGCCACCTGGATGGAGACAGCTGCTCCCAGGAGGACAGAGATGGAACATGTTGCGTCTCTCCCTGCTGAGGGCTGGACTGCGATACACAATGCCCCTCTCAGCTGAAGACATGGGAGGCCTCCTGCCTCAGACCTGGGAGTCCAGGACCCCAGCTCCTCCTCCCTCAGATCCTGGAGTCCAGGGCTCCTGCCTTCTCCTCTGTCAAGGACTCTGCCTCTTCCTTCTGCTGTGAATATGTCTGCTTGAAGGAAGGCACTGCTTCCCCTACAGATGCATTTCCTCCGTGCAGGCACATGCTAAGTGCCTATCTTGGAGTTCTGATGGGGTCATTCCTCACTGAGACCTGGTTGACTCTCACTGTCCACAGCACTAAATCTGGGCTTTCAAGATCCAGCACCATAGAAACCTCACCCTCTACCTCTTCCATTTCCCTGGGCTCCAGGAAAGTGGAGTGACATTGGGAAATCATTCATCCTTTCTGGACCTACACACACACACACACACACACACACACACACACACACACACTCATTTTCCTGCCAGCAGTCATCTGCAAATCCAGTGTCCTCCTCTGAGAATGTTTTTCTCATAGCTCCATGCCTCTGAGACGTGGCCTGTCCCCAGGCCCTTGGGATCTTGTACCCAGATGATCTATGTCTCCCATCTTTTTCGGCCTCACCTGTCCACCTGTTCAGGACAGCCTCTGTTTTTTTCTCATTTCAACATCCTTTCAGTTCTTCTTGCACATGACAAGTGCCCCGTGCCAGCTCCCAATCAGCCTGGACCACCAAGGTGTGTGATCTTCCCAGCTTTGTGGGCCTTGGAGCCAGCTTTCCATGCTGGTACGGATGAGCTGATACTCACCTGCTCCAGCTCGGAGCTGTCACACCGCCCCACACGGCCCCACACCGCCACCTCCAGCTCAGAGCAGGACACTTTACATCTGCGGAGCAGGGGCGGCAGGCATGGGGCGGCAGGCATCTGACGCCATGGCCCCATCCCCAGCACAGGGTCGGGGACAGGGAACTGCTCCCTCCAGGGGAGTCTGTCCTATGTACTTTCTAGACTTAAAAATGTGGGTTCACTAAAGCACAGTGGGGCACCCTGGATCAGACCCCGGGAGAGCAGAAGGTTGTTGGCAGAAGCACTGGTAAGACAGGCAGGGTCTAGTGTCTGACACCATTTCTTTGTTTGGACAAACATGCCATTGGCTGCGTGAGATACGAACCTGTTGGGGAGCTGGGGACGGCCTGGCAGTTCTCTGCACAATCCTTCCAGCTGTTCTGGAAATCAATAATTATTCTGAAATAAAAGGTTTATTCTTTAAAAATTAAGTGTGTTCACAGTCATCATCTTACTGTAACCGCAGGAGTGGATGCATCATTCCAGGCCCACAGCCTCTCCTCCATCAGACCCAGGGGTTCCCGCCTAGCCCTCCCACCAAATCTGAAGTCTGCAGACTCCGAACTCAGACCTCCCCTCCCCACTCCTCCCAGTTGCTCCACCACCTGCTTCCCCTCTGCCCCAAGTCTGAGATCATCTCTCACTGCATCGTTCTGGAATCTGGTTGTCTCATCCTTTCTCCAAACAGGACCCCAGTGTCCCATCCCCTGGACACCCCTCGCGGAACACTTGTGTCTGACCTGTTAATGGGGCATTGATGGGGCAGCTGGGTGGGGTCAAGGCAGGGACAAACTAGAGAAGTGATTTCATCTTCTACAGGGGCCTGGACTCCTGGTCTGAAGGAGGAGGGGCTGGGAGCCTGGACTCCAGGGTCTGAGGGAGGAAGGGGCTGGGGACCTGGATTCCAGGGTCTGAGGGAGGAGGGGGCTGGGGAACCTGGACTCCAGGGTCTGAGGGAGGAGGGCCTGGGGGTCTGAACTCCTGGGTCTGAGGGAGGAGGAGGCTGGGGGCCTGGACTCCTGGGTCTGAGGGAGGAGGAGGCTGGGGACCTGGTCTCCCGGGTCTGAGGGAGGACGGGGCTGGGGCCTGGACGCCTGGGTCTGAGAATGGACGGGGCTCTGGGGCCTAGGTCTGCGACATTATTTCTGGCGGTAGCCAGTTCTAGGAGTCAACACACGATGTCGCTCTGGCCCTAGTGGGGTGGAAGGGGCGGGGCTGGGGCGGGGCTTAAGACCCCCTAGGTGGGGGCGGGGTCTGCTCCTGGGCAGGCCTCTGCTGGCATGGGATCTAGTGCTGGGCACTGACCACGGCAGGCAGCGAAGGGTCAGGCAAGCTTTGGAGGAGGTGAGGTTTGGAGGCCGGAGCCCAGGTCAGGAGGCGGCAAGGGTTAAACAGCCTGAGGTGGGCACCACCTGATAGTGAAGCCGCACAGCTGGCCAAAGTCCTGGGATCCTCAGAGGGAGGCTGTTGACTGCTTGAGTGTTAGGGAAACAGAGTCTGGGAGTCATGAGATGTGTGAGTTGTGTAAGGTTCCAGGAGAGGGACTGGCTGATGGTCCAGACTGCTGGTCTGATGGAGGAGGGGGTGGGGGACTGGGTCTGAGGGAGGAGGGGCTGGTGGTCCAGACTCCTGGGTCAGAGGGAGGAGGGGGTGGGGGACCTGCACACTAGGGTCTGAGGGAGGAGGGACTGGGGGCCTGGACTCCTGGGTCTGAGGGAGGAGGGGCTGAAGCTGTAGGAGGTGGACCTAGGTGTCTCAAGGACTTGGCACTCCCAAGTGCTTCCTCCCATCCAGGTCCCAGGCGTCCCCCAAGGCCTGGTGTGCACAGCCGCCCTCCCCAGCCCCTGGAGGCAGAGAGCACCTGTTTGCTCTTAGGAGAAAGAGGCTACTCATCCACCCCCGGGGCCCAAGTCTGTTTGCTTTGGAAACAAGGTGGGGGGGTGTCTGGAGTTATCTGGTTCATCTTTCACCCTTGGGCCATTGGGTGGTGCCAGGATGTGGGGGCGGGGGCAAGAGACATCTGTGACCTTAGGCTTGACCTCACCCCATCCAGCAACTGGTCTTCCCACTCCTCAGACACCTCTAACAAAGAGGGAGACTGAGTCACAATGTTAAGTGCTAATGAGCCCCCAGCCCCTCCTCCCTCAGACCCAGGATTCCAGGCCCCCAGCCCCCTCCTCCCTCAGACTCAGGAGTCCAGGCCCCCAGCGCCGCCTCCCTTGGGACCCAGGCCTAGCAGGACCTGGGTCCTGGGTCACTGTCTCTACTCTGCCCTGCAGAGATGCCCGGCAGACAGTCAGATGAGGAACTGGTGGAGGCAGGGGCTGCTGAACACGTGGCTGAGGAGAACCTAGGGGGCCTCACGGCAGAGGAGCTGCGGCAGGGCCAGGAGGCAGCCCTGGAGCTAGAGGACATGATGGCGCTAAGTGCCCAGACCCTGGTCCAAGCCGAGGTGGATGAGCTCTACCAGCAAGTTCGTCCCCTGGGCCAGGGCCGCTTTGGCCGGGTCCTGCTGGTCACCCATCGTCAGAAAGGTACCTGGGCCTGGAGACAGATGCAGGAGGGTCAGTGGGTGGGGGGTGGGCCAGGACAGATGCTGACCAAGGCGCAGGAGTCTAAACATGAATCAAGTGTTGCCTCTGCTCCTTCTGGGCTGTGTGTTCTTGGGAATCTCCCCTATCCTCTCTGAGCCTCAGCCTCCTCATTCAAAAATGTGGGTGATGATTCCTTCTATGTAAAAACTGTGATTCTCTGAGCATTTGTACATGGGCCTAGTTGCCTGTGAGAAAGGGGACTGAGTCCCCTCCCCCATAGCCCTGATGTGTGGCTAGCTTAGCGGTCACCATGGGGATGATTCGGAGCCATGGCCTCTGCCAGACACTTAGCAAGACCAGTGCATGTGGCTGTGCAGCACATGGTCCCCCCACTCATACTTTCCTGCCAAGTGTGCACACATCCTCTGTTCCTCCCCTGAGACAGGCATAGTATGGATGGAACTCAGAGCCACAGTCATCTCAGGACACTCCTAACAAGGCAACCTTGGGGGCTCTGCTCTGTCCTGAGTGGTTCGTGCTTGGAACCCAGAGCTGAATGCGTGAGGCATGCCTTCAAGGAGGAGCTCCGGCGTGGACAGGGAAAGTGCCAGTGTGCTCAGACTGCCACAGCAAAGCCCACTCACTGTGGAGGCTGACACTGAGACCTTTGTTTTTCCGTGGTCCTGGATGGAGGCCGGAAGTCCGGCTCCAGGTTTGGGCAGGGCTGCTTCGCCCAGGGCCTCTCTCCTCTCTCGTCCCGTCCCGTTGTATTCGCATGGCATTTCTGGGTCCAGTTTCCTCTTTTTGTGAGGACACCAGTCACAGAGGACCAGGGTTAGTCCATCCTGTAGTGACCTCATGTTAGCACTTCCAAGACTCTGTCTCCAAATAGTTATATTCTGCGGAACTGGCAGTGAGGACTTCCACATGTGGATTTGGAGAGGCACAGTTCAGACCACATCAGAGACAGATGCCAAGAGCAAGAGATCCAGATGCAGGTCGTCACAGGACTTGGGGGCATAAGCATTAAGAGGGGAATAAGGCTGTGCTTCCTTCAGCCTCTGGATGCCGGTCCCTGGGCTGGGAGGTGCCAGGGCCAAGAGCTCACAGCAGAGGGACAGATGCCATCAAACAGAAGGTGGCATGTGCCATGATGGCGGAAGTCCAGGGCGTCCCAGATGCTTAGGAAAGGCACTGGTGCATCCAGCTGGGGAATGGAAGGAAAATAGTCAGTGTTTCAGAGGAGGAGGTGACCTTTTTCCATCACTCACTCCTTCCTGATGAGGAAGGTGAGCGGGTGACCACGCAGGTGAAGAAAGCAGAGTTCCTGCCTCCAGGGCACTTACACTCCAGGACATCATTTGCATAATGATTCCTTGATAGGATCAAGTCCCCAGGACAGGGCATCTTTTCTGCTACTGCCTTCACAGTGGCTTTTGGGCAAATGTGAGGTCGTTTGAAGTTCCCCTTCCATCTGCTCCAAGACAGCAGAGCTGAAACTCACCAAATGCTGCATTATTATTATTATTAATTACCACTGGCAGTGTTTTCGTGGCCACGCTGTGTTTCTGGTAGTGCAGCAGGGAGGCAGGGTTTGGAGGAGGTGGCGATGGCATGTGGAAAAGAGCCCAGGCTGGGGAGGGATGGGGGGAGGGGGGCGGACAGGGAGACCCTTGGCTCTCACACTCCCTCTGCACCTGCCCCTGTTGCCCCCAGGCACTACTCTGGCACTGAAGCAACTCCCAAAGGCCTCCACTTCTCTCCGTGGCTTCCTGTACGAGTTCTGCGTGGGCCTCTCATTGGGCGCGCATTCAGCTATAGTAGCGGCCTACGGCATTGGCATCGAGTCAGCTGACTTCTACAGCTTCTTGACGGAGCCTGTCCTGTATGGGGACCTCATCACCTTCATCCAGCCCAAGGTGGGTAGGTGAGCAGGCCCTTGCGGGCCCCTCATTGGGCCTCTCTGGAGTTCGCCGACACCACAGAACCAACACTATACCCTAGTGAGATTTGCCTGGCCCGTGGATTCACCCCAGACTTCACTGGGGTTCAGTGGGCCTCAAGGGGATCACACTAGACCTCCCCAGGGCTCACGGTGCCTCACAGGGTCCCCCTAGCCCTCTCAGGGTCACACTAACCCTCAGAGGGTCATACTGGGTCTCACAGGGTCCACCCGGTGCTCACAGGGTCCCATTGGCCCTCAGAAGGTCCCACTGGCCCTCAGTGGATCGATCCCACTAGCCCTCATAGGGTCCCACTGGCCCTCAGGGGGGTCCCACTGGACCTCCCCATGGCACGTCTGTGGAGGCCCTTCATCCTCCTGGGCTCCCCAGGACTGAGGAGCAGCTCTGTGGCCTCAGCCCTGGGCCAGCTGCCCAGGGAGGGGCAGAAGGCCCTGATGCCACTCCCCCACAGGTGGGCCTCCCGCAGCAGGCAGTCCAGCGCTGTGCAGCCCAGCTGGCCTCGGCCCTGGAGCACATTCACTCCCGCGGCCTGGTGTACCGGGATATCAAGCCGGAGAACGTGCTGGTGTGTGACCCAGCCTGCCGGCAGGTCAAGCTCACCGACTTCGGCCACACAAGGCCCCGGGGGACTCTGCTGCGCCTGGCAGGGCCACCCATCCCCTACACGGCCCCTGAGCTCTGCTGCCCCCCGCCCTTCCCCGAAGGCCTGCCCATCCAACCCGCCCTGGACGCTTGGGCACTGGGGGTCCTGCTCTTCTGCCTCCTCACTGGCTACTTCCCCTGGGACCAGCCCCTGGCTGAGGCTGACCCCTTCTACGAGGACTTCCTCATGTGGCAGGCGTCCCGCCAACCTGAGGACCGTCCTCAGCCCTGGTTCGGCCTGACGCCTGTGGCAGACAGTCTCCTGTGGGGGCTGCTGGACCCTCACCCCCGGAAGAGGTGCCCCGTGAGCTCCATTCGGGGCTACCTAGGGCGTCCCTGGAGGCAGCGGGAGGAGGAAGCTGAAGAGGGGGAGGAGGGGGGCGAGGAGGAGGTTGGAGAGTTGGGGGGACAGCCCGAGCCTACCTTGGCTGTGGAAACTCAGGAAGGGAACTGGGTGGGCCCTACCTCCTGAGGTCACCTCCGCCTTCTTGAGGGGGCTTTTTGGCTCCTCCTTTGCCCATTTTCTCCTTTATACCTTCCTTACCTCCCACAAGGGCATCCTGTGTCCCTCCCATGGCCTGGGGGGCGGGGGGCGGGCAGAGACCACTGCATGTCTCTTCTGCATCCTTATTCTCCCCAGGGCTTTGGCACCTGCTGTTCCTCCCCTTGCCTGCAGTCTTGTGGCTCCCTCCTTTGCCTCCCGCACACCATGGATGCCTCCACGGCACCTGCTCTGTGAGGCCTGCCCTCAGCACGCATGAGGCCCCAAGTCCCCACTGCCCCCATGCTCCCGGTGCTACCCCCCCCCCCCGCTGCCGTGTGATGCTCCTCCCTTTCCAGCTGTCCAGGAAGGCCCCTATGGATCCTCCATGCACCCTGCTGTTGGGGTAGGGACCTGGTTTGTCCTGTGAGGTGCCTTCCTGTAGCTGGAGCAGTCCTGACCCAAGGGAAGGAAGGGGCCAGGAAACATTTGCTCAATAAATGAACCCATCTGGTTTTGTGCCGCTGCCTCTGTGTCCCTGTCTCCCTGCCCTCTCTGGCCTCCCTGGTTGGGTTTCTTTCTCCTCAGCCTGTGTCTTCTGCCCACATGCCTGGCCGTAGCCCTCGTGATAATGTGCCCTCTCTTCTCTCACCCAACTTCATCTGGTACTTGGGCCTCCATGATGCAGCTGGTCTGCCAGCTTGGGGAAGAGGAGGACAGTGTACATGGGTGAACACTGGACAGCATGTCGTCAGGAAGAGAAATGGAGCATGTGGCAGAAAATGGTCCCATGGCGTGGCCACACTGCATGCCAGAAGCTGGCCGCGGGGTGTTTGTGAGCATGTGCTGCTGGTTGTCAGGACAGTGTGAGCTCGTTTCCGCATGGACCAGTGTGTGGGCAGAGGCACTGAGCATCACCGCTGTCCATGCATAGCAGCTTCGGCTGGACTGGAGTGTGAATTTCTACACATTTGTGTGTCCATGAGTGTCTGAGCCCATGAGTATGCAGGAGTAAGGGTGCGTGGGGAAGAGATGGTGAAAGTGTGACTGTGTCTCACTGTGTGGATGACGTGATTGTGTGTGTCTGAGTGTTGTGTGTAAGGGGACAGCATGGAAGTTTGCGGGCACCTTGCTCTGTGTGTGTGGACGTCAGGCCCGTGTTTGTGCGTACAGGAGACCGTGAGTATGTGTGTGTAGCAGAAGGAGGAATGTCACCCAGGCACCGCTGCCAGTCACCAGCTGGGCCCGTCTCTCCTTCACACCTTCCCCCCTCACCCTGGCCCCTTCTTGGCAGCTGCCCTGTTTGCAAACACTCTGTCTTCCTCTCCTCGCCTTCTTTGGCCACCAGCCCAGAGCAAGGCTACAACTCAGAGCTGGATCAAGTGTCACTCTCTCCCAGGCCCCTACCACCCCCTACAGTGCCCCTGCGGTGGCCTCCAGAGTGTTGCCTGGACTGGGGAGGGGGGTGTTAACAGCATCTGTGCAGTGACCCCAAAGACCTTTGAATCTAGTTTCAATCCAGAGGACTAGGGACACTGGCCACTGTCCTGGGCAATCCAGGTGAGCTTCCTGGAGTAGGGGGTCATTGTAGAGAACAATATAGGGAGGTAAGGGTGGGGAACATGATCAGAACCTCCTGCCATCTTATCTGTGAATCTGAAATAGCCTGAGTCATAGGGCCAAGAATGTGTCCCCAAAAAGCTGGAGGCCGCCAGGGCAGGGTAGAGCTGAAAAGAGGGAAGTGTAGATGGGCAGGGGCAGGCAGGAGCAGAGGAGTCTGCAGAGGGTGTTAACTGGTGGCAGCAGCTGAGGATTAACTGGGAGGTGATAATGACCCAGTGGGGGGCCCCAGGGCAGCCAACAAAAGTTCCCAGGCAGGGCCTGAAGGGGGCAGGAGCAGTGCTAATTAAGTATTTATTACTTAATTAAAACTTAATACTAATCATAATACTTAACACCAACAAAGCAGTTTGCTCCTTGAGCAGCCCCCCTGGCACACACATCTGCTCACTTCCTAGGATCCTCCTCATTTCATGGGTGGGGGCTGTGGGGGCCACAGGTGCTGCTTGGGCAGCCAAGGTAGTGCCTGATCTCCTACTGTGGGGTAGGGGCAGGAGCAGAGCTGGGATTCAAACCCAGATTGGGTCCCGCCCAGGCTCCATGCTATTTAACTTCAGGGTGTCCCACTGCCATCCATGGCCGAAGGGGTCCCACACGGGGGGTGGGGGTGCATGTGAGGGGACGCATACTGGTATACCCATGCGTGTGAGTGTGCAAGGCTGAGCGTGTGTGTGCATGAGGGGCTGTAAGGTGGCCATCCCCCCCCCCCCCCCGGGAAGACACAGGTGTTGGGGAAGGTAAACCAGGGAGACAAAAGAGGGGGATCTCAGAAGCCTCCAGACCCACTTAGGCATGCTAGTGAGGACATGGAGAGGCTGGGACCCTCCTCATGCAGCACTGGGGGGTTGAGAATGAAATAAATGGTGCAGCCACCATGGGAGACAGGCTGGCGTTCTGTCAGAACGTTAGACACAGAATCACCACGTAGCCCAGCAATTCCACTCCCAGGTTTGTGCCCACGAGCAGTGGAAGCATGCATCCACAGATATTCATAGTGACATTACTCACAATAACCAACACATGGAGACAACCCAAATGTCCATCAGCAGCTGAGCAGGGAAACACAAGGCGGTCCATCCAGACTCTGGAATACTACTGGGCCACGGAAAGGAAGGAAACACTGACACATGGCACATGGCGAGTGGGCCTCCCAAACACCATGGGATGAGAGAGAAGCCAGTGGTGGAGGATGAGCCATTGTAGGACTCCATTTTGGAAATATCCAGAACAGGCAAATCTACAGAGAAGGAAAGGCTACTGGCTGCTGGGGGTGGGGCTGTCGGGGAGAGCTGAAGAATGGCTGCTAAGGGGCCTGGCTTTCCTTCTTGGGTGTGGTGATGGTGGTAGAATTGCTCTAAAATTAGATTGTGGTGAGTGTTGCACAACTCTTTCAATATATTAAAAACCACTGAATTGTACATGGGAGAATGGTGAATTTCATGGCATGTGGATTTCATCTCAATGAGGCTAAAAAGCCACAAAACAGACATTTCCAAGGTTCTCATGCCTTGATCAGTTTCTTTCCTTCTCTGGGCCTCTGAATTCCCAACCAGGAGAAAAGAGAAAACCCTGTCCTCCTTCTAATAGCTCTGAATTAATCACAAACCAAGCCCTAGATGCAAGACCCACTCCTTACTCCTTCCTCCGTTTTACAGAAAAGACCACTGAGGCCCCAGTGGGGAGGAACCTACTTTCTGAAGGCCTGCAAGTCTAAAGGTAGAAGAGTCTGAGTTCAAATCCAGCTCTGGCCTGATTCCAAAGTCTTTGCTTTTCTCCCCAGCCCAGTACCTGTAAAATGTACCTGGGCTGGTGGTCACCAAGGAAGCTCTGCTCCCCCAGCTGGGGAACCTCAAACTTGCAAGCAGTACCACATGGGGTTTCTTGTTCCCAAAAAAGTTTTTCCTTTATCTCTCCCTTTCTGCCATTTGTTATTGAATGCCATGCCCTGGCCTGGATCTAGAGCATAGAGCCTCTCACTGAGAGACCCTCCTAGGGGATGAGGCCGGGCATCCAGCCACCAGAACTCACATCAGGGAAATGACTTTTCATGAGCCTGGGCTCCAGGCACCCAGAACATGCTTCTATCCCATCGACTTCATGTAGAAAACACAGAATCAAAAATCAAGAAGAGCGTCAGGACCTGTTAGGGCAGAGTGTTAAACTAACCCAGCTGCACCCACCCTGCCATCCTGCTTGCAGCGGGGAAGGAGCTTGCCCTGGGCCAGAGGGGGCCAGCCTGGCAAGGCCTCTACAAACAAGCAGTTCTGTGCTAGTACATAGATAAAGCAAATGGCTTGAGCAGCACTTCTCAGACGTGAACAGCAGCCAACCATAAATCACCTGCTGCCTCGTTAAAACGCGGGTTCTGATCCTGTGGGTCTGAGGCAGTGCTGGTGAGGAAGGGGTCGCAGTTGCTGGTACAAAGGACATAGAGTACTGCCCTGGCATCCTAGCAAAACTCTAATTAATGCTAACCGTTTGTCCGCTGGATATTTTGGGGTTTTCTACATGGACAGTCATATCACCCACAGGAAAGGACAGATCTGTGTCTTTCTTTCCACCCTTCCTGTGATTGAGGAAGTCCCCCCTTCCCCTACTCTGCTAGGAAGGTATGTGTGTGTGCACGCGTGAGCATGTGTCAACCGTGGACGGGTGTTTAGTTTTGTCAACTGTTTTTTCTGCATCAGTCAAGCTGCTAGGCCTCTGTAGCTACTGTTCTGGGCTTGTTGCAAGCTGGCAGGCACAGGATAGGGCTCAGCTGTCCCTCGGGAGGTATCTGGGTCAGGGCCAGCAATAGGTGGGGGCTGGCCACCACCCTGGCCCTGGGCCCTGGGGCCAGATGTTTGGGCTTAGCTGCCTGGCCAAGCAGGGATAGAGTGACCGGATAATTAAGCACCGCTTCTTTGGGGCTGGCAGAAGGCAGCAGAGGGTGGAGGGACCTGGGGCCAGGGTGCCCAACAGCCCTCCCCCCTCAACTCTGGCTAACAGACAGGGGTCTAGAGCCTAAACCCCCAGTGGGGCCCTCTGGGGGGGAACCAGAGTTGGGGTGCATCTTCTCCCAACTGCAAATGGGAAAGTAGAACTTTGGCCTACAGGTTGGTGTGCTGTCCTCTGAGCCCCTGACTGCCTAGGAAGGCAAGGGGCAGGCAGGCAGGGGCCCCCTCAGCCCTCCCCGTTTACCAGTCAGCAGTTTTTTTTAAGTCTGGGGCTTAGTAAGACCCAGGGAACAGGATTCTGTGCGTGTTCCTTTGCCTGTTGGCGGAGGCAGACAGTCCATCTATCAGGACCCCCAGACATTATCCCTCCCTGCCCCCAACCAGTAACTGGACCCTGCTGGCCTTTGCAGGACTGCGGGGGCGCCAGCTCCATGACCTTCCAGGACCTCTGAGCCAGGCTTCAGACTGAGGAGAGGAGGAGGAGGGAACGGTCTCCTGTCTGAGGCCACAGTAACTGAAATTGGAGCTGGGAGTCTTATAAGACGGCCCCCAGTTTACAGGCGGAGATCCAGAGAGGGGAAGGGGCCCACTCAAGGTCACTCAGAGAGGAGCCGTCATGGGAGTCTTAATGTAGAACCTCAGGGCAAGATCATATGCCTCATATTATTCTGGGTTTGAGTTCCCATGCTGCTGTGTGACCTTAGGCAAGGAACTTTCCCTCTCTGAGCTTCAAGGTCTTTTCTGAAATGGGAATCAAGTGCCCCCCTCAAGGGCTGTAGTGAGGATGAGTGTTACCATGTTAAGAGGCCACACTGGGTCAGGTGCAGGGAAGCAGTCAAGAAGTGACCATGAATATTCTTGTTAACTGAGCACATGATCTGCTGAGCTCTGTCCTTCCCACACTATCTCATCTAATCCTCACAACTATCACCACCCCAGAGGCAGGCACTATTACTATCCCCATATACCTTGGGGGAGACTGAGGTTCAGGGAAAGGAAACAAACCACCAGAGTTCCACCGCCTGGACATGGTCTGGAGTCCAGGATAGTCTGACTTCTGAGCAAGATCACAGGGTACTGATCATGGCTCCACTACATGTTCCCTGGGTGACCTGGGACCTCAGTGTCCTGATCTGTAAAATGGAGATAAATACATAACAGCTATCACAGAATGAGCACTTATTGACAGCCAGGCTCTGTGCTAAGCTCTCTTACATGTGTATTAATTTATCAGTTAATCGGCACAGCGAACCATGAAGTTTGTTCTTATGATCCCCTTTCAAGGCTGGAAAAACTCAGACCAAGCAGTTAAGTAACTGGCTCAGGTTCATGCCCGGCTCCAAAGCTCACCCCTTCTCTGCTGAGCTGTGGTAACAGTACCCTTCTCAGCAGGTGTTCATGAAGATAAAGTGACGTTGTGCACATAAAGCCTTTAAAACAGACCCTGACCCAGAAGTACCCCAAAACTCTTAGTCATTATTATTATTGTCACGTACTCATTCATTCAAAAGGTATTTATGGAGTGTGCACTCTGTGTCAGGCTCTGTTCTAAGACCTGGGCAAATACCTGTGAACCAGGCAAAGACTTTTGCCATCACGGGGCTGCATTAATGCCTATGGTGGCATCATCTTCATTACCACTAACTCTATCATGGTCTTCATCACCATGATCATCACCACCATGCCTATGACCATGATCACCTTCATCATCATCACTTCCATTGTCATCATCATCACTACCACCATGGTCAACATTACTTCCCTCACCAACATCATTGTCACCACTGTCATTACCATCATCACCATTATCATTGCCATTATTAAACTCACCATCATCATTCTCACAGCCATAACCACTATGACCATCATGATCATGACCCATATCACCAACACCATCACCATAAACATCATTGCCTTGCATGATGCCTGTGGTATTCACAAACCAAGATCAATCTAGTGACTCCATCTCTCTGGAGTTCCCCTAAATCCCCACAAATGTCATTGATATCTTGTTTTTAATTAGATACTTTGGTTTTAATTTTTTGGTTGGCTGTGTCTTAGCCCCTCAAATCCCATATAGGGTCACACATCTCCCCTCAGAGGCCTTTCTTCCTCTTCTGGGGTGGTGGTGGTTGGTGCAAATGTGTTAGGGGGCCAGGCCCTCTCAGCCAGTCTCTTTACAACCTCACCCAGTTGCCCTAGGCCCCGGGTGGCCTCCACCAGCTGGGTCAGCCCCAGTCCCAGGGCTTGGCGCTGTTGCTGCTCCTGCTCCAGGACCTGGGTAAGCCTCTGCAGCTGGCCACCCATGTCCCTCACAGCAGCCACCAGCTCTACCAGGGCAGGTGGCTCACAAGCCATGACCCTTAAAGGTGGTGTTGGAACCACACATGGGCCAAGGGGGTCTGGGCTCTGACCAGGGTTTGACCTTGGGGTGAGGTGGTCAGGAGGAGGTTGATCCAAGGGGTGGGCCATGGAAGATAGGTGGAGGTCAGAGGTCACTGTAGGGTCAGAGGCTGAGTGTGGGGTTTGGGGGGGTAGTGGGGTTGGTCTGGGGCTCTGGCTTCTTGGTGGTTTGAAGTCCTCAGTAGACAGTGTGTCCATGCTTAGAGCTGGAGAAGGCCTGGAGCGGCTGGACTCTGAGGTTAGAAAAGGTGCCAGGCTTGACATCTGGGATGTAGAAAGGTGAAGAGCCCCTGTGGAGGTCAACCAGGGGTGGAAGCTAGGCTTGACTGTTGGTGCTGGAGTGGGAGAGAAGAGTTCTGTTCCCAAGGAAGTTAGAGTGGACTTGATAGTGATCATAGGGGTTGAGGTAGGGTCAGCCGTCATGGCAGGGTGAGTAGAGGTGATAGAATGAGGGGTCGTAGCAGGGTAAGGGATTGTGAGAGGGTGAGGTGTTGTGGCCAGTTGAGCGGCGGTGGACTGAGGGGTTGTAGTGGGTTGAAGGGTTGTGGTGGGTTGTGGGGTTGTGGTGGGTTGAGGAGATGTGGTGGATTGTGAGGTTGTGGTGGGTTGAAGAGATGTGGTGGGTTGTGGGATTGTGGTGGGTTGAGGAGATGTGGGTTGTGGGGTTATGGTATGTTGAGGAAATATGGTGGATTGTGGGGTTGTGGTGGGTTGAGGGGGTGTAATAGAGTGAGGGGTCCTGATGGAGTGAGGGATGGTAGTGTGTTGAGAGGTGGAGGGGTGAGATTTCAAGGTAGAGTGAAGGGTGCCAGTGGGGTAGAGGCTTGTCGAGGGGTCTGGGGATCTGGAATGATCTGGAACTGTGTTGGGGTATGGAGCTGTGTCCAGGTTTGGGGTTTTGTCAGATTCTGGAGTCAGTTCTGAGGTAGTAAAAAGGTGGGTCACCACTTCTGGCACAGAGGGGCCAGAGGTCAATTCTTTGGGCAAGGTGGGTAGTGGGGTGGGTGAGAGATCTGGTGTCAGTGCTGGAATCACGGCGGCATCAGGGGTGGACAAAGTGAGGCCAGGGGTTATCGAGGTAAGGTCAGAGTTCATCCGGGAGGCCAGGTCTGGTCTGGGTGACAAAGTGTCAGGAGGGTCAGAGGTCACCTTCCGTGTTGAAGCTGCCTGGGGAATGAGCGTTGGTACAGAGTCGGAGGTCACCGGTGGGTCGGGGGGCTCTGGGGAGGCTGAGGGAACTGAGGAAGGAGCAGGGGGCGCTGTCCTGGCTGCTGTGGGACGCTGTGGTCGACGCTCCGGCCGCAGTCTCCACAGTTTCCTCGGGGAACCTGGAGGAGGATGAAAGACAGATGTCCGAGGTCAGCTTGCCCCGCCTACCCCACGGCCCGCCACGCCCCTCCAGGGAGGAACCGACCAACAGGAGGCTGTAGAGCCTCATGACGTCACGGGTCGCCGGGAGACTTCGCCCCGCCCCAGCGCCCCACCTCCTCGCCTCCTATGATGTCTCCAGGCGCCACCTGGCGTTGTCCACTGAGGGCCAGGGAGGTGAGTGGTACTGCCAATGGCTGGAGGGGGTGCAAACGTGGGGGAGAGGGGGGAGTAGTGGAAGCGTGCGGGAAGATGCGGGAGTGTGAGGGACGTAGAGGTTTACCTGGGGATGTAGGAGGGGCTGAGGGCAGGGGGGATGCGGGGGAGATGGAGGGATGAGGGGGATGCCAGAAGGTGCGGAGGCATGAGGGGGTTTAGGGAGGAGGGTTCTAAGCCTAATCTCAGTAGTCAAGATTTTTACGTCACATTTTTTTTTTAATTTTTATTTACTTATGATAGTCACAGAGAGAGATAGAGAGAGGCAGAGACACAGGCGGAGGGAGAAGCAGGCTCCATGCACCGGGAGCCCGATGTGGGATTCGATCCCGGGTCTCCAGGATCGCGCCCTGGGCCAAAGGCAGGCGCCAAACCGCTGCGCTACCCAGGGATCCCTTTACGTCACATTTTTAAACAAAACTATTGCAAAAGATCCACTGTGAACAAAAAAGTCAAAAATTTACCCAAGACAGGATCTGAGTGGGCCAGGACTAGGGAAAGTCAAGTGCGGGAGATGGGATCTTGCCTTTAGTTATATTAAATGTTTGAGATTTAGTTCATTGTGAATGTTCTGCATTAATCTTTTTTAAAGATTTATTTTAAAAAAATAAAGATTTATTTATTTATTCATGATAGACAGAGAGAGAGAGAGAGAGAGAGAGAGAGAGAGAGAATGAGAGAGGCAGAGACACAGGAGGAGGGAGAAGCAGGCTCCATACTGGGAGCTCGACGCAGGAGTGATCCTGGGACTCCAGGATCACGCCCTGGGCCAAAGGCAGGCGCCAAACCAATGAGCCACCCAGGGATCCCCCTAATTTTTATTTTTAAAAGTATAAAGATATTATTATTTACCTTGATAACTGAATGTTTTAGCAGCCCCTTACATTTAGGGTCTGAGTAGAGTAAGAAGGCTCAGTCCCTCCCTAGCCCAGCTTCTAGGTAAATGGGAATTTTATTCCTTTTTGCAGATAAGGGAAGCCAGGCCAGGCCAAGACAGTAGGTAACTTGCCATAGGTCGCACAGATATAGTTTGAAAATTGTGGGGAGAAGGCCTGAAGCAAAGTCCTTTGCATTCAGTGTCTAGACCACTAAGTATCACTTTCTCAGTGATGGATATGATACACATGGCCACTGAGTACTTGAAATGTGGCTACTCCAACTAAGGAAATGAATGTTTCATCTTTCAAATTTTTGATTTATTTAGATTTTTAAGAAAAGATTTTATTTATTTGAGAGAGCAAGCGAGATAGAGAACAAGCAGGAGGAGGGGCAGAGGGAGAAGCAGGCTCCCCATTGAGCAGGGAGCACTACCTAGGGCCCAGGGGCACAATCCCAGGACCCTGGGATCATGACCTGAGCTGAAGGCAGACATTTAACTCACTGAGCCACTTAGGCACTCCTAGATTTTTTTTTTTTTTTTTTTTTTGAGAGAACAAGGGAACAAGAGAGAGAGCATGAATGGGGGGAGGAGCAGAGGGAGAGGGAGAAACAGGGAGCCTGGAGGCTGGGCTCGATCTGATCCCAGAGTCTCTGGGGTCATTACCTGAGCTGAAAGCATACACTTAAGTGACTAAGCCACCCAGGTTTTAGAATGTTTTATTCATTTAAAGTAAAAAAGCAACCTGTGAGGGGCCCCTGGGTGGCTCAGTGGTTGAGCATCTGCCTTTGGCTCAGGGCATGATCCCGGGATCCTGGGATGGAGTACCACATCAGGCTTCCCGCAAGGAGCCTGCTCCTCCCTCTGCCTATGTCTCTGCCTCTCTGTGTCTCTCATGAATAAATAAAATATTGAGAAAAAAAAGCCACCTGTGTTGATAACTACCATATTGAATAGTACAGCTCCAAAGAATTGAGGTGTTCTTCATAGGATTTTTGATGTGCATCCTATTCTTGTCATTTGTTTATAGCATTGGAGAAGTGGTTCAGTAAAGGGCTTGGCCTCCAGCCAGGCTGCCTGGGCTTAAACCCCAGTCCTGTCACTTCCTAACTGGGTGACCATCAACAAGTTATTTAACTACCTTGAATCTCAGTTTGTGGATGACCAATGTGCCTCGCTTGCAGAGCTGTCATGATTCAGGGAGCTCCTGTGTGTACAGAGCACTTAGCACAGTGCCTAGCATGTAATAGGCATTTTTGTGATTAATATTATCATAATCTTTGATGTCTGTACCTCAATTTCTCTCATCTAAGAAATGGACATAATTTAGCACCTACATCATAGGGCTCTGTAGATGTTATGAAAGTTAAAGGGGTAACATGTAAAGTGCTCAGAATAGTACCCAACACATGGTATATTGCTCAGTAAATATTAACTGGTTTAGTTATTATTTTAAGAATCTCATCTTGCTTAGATATTGTAGGGGTTTACCTGCCTAGAGCACTATTTTTATTTTTTCAGACCCAAGATGCAAAGAGCTAAGCTAATCATGCTTTTCTGTACATTGTCAACAGTTCTATAATGTCTCTTTTCTTTTTCCTTCCTGATCTCCATCCCTCTCACTTCCTCCCACAGCCACCTCCATTAATGTATTTAACATATGTCCTTAAAGATTTGTATGTCCTTATACAATACCTTATACAATATAGAAAGCATGTATGTATATATGTTAATATATTAAGTGCATGCATATATATATATTTTTTTAATGATAGTCACAGAGAGAGAGAGAGAGAGAGAGAGAGAGAGAGAGAGAGGCAGAGACACAGGCAGAGGGAGAAGCAGGCTCCATGCACCAGGAGCCCGACGTGGGATTCGATCCCGGGTCTCCAGGATCGCGCCCTGGGCAGGCGCCAAACCGCTACGCCACCCAGGGATCCCTTTTTTTATTTATTATTATTTTTTTATTTTATGATAGTCACACACACAGAGAGAGAGAGAGAGGGGCAGAGACACAGACAGAGGGAGAATATGCATATTTTTGTGTTTTTTAGTTTCTGCAAATCACTGGAAATTTCACTCTGTCTTCCTCCATATTATTTTGTTTATAGCGACCCATGTTGCAGTCTGTAAGGCTAGTCATTGCTTTAGCTACTGCATGGGGTTCCATCATGTGTACCCACTGCATTTCTCGTTACTCACTGTTGGGCACTTAACCTGCCTCCAACTCCGATATCACAACATTTCAAAGAATACCCTCATATGTTTTCTTTAGAACCTTGCTCAAGAATTTTCCTGGAATACAGGAGCTAGATTGGTGGGTCATAATTTACAATCATATTTAATTTCACTAAATTGTCTTTATCACATAGCTCGATCCAGTAGGGATGTCTGCCTGCCCATATCCATATCCTCATCCACACTTGCTATTACCTACCTTTCAAAATTTTCCATGCTTTCTAAAAAAAGAGAGAGAGAGAGAGAGTGAGAGAGAGAGAGATCCCTGGGTGGCTCAGCGGTTTGGCACCTGCCTTCAGCCCAGAGCATGATCCTGGAGTCCCAGGATCAAGTCCCCACATCAGGCTTCCTGCATAGAGCCTGCTTTTTATTTATTTTTGATAGTCACAGAGAGAGAGAGAGAGGCAGAGACATAGGCAGAGGGAGAAGCAGGCTCCATGCACCGGGAGCCTGATGTGGGATTCGATCCCGGGTCTCCAGGATCGCGCCCTGGGCCAAAGGCAGGCGCCAAACCACTGCGCCACCCAGGGATCCCCTCAATAAAGTCTTAAAAAAAAAAAAAAACACAAAAAAAAATTTTCCATGCTTGTCATCATTTTAATTTGAATTTCTGATTCCTTATGAGTGTGAATGTTTCTACATATACTTGGCCATTTAGGCTTTCTCTTCTGTGAATCACCTGCTCATAATTGTTACCCATTCTCTTCTAGGGTTTCCTGTCATTTTTTTCATTGATTTGTCAGAGTGAATTGCAGAATATAGGTCAGGGTTTCCCAACCTGAGCATTGTTGATATTTGGAGCTGGTGATTCTTGGCTGTGGGGGACTGTCCTGTATATAGTAGTATATGTAACAACATCACTGGCCTCTACCAATTAAGTTCTAGTAGCCTCCCAAGCATCTAAGTCATGACAATCCCAAACATCTTCAGATATTGCCAATTAGGGCAGCCCGAGTGGCTCAGCAGTTTAGCGCCGCCTTCAGCCCAGGACATGATCCTGGAGACCCAGGATCAAGTGCCACATTGAGCTCCCTGCATGGAGCCTGCTTCTCCCTCTACCTGTGTCTCTGCCTCTCTCTGTGTCTCTCATGAATAAATAAATAAAATCTTAAAAAAAAACTATTAAAAGAAAAGATATTGCCAATTATTCCCAGTTGAAGGCCATTGATGTAGATAATAACCCCTTGTTTCAGGATATATTTCTGTTGGGTCTCTGGTGTAAGAGTGGGGTCACCACTGGGGAATTCAGAGTCCACTTCTCTACCCCACAACACAACCAACCTGGTAGCCTTGCCACAGCGACATGCCTCACCTGTGTCTCCAGGGATCCTTGGAGTTGAAGAGGGATGGCCTGGGCTCCAAGTGGTGCCAGTGGTAAGAGTGGGTCCAGGTATGCCTCCTGTGGGTGTCCCTTTGGGCAGAGCCCCTCCTGAAGGTATATCCCACGTCCGGGAAGGCTCATAACTATCCTCCTCACCTTGAGAGATACAGGGAGAACTGAGTCTCACTTCCCTTGACTTAGAACCTCTGTTCTTCCTGGATCCCAACTCAGGCTTCATCCTGTCTCAACTGGACCACTATCCCAATCTCCTCCTTTACCTCACAGCCACCCTGGTGACTCAGCTGAGATGCTCTCAACTACCAGTAATAGAAACTGGAACTAAACCAGTTTATAAACTAAGAAGAATGTCCTGAAGTCCCTGCCCCCACTCATTCTTTATTTTTCCCTAGAGAAAAAAACAAAAAACACCTATAATATCTTTATTAATGAACTACCAGGAACATTTCTATACTATTTCCCCCTGTTTTTTGGATTAATTCAGTTGGATAATCTCTACATGATGACAATTTTATATAACATATAAGTGTATAATATACAGCGACCCTTGAATAGCATGGGTTTGAACTGAGCAGGACCACTTATATGTGGATTTTTCCCATAAATACAGTACAGTACTGTATTTTCTCCTCCTTTTACCAAATTTTTTCCTCTAGCTTACTTTATTATAAAAATACAGTGTATTTTATATATGTGCATATATATATAAAACATACAAAGTATGTGTTGCTTATGTTATCAGTAAGGCTTCCAGTCAACAATATACTATTAGTAGTTAAGTTTTGAGGGAGTCAAAAGTTGTATGTAGATTTGACTGCATGGGGGTCAGTGCCCCTAACTCCTATGTTTTTCAATGGTCAGCTAATATAATGGTCAGGTAATATAAAATATACCATTTTTTTTAATATATACTTTTTTAAATTTTTATTTATTTATGATAGTCACACACACACACAGGGAGAGAGAGGCAGAGACACAGGCAGAGGGAGAAGCAGGCTCCATGCACCAGGAGCCCGACGTGGGATTCGATCCGGGGTCTCCAGGATCGCGCCCTGGGCCAAAGGCAGGCGCTAAACCGCTGCGCCACCCAGGGATCCCTAAAATATACCATTTTATAAATGTAAAATATACCATTTTATATATGGAGTATAGAAAAATTGAATTCATTCTTCTAACTTGGTGGATCAAAAAAACTTATTTTAACAATAGCTTTGGGGGTGCCTCGGTGGCTCAGTTGGTTAAATGTCTGCCTTTGGCTCAGGTCGTGATCTCAGGGTCCTGGGATGGAGCCCTGCATTGGGCTCCCTGTTCAGTGAGGAGTGTGCTTCTCCCTCTCTCCTGTGCTCTTCCCCCCTCTCTCAAATAAATAAAATCTTTTAAAAAAAATAAAAACCAATAATAGCTTTGTTGTGTGCCTGGGTGGCTCAGTCGATTAAGCGTCTCTTAATTTCAGTTCATATCATGATCTCAGGGTCATGGGATCCAGTCCCACATGGTGCTCTATGCTCAGAGAGTCTGCTAGAGCTTCTCCCTTCTCCCTCTGACCCTCCTCTTCACTGTGCATGCACACACTCTCTCTCTCTCTTTCACAGGTAAATTAACAAATCTTTAAAAAGACACACACACACAATAGCTTGGGACACCTGGGTGGCTTGGCTCAGTGACTGAGCCTTCGGCTCAGGTTGTGATCTCAGGGTCCTGGGATCAAGTCCTACATCACGCTCCCTGCATGGAGCCTGCTTCTCCCTCTGCCTGTGTTTCTCATGAATAAATAAATAAAATCTTTTTTAAAACTCATGCAATAGCTTTGTTGAGATATAATTCACATACCTTAAAGTGTATAATTCAATGGGTTTTAGTGTAGTCACAACGTTGTACAACCATAAAGTCCACATTCCTCATCTCCCTTCATTAACTGATCCCTGCCCACCTCTCTGGCACCACGTCTTATCATGCCACCTTCTACATGGTGTTGCTGCTCCCACTGGACCCCAAACCTTGAGGTGTTCACATCTAGCCTTTGTCCATGCTGTTACCTCCACCTGGAATCCCCTCCTCCACCATAAAGACATTTTCCCACTCTGCACGTGAAACCCGGCAGGTTGGTGTCTGACACACTAGGCATGTTTGTCCTGGTCACATTGAGCTCTGTGGATAGCTGTCCCAGTTGCAGAAATCCCTTGCTCTGTCACCTGCTAATATATTACATTCGAATAGAACAAGGGTCAATTTTCACCCTGATGCCCAGCATTGCAGATACCTCAGTCATGTCTCCCTATTATTAACCGTTCTTAAACAAATACTTTCCCTGTACCTTAAGAAGCTAACTATCAGGGACGCCTGGGTGGTTCAGTGGTTGAGCATCCGCCTTCCGCTCAGTGTGTGATCCTGGGATCTGGGGATTTAGTCCACATCGGGCTCCCTGCAGGGAGCCTGCTTCTTCCTCTGCCTATTATCTCTGCACCTCTCTCTGTGTCTCTCATGAGCAAATAAATAAAATCTTAAAAACAACAACAACAAGATAATCATGAAATCCTACCTGGTGGTCATACTCATTAAGAATTTTAAAAACTGGGCAGTTCCAGTGGTGTGGCGGTTTAGTGCCGCCTGCAGCCCAGGGCATAGAGGGGAAAAAACTCCTCAGCGGTGAAGCTGTCTTTTCAAGATGCTGGGTTTTAGGAGGACTCCACTGAGGACACAATTTGAAGGTCTCTTGCTGCTACAAAGTCAGCCCACCAATTGCAGGCATACTCCTTGGGTCTCTGTGTTCTTGAAATGTGCTCTAAGATATGGCCACTGTTCATGGTCCACTAGCATGGGATCAATTTGATTTTTTTTTAAGATTTTATTTATTTATTCATGAGAGACAGAGAGAGAGAGAGAGGCAGAGACACAGGCAGAGGGAGAAGCAGACTCCATGCAGGGAGCCTGACGTGGGACTCGATCCCGGGTCTCCAGGATCACGACCTGGACCAAAGGCGGTGCTAAACTGCTGAGTCACCTGGGCTGCCTGATTTGATTTTTTTTAATTAAAATATGTGTTTTTAATTTAAGAAGTGGTATTACAGAGTTACAGGCCCTATGAGGCCCAATTGCATCCTTTCCCCAAAGAACTCTCTGATGCCATATTGTTTCCCTATACTTTAGCTTTCTACGTTGAAGACTGTGCACATCAACATATATATACTGCATATGTCTTTCTGCAGCTTGGTTTATAGGTGTGTCCCTTCCTGGCTGGCTGAACAAGTCACTGGACTATTCCATGACTCAGTTTCCTCACTTGTAAAATGGGTCCCATGATGGTATCTATCTTCTCCATGGGGTCTCAGAGCCTGGCATGTGATAAGCTTACTCTTTGAATTAAATATATGTATCTCTAGTTCTTTTTAACTTTTGTACAATATTCTGTCATAAAGAATACAGAGCTATTAATTCCTCTATGCCCCTGCTGTTAGGTGGTTAGGCTGTGGCCAATGTTTTGCTGTTACAAATACAGCTGCAGTGAGTTCCTGAAATCTGTGTCCTTGGGCTCATGAGTGAGAACTCCTCAATACCTAATTGTACAACTGTTGTGAAAGCAGATACATCCCCCTAGATATTGTCAAACTGTCCTCCTAAGTAGGTGCAGATTCTCATGCCCACCTTTATCCCATACTCTTGGTGCTGTCAGACATTTTAATTTTTGGCAATCTCATGGGGGGGGTGTGGAAAAGCTGCCGTTTGGTAATTTTTTTTTTATTTATTTATGATAGAGAGAGAGAGAGAGAGAGAGAGAGAGAGAGAGGCAGAGACACAGGCAGAGGGAGAAGCAGGCTCCATGCACCGGGAGCCCGACGTGGGATTCGATCCGGGGTCTCCAGGATCGCGCCCTGGGCCAAAGGCAGGCGCCAAACCGCTGCGCCACCCAGGGATCCCCGGTTTGGTAATTTTATGGGGAGAGAGTGAGTGGAGAAGCTGCTGTTTTGCTACAAATGACCAAAGTGAAACCCAGAGAGGGCAAGGAGCTTTCCCAAAGTACACAGCCAAGGTGCAGTGTTAGGCTTCAGACCCAGGCAGGTCTACCTGATCGTAAGTGGAGACCTTTTGGAGTACTTGGGTAGCTCAATGGTTGAGTATCTGCCTTCAGCTCAGGTAGTGATCCCAGTGTCTTGGGATGGAGTCCCACATCAAGCTCCCCGCAGGGAGACTGCTTCCCCCTATGCCTATGTATCTGCCTCTCTCTCTGTGTCTCTCATAAATAAATAAATAAATAAATAAATAAATAAATAAATAAATAAATAAAATCTTTTTTTTTTAAATTTTAAAATAGAGGATCCCTGGGTGGCTCAGCAGTTTAGCACCTGCCTTCAGCCCAGGGCATGATCCTGGGGTCCCAGGATCGAGTCCCACATCAGGCTTCCTGCATGGAGCATACTTCTCCCTCTGCCTGTGTCTTTGCCTCTCTCTCTGTGTGTTCTCTCATGAATAAATAAATTAAATCTTTAAAAAAAAATTTTAAATAAATAAATGGAGACTTCTTTCCCTTGGGGTACAGATTTCCCAAGTCTTACCCCACTCCTTCCCTAGTGAGCTTTTATTTATTCTTCAGGATTTTATTCAAAGGCCACTCTTTTTCCCCCTCAATGAACTCATGCCCTGCTTTATGCTTCCTGAGTTCTTCAGAGCTAATTCTGTCATATGCTCCTTCCCTGTCTCCGTGGCTAGAGTGGTTAAGAGTGTAAATCCTGGAGTTTGAATCCAAGCTCTGCCCTTTGCTGTACTGACCTCTCTGTACCTCAGTTTTCTTTTCTTTTCTTTTCTTTTCTTTTTTTTTTTTTACCTCAGTTTTCTTATCCGTAGAATGGTGTTAAGGACAGTACTCATCTCATAAGGTTGAGGGGAAGTGAGTTAAACCATGTGATACTGATAGATGGTGCCTGACACATGGAGGGTATTCAATGAATACAAGCCATTATTGTCAATATTATCATCCAATATCTAAATTTAATCCTGCATTTAATCTTGGCTCCTCTCCCCTCTGCATGACCTCATGTAACCATAACATACAGCAACAGCTCAAATCCAAGAGTCATCCCATCTTCCAGGCTGGTGCAAGAGGGCCATTAGATATGGTTATCTGTCTCCTTAGTCTCATCCATTCCCACAGCTGGGAATTCCATCCTGTCAAGTTATATCTTCAGCTCAGGCACTCCTCAGAGCTCCAGAATTGCTAATGTCTCCACTTAGGTATGTCAAACACGTCACCAATGGATCTAATATTCCCACTGTGGATCCTGTGCATCCAGCTGCAGTGTTCCCTGATCCAGTAAAAGGTAGGTCCCCATCTCCCACCTCCCTCTCTTCACATCCATCACTCAAATCCATCAGCTCAACTCACAGAATACAGCTACACAATCCACTTCTCTCTCAGTCTTCACTACCACCTGGGCAGAGACCATTATCATCTCCCCATAGACCTCTCAGGTCTCCCTGTATGCACTCTAGCTCCTCCATCCATTTCCCATGGGGCATTCTGAGTGACTGCTTTGAAAATGCACAGGTGACCATATCCTTCCTAGCTCAAAATGCTCCACAAAGGGCTTCTCACTGCATATAGAATAAAACTCAGAGTCTAGCCCTCTCCTATCACTCTCACCCTGCCGGGCTTCCTCTGCTTCAGCCATGCTGGCATCCTTGCCATTCTTTCAAAGTCTCACCACAGCGCCTTTGCATGTGCTGCTCCCTCTGCCTGGAAAGCACCTTTAGTTCTCTCGGAGCTCCCCATCACAGATCTCATCTCCTTCCCTCATTTCCATCAACCACTCCATTTCAGCCCCACTGACCTGGCTGTTTCTTGACCCAGCTAAGCACACTTCCACCTCAAAGCCTTTGCATGCACTGTTCCCTTTGTATTAAACATTCTCCAATCAGATGTCTGTATGGCTTTCTCCCTTTCCTTCTGAAGGTCATCAATTAAAGGGCACTTTCTCAGTAGGGCATCCCTTTGCCATCCAATTCTAAATTGCAAATCTCAGCCTCCCTTTCCCTTGCTTATCACTGCTATGTTCCCAGGGGTTAGTATTCATACCTGCCACACAGCAGGTATTTGACACACAAGTTAGTATCTGTGTCTCCAAATTCCAAGAAGCCTTGAGAAATGTTACTTCAATGAACTAGAAAGTGAAAATTCAACCTTTTAATCCTCTTGCTTCTCTAGCTATACATTCACTCAACAACTGTGTCAGTCTCTACTGAGTCTCTACAGCAGATTCGGTGGTAGACAGGATAATGCTCCCCCAAAGATGCCTGTGCCCTAATCCCCAGAACCTGTGAATATGTTGTTTTGAGGAGGTAAATGTGTGGTTATATTATGGTAGCAACAGAAACTGACACAGTTAAGTGCACGATGGAGCTAAGGGTCCAGTGAAATGACAATGTCCTAGACTTTCCTCAACTCTAGCCTTCACTCCTCTGAGAAAGCCCTTCCTCCTGGTGTCTGCTGCTGGATAATACGACTTCCTCTGCAAAGCTTTTCCTAATTGCTCTACTAGAAATAACAACTCCTCCCCCCTGGGATCCTGCAGCTGCTGTTGTTCATTTACAGTAAGTAATTCTAACCACCAACGTTCTGTGGTTTTAAACTATTTCTCACACATTTTGTTCATGGGATTGGGACCTGAGGTCACCCAGCTAAGTTCTTTTTTATTTTTCTTTAAGATTTTATTTATTTATTCATGAGGGACACAGAGTGAGAGAGAAAGAGGCAGACACACAGACAGAAGGAGAAGCAGGCTCCATGCATGGAGCCCAATGTGGGATTCGATCCCAGGACTCCAGGATCACGCCTTGTGCCAAAGGCAAGCGCTAAGCCACCCAGGGATCCCACCCAGCTAGTTCTAATCTTGGTGGAGCCACAACTGGAAGCTGAGGAGTTGGACTGAGGAACTCACTGATAATTAGTTCAGTAATTCAGTTATCTTGCCCAATTCAACGAGCAAAATGTGTGTGAAATCATGTAAGCTAAGCTAGCTCTCCATAGTGGCTCCTAAGTTGAAGTTCGTAGTCAAATATTTCCCCCACCTGAAACACGGGCGTTAATAACAACCTATGTCTCCTGGTTGCTGGAATCCTGTATGCCCAGCCCAGAATAGGTGAGCTTTTCTGGACTGCTTTTCCAGTAGAAGAAACAGGCCCAAAGAAGTGGGGTCATTTTATTCAGGGTCACCTTGCAGTGAGGATAACAATTCACGTCTGACCTTTCTCTCACTCTCTATCTGGGCTCCTTATTACTGCATTTGAGACTATCCCGAGATTTCTCTTGTGTGGTTCGCAATTCTGCACTTCTCTGAGCTCACGTAATGGCCTCCTATCATCCGCACCCCAGGAACTCCCTGCCCAGCGTCTGACCGTTTCCGCCACGAGGGGGCGCTAGAGGATAGGCAGGGATCTGCGCCGAGTTGCAGAGAATGAAACCCTGGCCACTATGCACCCGGGAGCAGCACTTTGCAAAAATGTGCTGGACGGGCCCTACCTCACACCCCATGTCCCCCAGTCTAAAGTGCTGCGGCCCCTCGGCCCGTTCCTCCCCTCCCTTTACCGCACCAGAAGCCCGTCCTCACAGACAGTTCTGGAAGCCCACGGGTCCCTACACCGGGCTTTTATTAACGTGGGCGTGGTTCAACCGGCCAAACAAGAGGCGCAGCGCGCCTCTCCCGTCACAAGGCATGAGGCTGATTGTGGCCGCGGAGTGCGCGTGCACGCTGACCACCGGAAAAAGGCGGGAAAAGAGCCCAAGGGGCGGGAAGCCGCTCCTGAGGCTGTCAGTCTTTCAGGAGATGAGCTGAGGGACGTGGGGCGACAGGTAGAAGTGGGCCCTTCAGGGGATGGGAGAGGGCAGTGAGGGGGAAAGCAAGTGTAGCAGGCTGGACGGAAAAGGCGGGGCCAGGAAGAGACAGTCGTGAGGAAAGGCAAAAGATTCCCCGTGCCAAGCACGTTGGGGTGACAAGGAGCACGAGCGGCCTGGGATGGGGGTGCGGGGGCAGGCAGACAGCTGGGCACGGAGGGGGCCAACCTGAGAACCTGAGAACCAGTGGGTCGGGAGGGAGGAGGAGGCAGAGAGCCAGAGCAGGGGAGGGTAGAGGTGTCGACCGTGGGAAAACGAAAACGGGGACACTAGGAGGGTGTGTTGGATGCAAGCATACCGAGGGCGAGGGTGACAGACAAGCGGGTCACGAGAACAGGAAAGCCACGGAGACGTGAAGTGGGTGGGAGACGAGAAAGAGCTGCGCACGCGCGTGGGCACACATGCGCATGCTCAGGGACACAGGGCCCGGAGACGCCGCAGAGACACCTGCGAGAGCACGCGCAGGGACGTGGAGCCTGGGAGACCCCGCAGGGATACCCGTGAGAGCACGGGCATGCGCGGGGTTGCATGCGCAGGTTCACAGGGCCTGGGAAACCCTGTGGAGAAACACGCGAGAGCATGCAGGGGGACGCGGGAGCCGGGAGACACCCGCGAGAGCACGTGCATGCAACGTAGACAGACATGTATGTGCAGGAACACGGGGCCTGGAGACTGTGGAGAAGCCTGCAAGAGCACGCACGCACAGGGATGCAGGGCCGTGGAGACGCCGTGGAGAAGCCAGGGAGAGTAGGTAATGGAGCAGGGAGGTTGGGGCTCAGGGCCCGGGTGTGGCCACAGGAGTGCAAGGACACTTAAGCGGCTGCGAGATAGGGGCCAGGGCCAAACCCTATGGGGCTGGGGAATGACATGGTGACCTGGGCCAGCTAAAGGGGTCTCGGGGTTCTGGATGGAGGGGCCCAGCCTTGGGTGATCACGGCTACTTTGTGGGAGGACTGTGGGTTGAGGCCATGCTGAGCCTGGTCTGACTCTCAGAGACACCCAGGGGTTTCCTCCTCAGGGCTTTTGAGGAGAGCCCAAGGATGGAACATATTAGCGTCTCTGGAGGTGACCTGTCCACAGTCTCCAGCACACAGGCCAGCTCACTTTGGGGTCTCAGGAAGGCCTGCCAGGAGGCTCACACAGGTTGGTGGGGGTCCCATCCTCACCCTGGCTGTGCACCTCACCTGTGTCCGGAAGACGCCTTGTTGCTGGGGAGGGGGCCCCTGGGCTCTTGGTGGAGCTCCAGGAGAGTGTGTGTCCAGGTACCCCTGCAGTGGTGGTCCCCTTGGCCAGGTCCTCTCCTGAGGTGGGATCCCAGGTCCAAGGGGGATAATCATCCTCATCTGCGTAGCCTGGGAGAAAGTGAATCTTGGGTTGATCCCCGCCCTGTCTCAGGTCCATGCTGCCACTCTAAAGTACCCTTCCAAAATCTCCTGGAGTGATTCTAGGTCCCCCACCCCATCCCCAGTACCAGTGCAGGTGAGCCCCACGTCTTCTTCATGGTCACAGTTGTGCTGGCCCCATGCCCCAGCAGGGCAGTCACTCAGCGAGGCCTCGATTCCCTTGCAGCCCACGTCATCCAGCCAGATGGGGCCAGTCCCGGGGCCGTAGTGGGTTTTGCCCACTCGCGGCCGGACCCTTCCACAGCCCAGCTCCCAGCAGGCCACGGTACTGTCCCGCAGGTCCCAGCTGTCATCGCACACTGTCCCCCAGCGCCCAGCATGCCACACTTCCAGCCGGCCAGCACACCGGTTGGGCCCGTCGGCCAGACGCACCCGGAACGGGCCTGCTGGTAGAAGACCCCAAGTCAGGAGGGGTAAAGAGGGGTCAGCCTCACCTCTTCATGTTCCCTCCACTCACCTGATCCCCCAGCAGTGCCCCCAGTAGGGGAGGGAGCTAGGTCTTTGGATGACTCTGGAGAACCTTGTGCAGGAGTCTCAGTAGATGGATCCATGGAATCCAGAGGGATTTGCTTCACCATGGCCTCAGAAGCCATTTCTTGGGGTCCTCGAGTGGTTGAAGTTGCCACAGTCTTAGAGGTCCGCTCTCGGGGGGTCCGGGGAGTCCGTGTTGCAGTAGTATGTGGGGTTATCCTGTGGGGGACCTCAGTGGTCAGCTTTGCAGTAGACTCAGAAACTGTTTTCCGGGAGGCCTCAGTGGTCAGGGTTGTAGTGGGCCATGAGGTCAGTTCTGGGGGCCTCTGGGTACCCAGGACCCTGGAGTGTTTAGTGGTTGGCATCACAGGGGGCTGAGTGGTTGGTCTCCTTGCATTTTTGGTCACCCACTTCTTAGTACTCTTGGGTGTTTTCCCTGGGGCCTTGGTAGTGGTTTTCTCAGGAACACTGGGGGTCAGCCTTGCAGGCGGCTTGGTAGCGAGCTTCCCAGGGAGCCAGGCATCCGGATCTCTACCCAGGCCAGGGATCCAGCTCCAACTGAAGGGGTCTGAGATAGAGTCCAGGCCAGAGGTTTCTGGAAGATGGGAGGAGAGGACAGGGAAGATGGCAGACATCCTAATGACAAGGTTGCCCGTTTAGATCCCTCCTTCTCTCTTATCTCTGCAAAATCACCAAGTTTCCACTCATTCATTCGTTATTCATTTATTCATTCATGTCATCAACATTTATTGAGCATCTTCTATGACCCAGGTATTGTGCCAGACCCTGGCAATACTGTGGCCAGCCAAACCTGACACCACTTTCTGCCCCCTTGGCTTTCACAACTGTGATGTGACTGATGCTCTTTGCCCATCCCACATTGGACTTGTCCTCTTCATCTCACTGGCCACAATGGCGTCACTTCCTATAACTTCTGACGGTCTCTCCTTCTCCCTGTCCAGCTATCACCAATTACCAGAGTGGTACCAGGTCTGATGGGTCACTCCCCAACTTAAGACCCTTTGGTGGTTCCCATGGCCTTAGGAGGAAGGGGAAAGGGCCTTAGCTTCAGTGACTCCATCATGTGAGCCACCACTGCATCACATCTCTCTGATTAGCAACTTTTCCCAAAGAAAAGTTTGGCCCTTTGCCCCTGGCTCCTGGGGCTCCCTAGATAGTTGGTACCAACATTGTGACTTATGGACAGCCAGTGGGCAGGCAGCTGTAGCCCATAACCCAGTTCTTATAAAAACTCTGTGCACCAAGGCTAGGGGATCGTGCCTGCTTGGCAGTACAGCATGTGTGTTTTCACATGTTGCTGCTCGGAGAACTGAGTGCTATCTGCATGGCTCCCCAAGAGAGAATGGCTGGAAGCTCCATGAAATTCTCTCCTGAACCTGCCTCTGTGCCTCTTCTCTCAACTAGTTTTTAGGATGGCTGTTCCAATTTTTTGAGTCTTTCTAGAAAATTATGGAACCTGAGGTTGGCCTTGGAGACCTTGCAAATGATAACATGTCGCATAGGTTTGCAGTGATTTGTTGGTGCATCTCTTTCCATCCATGAGCTGTGAGCTTCCCAAGGCCCGGGACTGTGTTCATTGCATCCTCAGGCCCCAGCACCTGGCTCAGTGTCTGGCACTCCATAAATGTTAGCAAATGAACGACAAACACAACGCTGTGCTTACTGCAGGTGGCCCCCACTTTGGCTTCTCACCATCTCCCCGTGCCCTTATCTTCACTTCCTTTATCTTGGGGAGGACAGATGAGAGAAGAGAGAATCCCAACTCTGCCACTTATTTCTGTGTGAGCTTGGGCAAGTTACTTAACCTCTTTGTGCCTCAACTTCAGTAAAATGAATATAATGTCCACCAACATCCTTCTTGTGAGGCGTGAATGTCGTCACGTGTATGAAAACTGCTAGCCCAGGGCAGGGGCTTAGGAGATGTTAGTATGGATGTTAGGTCTCACTCCCTCTTCCAGGAAGGCCTCTAGGGCCAACAGGTGGTCAGGGTCTCCTTACCAGTGCAGGTGACTCCAACGTCTTCATTGTGAGCACAGTTGTGCTTCCCCCAGGGTGCAGCAGGGCAGTCCAAGAGTGAAGCCTCAGTCCCCAGGCACCCCACGTCGTCCAGCCAGATGGGGCCAGCCCCCCAGCCAAAGCGACCAGCTGCGGGGTCCTGCTGCCGAGCTCTGCCACACCCCAGCTCCCGGCAGACCACAGCTGAGTCCTGTAGGTCCCAGCTGTCGTCACACACCGTCCCCCAGCGCCCACTATGCCACACCTCCAGCCGGCCTGAACACCTGCTGGGCCCTGCCACCAGGCGAAGTTGGGGGGACCCTAGGGTGGAAGAAACCCAAATAATTAGTCAGGAAGTCATTAGGTTCTCTGAGTCCCTCCACTTGCCTTGCATTCGTCCACCCGTTTGTCCATCTGGCTTTCTCATATCCATCTGTCCTGGCAGCAGGCATTTACTGAGCACTGAGCGAGGCCTGTGCTATGCTGCTCTCCGCATTAGGCATGAGCCATAGTCTGGTGTGGTCTGGTTGCCTCGAAAAGTTAAACACGGAATTACTCTATGATGCGGAAATCCCACTCCTCAGGACATATGGCAAATAAAGTGAAAATAGCTATTCAGACACTCGCACACAAATGTTCCTCACACTCTTCACAGTAGCTAAAGGGTTCCAGGGGGTGGGCAGCCTCAGTATCCGCACTGGATGGTGGGATAGCAAAATGAGGCATATGCGCATGATGAAACCCGAAGAAGGGAAATGTGCCACCTGCCGCGTGGATGAACCTAGAAGACACGTTAGCACAAATCTTGGGGGATTTCATTTGCAGGAGAGCCCTGGAGGAGTCAAATCCATACAGAAAGGACGGTGGGTGCCAGAGGCTGGGGGCGGGGGGGTCAGCCTGGGGTAACGACCAAGTTCTATAGGCAGGTGGTGGTGGCTGCCCTACCTCATGAGTGTATTTAATGTCACTGAACCAGACACTTACAAGCAGCTGAAATGGCCAATTTTACGTCACATACATGTTACCACAGCGAGCACAAAAGAGAATGTGGGCTCAGGGGCAAGGTACTTTCACTAGAGTCCTGACTTTGCCCGTGTTATAGTCACGTGGCCTCCTCCATAACACAGAGACCAGACAGCATCTGCGGCCCGTGGGGCCGGGAGCGTCACCTGAGGAAGACACACAGAGTGCCTGCAACAGTACTGGTCACACATAAGCCAGCGGTGCTAGGAGACTTGGGAAAGGTGGGGAGCGAGGCCCCTGGTAAGAACAGGTTTCCCACCTGTGAGCAACAGCTGCATTAACAGTGTGTTTCCCTTGTCTACATTCTGATGCTTTGCCATCTTGGGGCTTCACTGACCCTGGGGAGACTGCCCACCCTCCCCAGGGACAGCTCATTCCTAGAGGCAGGAAAATACCGGAGCAGGCCTTCTGTGTGCACACCAGCCAATCCCAGCCGCCCCCCCCACCTGCTCCGTGGGACTCACACTCGGGGCCCCTGTCTACCTGCCCTTAGCCCCCAGAGCCGGGCACCCGACAACCAGGAGCAGCCCCTGAACCCCACAGCTCGCAGGCTGACCCTGAGCCTGCTACTTGACCTCACCTGCTCCTTCCCACAGAAGCAACAGTCAGGGCTCTGTCTGCGCCCCCTCACCCCCGCCCCCTGGCCAGCCCCCTGCTGCTTCCCCATGTGGCCCCTCAACTGTGTGAGATAGAAACACTGTCTCTTTCCAGTGGCAGTCCCATTTTGTCTGCAGGCCACACTGCACCTGAATGATATCAAGGCCCATGTTTTAAAAATGACAACTATGGTTGATCCAGTCCTTTTGGTCTTTGTGAGGAGACAGCCTCCCCAAAACTACACATTTCACAATGGCAACAGCAGAGCATGGCTCTGTTCTCTCCTCCACCCTTGTCTTGGCCCTTGCCCTGATGAGACAGTCTTTGAGCAGGGAGAAGGGGTGTCTGGGGGCTGGCTAAGGGGAGGAAACAGCAGGTTAATCCCCGTTTTCTTGGGGAGACAGAGACTCACCAGCTTCTGGTCCAGGCTCCCAAGGGGCAGTGGGGGAGGCAGGAGGAGGAGAGATGCCGGCGGTTCCTGGGGCCTGGCTCCCTGCGGGGCCTGGGGGCCGGGATGCTGCCTCCCTGGGCAAAGAGTGATTGCTGTCCACTGCCGGGGCCGTGGGAGGGACGTATCCAATAGGCATACCTGGGGGTACGCAGGGACAGGGGAAGAGGTGACCACCACTGCCGCGGTAATGCCGGACAGCTCCCCACACCCTCATCCTGGGACTATGGATGCCAACTGAGGTCTCAGGCTGAGGACAAAGTGGGGCAAGCAGGCAGTCAGGACAGAGGGATGGAGTGGCACATGGGGCACACGTTGCAAAACCACACCAGCTCCCCACTTCTCACGCCTCCACTTGAGGCTCTAGAGCACCCACATCCCCAGCCTCTTCCTTTGTCCTCCTCACCATCACACACGGCCCCTGCGTCCTCCCGGTGGTGGCAGTCATGCTGGCCCCAGGGCCGCGCTGGGCAAAATCGCAGGGCCGTCTCATTACCCCGACACCGGAGGTCGTCCAGGAGGATGGGCCCAGCCCCCTCCCCAAAGAAGGCGCCTCCGGGGGCAGCCAGTGCAGCCCCGCAGCCTAGCTCCCAGCAGGCCACAGAGGCGTCCCGCAGGTCCCAGGCATCGTCGCACACTGTCCCCCAGCGCCCGCCGTGCCACACCTCCAGGCGGCCCGCACACCCATGGGGACCATCAGCCAGGCGGAGCCGTGGGGCCGGGCCTGGATGTGGGGAGAAGAGGGGTAACAGTTGGGGAGGCTGCGGTGTGTACTCCCTGTGCAGGAAGCTAGCACACATGCTCACATACTAAGCTGTTCACGGGGTCAGGCTTCGTGCCCATGATGACGCTGGACAGCAGACATTCCCCCTTCTGTTTGCTCTGAGATTGGAAGTCACTCACCAAGAGTCCATATATCGTCTGTCCACCTCCCAACGCCCCTGCCTCCCCAGTGGCGAGCTGTGGGGATACTGGCCCTGATCCCACTCCCCAGCTGCCTGCCTCAGGCCTGTATAGCAGGGCTTTCCCACCTCAGCACTCTGACATGGGGGGACAGGTCACTCCTTGTTGGGGGGGGGGGGCATCCTGTGACCAGAGGATGTCCAGCAGCATCCCTGGGTGCCATTCCCCAGATGTGAGCCTCTACAGCGTGACAACCAGATTTTGCCCAATGTCCCCTGGGTAAAAGGGAATCCTAACCCCCTTTGTGGAGAACCACTAGTTTGCATACTAACTTCCTGTGGGTTTTAGAGTACATTTCTGTTTGAGTCTGGGGTGAGACTTGGGTCACCACTGGGGAGTAGAGAGGCCATCTTTCTACCCCCCAATATGAGGGGGGAGCAAAATCACCTGTCAGTGCTCTAGAGAGAAAAAATGACCAGAGAAGGGTCTGACCTGCCTGTGTTTGCATGTCCTCATTGTCGATGAGGAGCTCCCTTATGGGGTTGCTCTGGGAATTAAAGATGTCGTTAGGCACCGAGCTCCCTCTACACCCTGGCACCTCAACAGGGTTCACTTCTTTTCCCCAGCAGCTTAGCCCTCTCTGGCGCCTCAATTCATCTCCCATGACCTGGGCTCTGAAGGCCCCACTTCTGCCCCTACTTGCTGCCCACCCCAGGGCACATGGGGGAGCCACCCTCACTGTCTCTGGTCTGCTGCCCGGTGCCCCTGCCTTGGTGTCTCCACCTTTCCACACCCTGTGCTTCAGATCCCCGGCAGGCACAGCACATCTGTCTGTGCAATGGGACAGGCCCGGCTGGCCCAGTTCTGGGTCCGGGGCTAAGTCTGCAACCTGGGTTATTAGGGTTACTTCTCTGAACCTTGTTTCCACACCTGTGAAGATGGGTGAGAACACCCACCCCAGCAGCCGTCCACATGGGGGTGAGGTTGAGAGACAGCAGGGGAGGTGCCCAGCACGCTGCTTGGCACAGAGCAGAGACCCAGGTGTCATTGTCCTCTTCCCCTTCACATGAGTCGGCTTAAGCCTATCCCACCCCCTGCCCCCCTGTCTGGTGTGCACCCCCTGTCTGCCTGCTGCCCTCATAATTTCTCACTTAGAGCTGTGGGCTGCTACTGCTGCTGCCTTGTGCCTGCTGGGTCTGGCAGCAGACCCAGTCAGATCCATGAGAGTGAGGACTGGGTCTCAGGCTATGTCTGTGCCAGGCCAGAATGGTTCTTAAGAATTTGTGGAAGGTGGGGCGGCCCTGGTGGCACAGCGGTTTAGTGCCGCCTGCAGCCCAGGGCATGATCCTGGAGACCCATGATCAAGTCCCACGTCAGGCTCCCTGCATGGAGCCTGCTTCTTCCTCTGCCTGTGTTCTCTGCCTCTCTCTCTCTCTCTCTCTGTTTCTATGAATAAATAAAATATTTAAAAAAAAAAGAATTTGTGGAAGGAAGGAGGCGGGGAGGAGGGAAAGGTAGGCCAGGAAGAGGACAGAAGATAGGAAAGGAGGAGGGAGGGAGGGAAGGAACACAGGGAAAAGGTGGGGAGGGAGGGAGGGAAGAGGACAGAGGAGAGGGAAGCAGAGGGGAGGGGAGAGGAGAGAGGGAGGGAAGGAGGAAAGAAAAGAACAAAGGAAGAAGAGGGAGGGGAGTCTGTAGGGCAGGTGTGGTGACTGCAGGGGTGCGAGGGGCAGGGCCACAGCACCAGCAGAGGGATCCAGAAGGTGGTGGACATACCTGTGCAGACCAGCCCTGCATCCTCGCTGTGGTCACAATTGCTCCGACCCCAAGGGCTTCTGGGACAGTCCCGCAGAACTTGCTCTCCGCCTCCACAGCCCACATCATCCATCCACACGGGCCCTGAGCCTGGGCCGAATCTGGCGCCTCCAGGGGCAGCCAGCGCGCCCCCACAGCCCAGCTCCCGGCAGGCCACAGCGGCGTCCCTCAGGTCCCATCCGTCATCGCACACCGTCCCCCAGCGCCCACCGTGCCACACCTCCAGGCGACCGGAGCACCCGTGGGGGCCCGAGACAAGGCGCAGCCGCTCTGCAGGGGGAGTGGCAGGGCGGGGGTGGGGGGTGGGGGGGTGGGAGTGAGTCGTGTGAGGCAGTTTGGGAAAAGCAGACTCAACACCCTTGTTTTTCCATCTGGGAAAACTGATGCCCAGAGGGGGCAGTGGCCTGAGATCCACCTGCCCTAGAGAGGAGTGCCAGGATCCCCGCGGGGCAGGGTGTCCAGTCCAGGGAGGGGCCTCCTGGGTCCCCTGGTCAGTGGGGTGGGGGCACCCAGGAGCCGGGGCCTGTTTGAATCCCTGAGGGATGTCGTGCTTGCTAGAGTCCTGCCAGGGGCTGGTTAAGAGGAGGGCGGCTGGGGGTGCCCGGGTTGGTCCAGCCTGGGCCCAGGGTCTTATGCCGGCTAGGTCTGTGAAGGGGAGGTGTGCAGGGAACATACCCTGTCGGGGGGCTCCAGCAGTCAACAGAGGGGCCCTGGTGGACTTGGCTTGCTTGACTGGCCGAGGGCTCTTCTTCCTGGAGCTGTTCTGTGGGGTCCCAGCTGGGCGGGGGCCTGGGAGGGAGAGCCGGGTCAGGAGCTGCTCATCCTCCCACCTGGGGGACCACGCCGAGCTGCCTGAGAGCCCCCAAGGATATTTGGGGGACTGGGACGGGGGTTTCTCAAGGTGGTGAAGCTGGCACCACTGTCTGTTCCCCAGGAGACGTTAGTGCCATAGACCCTCTCCCTCAGCCAGAAGCAGGAGAGAGAGCGGGGCTGGGGTGGGCTCACCGTGGGTCACAGGAGGCCCCTCAGAGCCAGGGCTCAGCTCCCCAGACAGCCCTGGCCAGGGGTCCCCCTCCAGGATCAATGGTGGGTCGTCCCCGTCCCTTGAGTTGGCCACACGCTGACCTGAGGGACACCACAGGAGCTGTGGGAGGTGGCAGGCCCCCAGTGGGGCAGGCACAGCACCCCCAAGTCCCAGGCTGTGGTAAGGTGGGAGTCCTGGAGGGAGACACCTTCTTTGGAGTGGGCAACAGGGAGTGGGGGGTGCTGGGAGTCCTAGGTCACATCTGGAGGAGTGCCCCACCACCACCACAAAGGGTCAAGGGTCTCTCACCTGCACAGACGACGCCCGCATCCTCCTCATGGGAGCAAATGTGGGCCTTCCAGCCCCGGTGGGGGCAGAGCTCCAGCTGCCCCTCACTGCCCCGGCAGGCCAGCTCGCTCAGCCACACGGGCCCCGCACCCTCCCCAAAGAAGGCACCTCCGGGGGCGGCCAGTGCACCCCCGCAGCCCAGCTCCCGGCAGGCCACGGCAGCGTCCCGCAGGTCCCATCCGTCATCGCACACTGTCCCCCAGCGCCCGCCGTGCCACACCTCCAGGCGGCCTGCACACCCATGGGGACCGTCGGCCAGACGCAGCCGCTCTGGGTGGGGGGGGGGGGGATGACAGAGGAAAGGCTATGACATCTGGGAGGCCCGGGGCCGGAGGCAGGGTGTGGTAGGAGGCCAGCCACCCTGGCTGCTGATGGGGGTCCCAACTTCTGGGTCCCCAGGAGAGCTCTGGCCTCCGTAGGAAGTAGGAGGTTGGTTGGCCAGCAGTTCTGAGGGGGAGAGTGCCCGAGGTCATAAGTGCATGGGCAGCGGCAGGACAGGGGTGGGTTGGCGCTGGACGAGGCCAGACAGAGGTGCTCGGGGCCACTTACCCACAGCCTGGATCCCCATCAGAGCCACTGGAAGGGAGGTTGGAGGTAGGGTAGAGTGAGGGCAGGCTGGAAAGGGTGCTTTCTCTAGGGCAGGCCCCTTGTCTTACATACCCCTTGCGCACGCGCGCGCGCGCGCGCACACACACACAGCTGCACACCTCTAAACCAGAAACCCCACTGCTGGGAGGCAGGACTCTGGGCAAGATTCAGGTCCCTGAGACAGGCGGGGCCCCACATGCCTCCGGTCAGGGCTGGGAGCCAGGCCCTTTGTGCTCCCCAGGGACCCAGTCAGGGTCAAATGGTGTGTGACACCCCCCCCCCCGGGTCAGGGCTGGTTGGGGTGGAGGGACGGGTAGGTCCCTGGGGTCCTCGGAGGGTGGGACTGGGTGTGCAGAAGGCTGGGTCCCTTGGGGGACCAGACAAGGACCAGATGTCCCTTATCCCAAGCACCAGGGACACGGCCCCGGAAGTCTGCATTGCTTAAGTATATGGGGTCAGAGGTCCCCAAGTCCCCAAGGAGAAGGGGTCACTCACCAAGGAGGCAGGCCAAGACCCTCATGTTTGCAGAGTCCAGGGCAGGGACGGGGTGAAAGGGGACGCAAGCAGGAGAGGGGAGGAGGCTGCGGCCACCGATACCGCCACCGGAGGGAGGGAGGGAAGGAGGGAGGGAGGGAAGCGCCTGCCAGAGGAGCCCTGGACCGGGGAGGAGCAGGCAGTGGCTGGACGCTCTGCCAGAAGGAAGAGAGGCTGCCTGCCGAGGAGGCAGCAGGGGACAGGAGTGGGGGCAGGGAGGGGGCTGGCCGGCTGATGAGATCTGGGGAGGAGGGGGGTGGTGGTGGAGGGGAGGGAGGGTATCCAACTGCAAACTCCCACAGGGAGCCAGGGAGCCTCCAGGCTGGTCGCCCTGCTGTGCTTAGAGATGCATAGGGTAGGGCGGGCTGGAGGCTGCTGGGACCCACAGGGGCACGCACAAGCACCCACCCGTCTGCCTCTTGTCCAGCCAGGGAACATGGCGACACCGGGGTAGAGCAGACTGAGAGATGGGGTTTGGGGACCTGGTGCAGCTGGGGCTCACAGTTCAGCAGCAAGAGGGCTCAGAGCCAGAAACCAGGAAGGACTTCCTGGATTGGGAAGGAAGACTGAGGAAGCCCTGTGGGTTCCCCCTGGTGGGGTTGAATGCAAAGCCTTGAGTCCCCCCTCTGAGGGAGCAGTGGCTGAACCCTGGGGAAACTGGGGTGGAAGGGGCCAGCAGGACTAAGGGTTGAGTCTTGGCTGAGGGAGGGGGTCTACACACACACACACACACACACACACACACCCTGCCCCCACCCCCCACTCAACACCAGGCAGCTGTGAGGCGGAAAAAATTCGGTAATGGGGAGCATGAGTCAGAGGGCTGGCAGGGAGTGGGGCTGCCGTGAGCTCATTGCCTCCCCTTCTCCCTGTCCAGCACCCCCAGCAACAATTAATGTCAAGTCAGGGAAAAGGAGAAGCCAGACAGAGTGGGGAGGCTAGTCAGAGACAGACTGGAAAAGGCATCAGAGAGAGAGAGAGACGGACATGCAGCAGTTTCAGGCTTTATTAACAATCGGGTGTAAAAAACCAGATGGGTTTGGCTGGCGCCCCTCTCAGCTCACCTTCTGGGGAGGGGCCTGGCACGGGCAGCCCTGTGCCCTCCATCCTTGCCAGGGCCTTGCTCTGGTCAGACTCCCTTCCCCTGTAAGGGCTCTGCTCATCCCCTCTGTGCAGACATCAAGCCCCTCCCCATTCCCAGTAGGGCCTCGTCCCCATTTGGGGTGCCCCTGACGGCAGGTCCTAACCCATGGGGGTGGGCACACTTGCGGGCCTCCTGTCCTCCTCCCAAGTGATCTCGCCCAGGCCTGTAGCATAAATTGTGCAACCTTGGCAGACGGACAGAGGAGACTTCTCAGTGCAGATAAAATCCGGGTCAGGGGGCTGGACAGGTTGACCTCTGCGAAAAGTTCAAGCACTACAGATAGCCGTCAGCCTGCAGTGGAGTGTCCTGCCTTATGCAGGCCTGGGGACTCAACCCGCACACAGTAGCTGCTCATTAAGTGCTCTCCCTTCCTCCAGGGTCCAGAGTCCTCACAGGTCCTTGCTGAATTCCCGCACAAGTGTGTAGCCCATGCAGCCCCAGCTCCCTTCAGCCTGGTAGCCACAGCCCTCCAGCATCCCTGCCACGCCCCACGCTGCCACCGCCACAGGGACCACAAGCCTGGCCCGGGGCTCCCCCATGCCTCCTGCCCAGGCTCGCGCCCGGGATTCGGCAAAGGCCAGCAGCCGCCGGCCTACACCTCGGCGGCGGTGCCAGCGAGACACAGAGAGGCGGGTGACCCGGGCCCCGTCCCCAGCACTGGACCCTGGGGCCAGGGCCAGGATGCCACACACATCACCCGAGCTGCGCACTGCCACCCAGGGGCCCCCCAGGCCGCCCGGTGGAGGCAGTGAGCCCCATCTGGCCCGCAGGCCAAGCTTCATGGCTGCCACAGCCAGGAACACAGGCAGGAGGAGGGCCAGGGCGAAGGAGGCCAGGACGAAGCGCAGACCACTGCTGGCTGCAGCCAGGAGGAGCAGGGCTGGTGGCCGTGTTAGGGCATGGAGGGCCACACGGTTCTCTGTGTCCTTCACACCAGCCTGTGGGCAGAAGGTGCTGTCAGAGGCAGGGGCCTGGGCCATACATCGGGCTGTTGGGCATCCGGGAGGAGTGGGGTGGGCTGTGCCCGGGGAAGGGGCGGAGGGGTGGGAGCTCCCAAATGAGAAGGCATTGTGATGGGGCCAAGGAACACCAGGGAATAGGATTGTATCTGCCCTAGGCACCCTGGGCCTTGAGCAAGTGAGTGAGTTAGGAGCTGTGGGGGACACTGAGGCCACAGGGCAGAGGACTGCCCCAGTTCAGAGCAGGAGCAAGCTCCGGGCAACAAGGGGTGGGCTCAGGAGGGGCCAGGCTGAGGCCCAACGGCTCTTTCTGCTTTGAAGAGTGTTGAGGAGGAGGCTGGGCTTTGGGGGCAAGCGCAGGGCTGGAGTCTGCAGACTAGGGAGGGAGCTGGGACCATGCTCTTCCACCGCCCTCCATCTATTAAAACTTAAAAATAAAATCTCTAAACCCAAAGTAGGGCTTGAACTCATGACCCCGAGATCAAGACCCAACCAGTCAGGCACCCCTAAAACCTCTGCGGCACCGGAAAGGAAAGGGACCGAGCCAGAAGGAAAAGAACGGGTCCCAGGAGTCTGGGCTGGCTCTGCCAAGTGGCTGAAGCCACGCACAAGGCACCCCCGCGCGCTCTCACCTTCAGCATCTCCAGCACCAAGGGTTTCTCATCTTCCCTCATCTCCCGCACTGACAGGTGGCTGGGGGCCATGGCCGCCGCCAGGCTCCCGCGCCCCCAAAGGGAGCAGGCGTGCACCTGGTGAAAACAAGCAGGCCGGCGTCAGGGAGGCGCCCCACACAGGGAGGACCAGCAGCAACGGGACCCTGACCACGACCCTGGAGGCTGGGGCTCCCCAGACGAGGTCCAGCACCCTGCCACCCGGGGCTCCCTCCCAGGCTCCCGGACGGCCCTGGGGAGTCAGCGGGACTCCCCCCAGCAGCCAGCGCCTGGACCACGCTCCCTGCCCTGCAGGCGTCCCCGACCCGCGCCGCAGGAGCAGGCACCGCGAGAACCTCGGCAGGCCGCTTCGGGCCTTCCCCCAGGTGCGGGGGCTGCAGGGTAGTGAAGGGGGTCGCTTGCGGAAGTGACGTCACACTCGCGCATGGAGGGGCGGGGTGTGCAGTCGGCCTTAGCAACAGTTGCCAAGCGTCCCGGCTGGGGCAGGTGGCGGGGCTCCAGGCGCGCGCCGGGGAGAGGCCGGGAGCTGGGAGCAGCGACCCCCTAGGGCTGGGGTCGGGGAACAGGGGGAGGAGACGCGAGCCGACTGAGGGCGGCGGTGAGCGCAGACCCGTACTCACCCGGCCCGCACAGGAGGAGCGCACGTTCGCTACCTGACCTTCGCCGGTTGCTAAGCAAGCGGAGAGGCGGGGGTGCGCGGTGACGCGAGCGGGCCGGCTCTCATTGGCTCCCGGGCCTTCGCGGGGTGGGGGCCGCACTCTGGACTCGCTAGCTCGCAACCTCCCGGCCCCAGGAACCTCCGCTGCTGCGAACTACCTGTGCTCTCCGGGACCTTCGGGAGGATTCCCACGCGCCCATTTTTCAGATGCGGGGAGGGATGGGGTGACTTACAGCGAACACGTGACAAAACCACAATTCTAGATCCCAGCGCCTCCCCACGATAGGGACCGCTGCATCCCTTTGTAAAATGATAAAAAGAACCGCACTTAGAAGCGGCTGGCCAGAAATCTCCAAGTGAGTCACCTGCGAGCCAGGAAGCAAGAGATACAAGACCCTCAAGGTCCCAAGCGGTGGCTATGGCCATGACATTCCCCCCACCCCAACCAGCCCCCAAGAACATAAAATACGGGAGAGAAGTTTCCAGTCTTTATTAGCAAGCCCAGCCTGCAGCTCCCCTCCCTCTAGCCCAGCCCAGCCCAGCCCAGCCCAGCGAGTTGGGGTCTCTGTGTAGGGCACAATTAAGTCCCAGTGGTTCTCCTCAAAACGTATGCACCAGCTGGACTGCAGGCAGAGTCTGGACAATCTGGATGGAGGGTAGGCCCTGTGGGGTCATACCTCCAGGTGCAGCGCCAGTGGGTACCACTTGTACCATCTGGGAGGTGGGAGCTGTGGAGATGCCCACTGGGGCAGAGGCTTGGCCAGGTGGGGGGGAGGCCAGCAGCTGCAGTGTGGCAGCACCTCCCCCACCGCTGCTATTGTCCAGCAGTTCAGTGGCAGGTGCACTGCGGATGATGAGCAGCTTCTGTCCTGGAGGGCCAGGGGCTGGAGGCTCGGCCAGCCCAGGAGGGAGGGTCTCTACCTCCTGCACACACAGCTGGGTCTGTTCGCCATCTGCCCCACTCAGCACCAGGACACTCTGCAACCCCTCGTCTGTCTGCAGTGTCTCAAACAGCACATCCTGGACAACACCAGCACTGGCCTCACTGTCACCTGGCTCCCCAGAGCCTGGACCTGCCAGCAACTCCTCAGCTGTGCCACTCTGAACCACCAGCAGATTGGGGGCCTCAGGAGTCACAGCTCCCCCGCTGGGATTGGAGAGCTGGCCTGCCACAGGCTGGAGCTGGACTGTGGTCACTTCCTGGGCCGGCTGGAGCTGGACTGTGGTCACCTCCTGGGTGGGCTGGAGCTGGACTGTGGTCACCTCCTGGGTGGGCTGGAGCTGGACCGTGGTCACCTCGGGGGCTGGCCGGAGGGGCTGGAGCTGGACCCCGCTCACTTCCTGTGCCCCTGCCTCCCCACCCCCTACATTCTGCAGAACAATGAGGCTCTGCCCTCCCCCACTGGCCCCTGCATTGCCCCCTCCCTGGACCCCCAACCCCCAGGACCCGGCAGCCATACTACTCCAGGCCCCTGAGCACATTTCCCTGCTGCACGTGTGCCCTGCCTTCCGCGGCGGCCCCCAGCACCAGTACTGGAGGAGGGCAGCAGGATGAGCTTGGGGGGAGCAGGTGGGGGCGTGGGTGTAGGGGGTTGGACGCTGCTAGGGATGAGCTGGAGGCCCTGGGCCGTCTGCACCAGGAGAAAAGTCTGGGAGTTGGGGGCTGCCTGGCCCGGGGGTGGGGCCGCAGCCGGGCCCCCCGCCACCTCGAGGGAGAGTGTGGCCTGGAGATGGGGGAGCACATGGACATCTTGGGTGGTGGATGGGGCTGGAGCCGCCACCAGCGGGGCAGGGGGCTGGGAGCTGGTGGCGGGGGCTGCGGGGCCGGCAGCCGCGGGGGCCGGGGCGTGCGTCCTCAGGTGCCGCTGCAGGTAGGCTGCCATGACGAAGCTGCGGCCGCAGATGGGGCAAGCAAAGGGGCGCTCGGCTGAGTGGGTGCGCTGGTGCAGCAGCAGGTTGGACGAGTGCGTGAAGGTCTTGGGGCAGAGTGGGCAGCGGAAGGGCCGCTCGCCCGTGTGCACGCGCTGGTGCTGCCGCAGGTTGGAGGTCTGCGCGAAGCTCTTGCCGCACACGCCACAGGCGTGGGGCCGCTCGCCGGTGTGCACGTGGCGGTGGCGCCGCAGGCACGACGTGTTCCGGAAGGCCTTGCCACACTCCCCGCAGGCGTATGGCCGCTCGCCCGAGTGCAACCGCAGGTGGTACTGGTAGTGTGAGGACCACTTAAAGGTGAGCCCACACTGGCCGCACGTGAAGGCCCGCAGGCCTGTGTGCACACGCTGGTGGATGGCCAGCAGGGAGGAGCGCTTGAAGGCCTTGCCGCACTCACCACACTGGTAGGGCCGCTCGCCCGTGTGGTCCCGCAGGTGGTAGCGCAGCCCCGAGGAGCCCTTGAAGGCCTTGCCGCACTCTGCACACTTGTAGGGCCGCTCGGTACAGGCTGGCGTAGGCGCGGGTGGGGCGGGGGCCGCTGGGGCCAGCGGCTCCTGGGGACAGGTGACCTCGGCGGCCTCGGCCTGAGGGGGCGGGCGTCCAGCCGCCGCCTCTTCCACATGGCACTGCTGGTGTGCCAGGAGGCTGGCCAGCTGCGGGAAGGCGCCGTCACAGCTGCCACAGCGGAACGCCTGCCCGCCGGCCACCCCGTGGCTGTGCTGGTGGCGGGAGAGGCCGGCCACTGTCCGGAAGGACTTCCCGCATGGGAGGCAAGCAAACCCCGGGGGGTTGGCCGAGGGCGGGGGCAGTGGTGGGGGGGCTGGTGGGGACTGGGGAGGTGGTGGGGCAGGGTCTGCCTTGGGGGTGGTCGTGGCCTGCGCGTCCTGGGGTGGGGTGGCTGCCTCTGGCCCGGGGCAGGGCTGGTGCTCCAGGAGCAGCTCCTCACTACCAAAGCCCAGCTCACAGCCCTCGCAGCGGTACACCAGCTCCACCGTGGTTTCCGCCGCCGCCAGAAAAAGCTCAGGCACCACGGGTGGGGGCGCAGGCGGTGGTGGGGGCACAGGTGCATGCAGGTAGGCGTCGGACATCAAGACCTTGGCGCTGGGCTCATCCTGCGGTGGGGCAGGGGCACTGGCGGCTGCGCTGTGGGTGCGCTGGTGCAGCAGCAGGTTGGATGAGTGCGTGAAGGTCTTGGGGCAGATGGGGCAGCGGAAGGGCCGCTCGCCCGTGTGCACGCGCTGGTGCTGCCGCAGGTTGGTGCTCTGGGTGAAGCTCTTGCCGCACACACTGCAGGTGTAGGGCCGCTCGCCTGTGTGCACGTGGCGGTGGCGCCGCAGGCTGGACGAGTTCTTGAAAGCCTTGGGGCAGTCGGGGCATGGGTAGGGCCGCTCACCCGTGTGCTGCCGCAGGTGGTACTGGTAGTGTGAGGACCACTTGAAGGCCAGGCCACACTGGCCGCATGTGAAGGCCCGCAGGCCCGTGTGCACGCTACGGTGGATCTGCAGCAGCGACGAGCGCTTGAAGGCCTTGGGGCAGTCAGGGCACTGGTAGGGCCGCTCGCCTGTGTGGCCCCGCTGGTGGTAGAGCAGGGCCGAGGAGCCCTTGAAGGCCTTGGGGCAGTCAGGGCACTTGTAGGGCCGCTCGCCTGTGTGTGTGCGCTGGTGGTGGAGGAGCCGGGAAGACCACCGGAAAGACTTGCCACACTCCCCACACTCGTACTGGGCGGTCGGTGCAGGGGCTGCGGGGCCAGGCTTCTCCCCGGGCCCCTCGGTGGTAGAGGCGGGGGCCATGTCTGCGTGGGAGCCAACCATCACACCTGGCGGGGGAGGCTGGGTCAGGGCAAGGCAGGAGCTCACCCCACCTCCACCCAAACAACCCGTCTTCTCAACCTGGACCTACACGCTGGCCCTGGAAGAGGCAGAGGGTATCTCCCCAGCCCACCCATGGGACAGAGAGCCTCCATTAGCATCAGGGCCCCCCAGTGGTCAGGTCTGCCCTAAGGCTGTGGGTGCTGGAACTGAAGCTTCTGGCAAGCTAGGATGAGCGCTCACCACCCATAGGATGCTGGCCATCCCCTCTAGGAGGCTGGACAACTCTGAGAAGCCCATGCGTGATCTTCAGGAGGCCAAGCACTTCCCTTAGGACCAAGCTCTCTTTCTCTCTCTACAGACAGGTACTGTCCTGGAAAAGGCCTGGCGTGTCTCTAGCACCCTGCCTTCTGACTTTTGACCCTTCTTCCTGGAAAGACCTCTGCCTCCATCCTGCCTCAACACAGTTCCTGCTGCCACCATAACTAAAGCCCTGTGCGCATCCCACTCTCCACCCCCCATCCTGGCTGCCTACTTCCTCTTGTGCATTAATCAAAAATCCCTCAACTAGGGGATCCCTGGGTGGCGCAGCGGTTTCGCGCCTGCCTTTGGCCCAGGGCGCGATCCTGGAAATCCGGGATCGAATCCCACGTTGGGCTCCCGGTGCATGGAGCCTGCTTCTCCCTCTCCCTCTGCCTCTGTCTCTGCCTCTCTCTCTCTGTGACTATCATAAATAAATAAATTAAAAAAAAAAATCCCTCAACTCGACCAGACCCATAAAGGCTCTGCACCCTCCATCCCATCCACATCCTCACTTCCTGCCTGACTTCAGTCTCCCTTTTTAAAATATCTTTTTTTTTTTTGAAGATTTTATTTTTTAAGTAATCTCCAGGCACAGTGTGGGGTTCAAACTCACAACTTGGAGATCAAGAGTTGCCAGCTCTACCCCTGGTTTGTCTACCCCTGGTTTTGCACTAACACCCATGCCCTCACGGTTCCCTGAATTGCCCAGACTGCATTTCTCTAGTCCATTCAGTACATACACATACCCACCCAACAGGTGGTACTGAGCATGTTTCTGTGATCTTGCCATCAATTTTGTCACTGAGAACGTAAAAGCAATCAGAAGACAATGTTCCCATGTTTCAACTACTATATCAGTAATTCTCAATGGGAGCAGTTGCACTCCCATCCCCGAGGACATCTGGCAATGCCTGAAGACTGTCATCCAGTGGAGGGGCCGATGCTCCTGGCATCTAGTGGGGGGAGACCAGGGATGCTGCTTGATACCCTACAGTGCACAGGGACAGACCTCCACAGCACAGAATGATCCAGTCCAAAACACCAGTGTGCTGAGGTTGAGGATCCCTACACGACCTCCCTCCCCACTGCCTGCTTCTGACTCTGACTTCCCACCTACTTTTCCTCATCTGCTAGACTGTTCCCATCAGCTTACCTACAAGCTCTAGCTACCATCTTTAAACAACAAAACCCTTCACCCCACCACCCCTCCAGCTATGGCCTTATTTCTCTCCACCCCCTTTGCAACAAAGCAACTCAAAAGTGCTGTCAATACATGCTTTCTTCCATCTCAAACCCTGACACTCAGATCCTCCTCCCCAACTCCACTCCTGGCCTGGCTGGTGCTAAATTGCACAGTCTCTGCTCAATCCCCAAGGGGTCCCTCCCTCCTGAAGCCACTCTCCTCCCTTCTGGGCACTGGTTCCTTCTTCCTGACTTGCAAATGTAGGGGAGCTCAGGGCTCGGCCAACCCTTGGTCCTCTTCCTCATCCACACTCTCTTCCAGGATCTGTCTATAAACAGGATGGTTCCAAAATGGATCTCTACTTGACATGCTCTCCTCTAAACTCCAGAGCCCTGCTACCATATGTCATATGGATGGATAACAGCTAGCTCAAGCTTAACATGCCACCAGTCTAACTCGGAGTTTTTTTTTTTTTCCACTCCTGCTTGCTCCCTGTTTCACTGACATTCTCCTCCATCCCTAAAAACCCGCTCTGTTCTTCCTCAGCATCCCCTCTTCCTCTCACCACCTATGACCAATCCATCAGCCAGTTCCCTTGTTCCAGCAGGAATGTGTCTGGAATCTGGCCACTTCTCTCCAAATCTCCCACTGCCACCTTTGCACAGGGCCATCCTCCTAACACAGATCTCCACGTTTCCACCCCTACTCTTCCCACCCCCAGGATGCGCCCAACACAGCACCTGCGGGGTAGACAAGACCACTCTCTTACAAGAGCCTGCAGAATTTCCACGCCCATGGCCTCCTCCCCCCGCCCCCGCCGGCCTCCCTGTAGCCTCTCAGACTCTCACGCCATCCTGTCACCACCTGAAGCCCTCAGCAGGCCCCTGCCAAGCACCTCGCTGACCTGTCACGGGGGGGGGGGGGCATTCCTTGCACCGGCCCTAATCTACAACCCCTTCCAACACTCCCCATCCTCTACAGCATGTATCACCTTCTGACCGGTTTTCAATCAGGGTTTCCCAACCTCAGCACTGTTGAGATGCAAGCTGACCTGTGCCAAGGCGCCCGTCCGGAGCACTGGGAGGTGTTCAGCAGCACCTGTAGCCTCCACCCACTGAATTTAGTGGCATCTTAACCACTGTCGCACTCCAGCGCCTAAAACAACGTGTAGCTCAGAGCGAGCACTGAGAAAACATATCCTGAATGGGAAAAGCCGGGGCACCCCCTTTTTGGACAGCTCTAAAGATTCCCTGTAGCCAGATGAGCAGCCTCTTAACATGTAATCAAGTCCTTCTAGGAGAAACTGCCCGTGCCTTCCGGAAGGCCGAGCAAGCCTTAAACTGTGACATCGGCCCTCTGCATGGGTCAGACCCATCCTGCCCGGGAGAGCACCCAGTCCAAAGGCAGGACCACACCCTTCCATCAGACCCGACTTCCCCTTTAAGGGGCTGCTCCTGCTGCACACCATCGTCCACCTTTGTTGAGTTCAGCTAGTGTCTGCCTGGAAACCACCAGGCCTCAGGAGCTAGTCCTTCAATGTCGGGGGCCCCGTCCGTGACCTTTCACAAGGCAATCCGTCCTTAAGAGGATGAAAATCGGGAAAGCTGCAGAGAACCGCAGAACCAGACCCGCTCCTCTAAAAGCAACCCCTTGCCCTTTAAGAGGGCGGAGCCGGCCCAGAGAACAAAAATCGGAGGTGAATTAGCGCCCTTCCCTTTAAGGCGTCTCTTCCGGTTTCACGCTCGCCGTTTCCCCAGCGTCCCCGCCCTCCGGTCCCTCCCCCCACCCCCACCCCTCCGGTCTCTCACCTGCGGCCCCGATCGGGGGAGTGAGCGGGGAAGACCTAGGGCCTCCCCGCGGGGGCCGACGGGAAGACGGGGCCCCGGCAGCGGCAGGACAGGAGTGGGGGCCTGGGAGGGGGGCGGGGGCGCGCTCCCTCCCAACAGCCCCCGGCACGAGGCACCCAACCTTTATCGGCAGCCTCTCGCGCACACAAACCCCGACGTCGCCGTCGGCGCGTCACGACGCCACGTGCGCCGAGGCCCCGCCCCGCCCCTCCTGTTGGCTTTTGGCGGTTGCTCGCTACCCACCGCAAGCGGCGCACGGCATCGTGGGAGTTGTAGTTGTTCCTCGACCCTGGCCGCTGGGTCTTTTCTGGGTAGCGGAAGTCAGCGCCAGGCCAGGGGAGGCCGCACCCAAACACGAGGTCGCGTGTTCTCATTTTTACTATCGATTCATAGACTCCCTCCCCAGCAGGGCGATTTCCGAACGGGCCTAGCCAACCAGGGGGTGTGGTCTTCCCTGGCCTGGCCCCCACACCCAGGCCCTGGGTCTCTGAACTCCCCGCTGGGGAAACAGGCTCTCCGTGCTACCTGGCCTCAGAGGCCCCACGTGCTCGCGGCTCCCGGGCTTCTGTGCGGGAACGTGGGCCCAGTTGTGCCTTCTTCGTGGCCTGGAGCTGTCCCGGACCCCCTCCCTCCTTTCCACCTGACCCCAGGACGACTTCAGCCTCTGAGCCGTACTGACCAATGCAGGTCACCCAACACCGTTGTTCAACCACGGCACTAGTCACATTTGGGCCACATGGTTCTTGGTTGTGAGGGCCACCCTGTGCATTTTAGGGTGCCAAGCAGCATTCCTTGTCCCTGCCTCCACCTCCCCCCACACACACACATCCCCTGGTGGAGAGTGCCCGCTGCTCCAAGGCATTCCCCCTAAGCCTGAGGGCTGCTTATCAGACCAGAAGGCCCTTCTGTTCCTACCGCATACCTTCTCAGCTCTGAGCTATTGAAGAATAAAGAGGGGAGGCCACAGGGGTAGAGTTAGGAGGCCCTGCCCTGGGGTCTGTCCCCACCTGCTTCTAGAGCTCCCCAGCACACCAGACTGAGCCCCATACAGTTGGTCCCCAGATGGAGGACGGACTCCACACTAGGTCGAGGTGTAGATGTGGAATGTAATGCCCAGCTGGCTACGGGGAGACCCCAGGCCCACCTTCATCTCAAGGGTCCCTGCAATAATGAAAGGACCTCTTGGTACCAACACAACCCTAGCCAACCAACACCCCCGCCCCCAGTCAGGAGATATAATAAGGGAGGTGAGAGAGGCAGAGCCCCAGCACCTGCCCTTATTGGCCATCCCCTACTCTGGAGCCAGAAAATAAAGGTTTTGAACTCAATGGCCTGAAGCAACTGGTTGTGAAGATTTAACTGGCTTTTTCAAAATAGTAGCTAGACACCTCATGTAGGACCCTGTACAAGGGACATCGTGGGGTCCTTGTACAGACAAGCAAACTGGGAATCCAGGTGCCAAAGACACAAATAAGATCACAGGAAATCACCAGAGGTGCCCCAACCAGGCCTTATGGTGTCCAGACCCTCAGTCCCTTTTTTTTTTTTTTAAGATTTTATTTATGCATGAGAGACATAGACACAGGCAGAGGGAGAAGCAGGCTCCATGCAGGGAGCCCGATGTGGGACTTGATCCTGGGTCTGAGGGTGGCGCTGCGCCACCAGGGCTGCCCTAGACCCTCTGTCCTGATCCAGGCCCCTCCCAGGTCTTGTCCTAGGAGCTGGGGACATAGCAATAGGGTGTGAAGGCAACAAAAGTCCTGTCCCAGGGAGTTTATAAAATCTACAGTGGGTAAGGGATGACAGTAAATAAGTAATAAATAAACAAGTCATAAATAGTGTGTGTCCTATTCTACATGCTGCTAAGAAAAATAAAGCAGGAGCGGTGGATATGGGTGAGTGAAGGCCTCCAGGAGTTTAAATGTGGAACCTAGCAAACACCATTCAAAGCCCCTGGCATTCTTGTTTCAGGCCAACAACACCCTGCCCCAGGTGCTTTTCAACCCCCTTAACTAGATCACGCATCTTATCCAGCTGCAGGGCCTCTGAGACCGTCTCCCACTTTGCCAGCCGGATAAACCATTCATCCTGGAGGACAGAGCTGGGAGTGGGGATTGCAAGCTTTGAAGGTGACCAAAACCTATATGACCCTTTCCAGGGACCAGGCTGTTATTCATGCCCCAAAGGCCCCGTGTGTACTAGAGAGGAGAGGATTAGGGACTGGGGTGAAAAGTGGCCCTGGAGCACCTGTCTACACATAGCAGGAGGTATCTGAACCACAGACAGGACTCCCAGGGACAGACAAAAAATAAAATTACTTTTTTCATCTAAGTGCAGGAAAGAGAGCAGAGATGCACTTTAAGCAAGATAGGGGTGGGCAGGAGCCCAGTGGGGGATGGCCTATGCCTCCCACAGGGTAAGAATATTCCCTTCTGACATCTCTTGGGGCTCCTATGCGGTGCTCAGCCAGCCCTGCCCCAATGGGCCCTTCCCAGGGAAGGAGTGTTATTCCCACTTCACTGGGGAGTAAATCGAGGCCCTCTGAAGTCTCTTGGCCAAGCACAGAACCAGGCAGTGATGTAACATCCTGAACTGGGACATGATTCTTGTAACCCGGAAGTGATTTAACCAGGACTGTCTCCAGTCCCAGAGTCCACCCCCATCCAAGGCCTATCTAGCAGGTCCCCATGGTCCTGCATGGTCACAGCCCAGCACACAAGAGCCAGAGGAGACTCCCTGGTTGGTCACACCGGGTCACAGTTCCATCTGTACAGGGAAAACACATCCCTCTGTTTTAATTACAAAAGTGTGAACAGGGACAGATACATACCAAATACCCTTCCCAGGAGTGTCTACCATGTTCCATGATGATGCCCAATGACTCACACCGTTGTACACCAAGTACATTTTTTTTAAAGATTTTATTTATTTATTCATGACAGACACACACACACACAGAGGCAGAGGCACAGGCAGAGGGAGAAACAGGCTCCATGCAGGGAGTCTGATGTGGGACTCGATCCCCAGTCTCCAGGATCATGCCCCGGGCTGAAGGTGGCACTAAACCACTGAGCCAACCGGGCTGCCCCCAAGTACATTTTCTTCAGGTGGCCTGTGGACACACTAGACGTCACTCCTGTGATAGATTATGTGATATGGTGAAGGTGAAGGGATTTTGGCAAGTCCAATGAAGGCTCCCCATCAGTTAATCAAAAGGAAATGTAATGGTTAATTTTATGTGTCAACCTGACCAAGCCACAGGAAGCCCAGGTATCTCATTAAACTCGATTTTTGGGCACATCTGTGAAGGTGTTTCTGGAAGAAATAAGCATTTGCATCAGTAGACTGAGTAAAGCCAATGGACCTCCCCAGGGTGGGTGGCCATCACCCAATCCATGGAGGGCCTGGCTAGAACAAAAAGGTGGAGGTAGGTGGGATTCCCTCTCTACCTGACTGAACTGGAACCTTGATCTTTGCCTGCTCACGGTGCTCCTGGTTCTCAGGCCTTCAGACCTGGACTAGAATCCATACCATTGGCTCTCTGGTTCTTAGGCTTTGGAACTACACTGCTGGCTTTCCTGAGCCTCCAACATGCAGATGACAGATCATGGGACTTCTCAGCCTCCATGATCACACACGCCAATGTTATAGTATATCTCTTTATATACATAATGTATGATACATAACATCTCTCTCTGTCTCTGTCTCTCTCTATATATATAGATAGAATTGGCACAGATATAGATCCTATTGGTTCTGTTTCCCTAAGAGCCCAGAAAGGACAACAGAAAGGTTGTCCTGGGTGGGCCTGGTATAATCAGGCAAGGTCTTTAAAACTGGGTCTAGAGGTCAGAGACGTGAAACATCAGTGATTTTCCTGCTGGTCTTGAAGCTGCCTGCTTCCATGAGTTTTACAAATGCTAGTCAATGAATTCCTCCATGTGAGCCCAGAAGAGGCCCCCAACCTCAGATGAGACTGTAGGTCCAGCCTACACCTTGATCACAGCCTCATGAAGCCCTGATCAGAGGACCCAGTAAGCCACAGTGCCTGAACTCCTGACCTATGGGAACTCTGAGAAACTTAGAGTACACTGTTTTAAGCCATGGTATTCGTGGTTATTTGTTACACAGCATAGATAACTAATACACTTCTTGTGTTAGTTTGCTGGGCTGCCCTAACAAGCTCCCACAGCCTGGGTGGTTTAAGCAACAGAAATTTATTTTCTTACATTTCTAAAGACTAGAAGTCCAAGATCAAGGTGTTGGCAGGGTGGGTTTCTTATGAGGCCTATCTCCTTGGCTTGCAGACATCCGTCTCTCCCTGTGTCTTCACATGGGCTTCCCTGAACCTTTCCATGTCCAAATATCCTCTTCTTTTAAGGACACCAGGCATCTTGGATTCAGCACAAATACATAACCTCATTTTAATTTAATTACCTCTTTAAAGACCTGACATCTGAATATAGTCACATTTTGAGGTATGGGGGTTAGGATGAGTGGGGTTAGGATGAGTTTGGGGAGACACAATTTAGTCTACAACATGGTGGGAAACAGATGTGACAGGGTTGGCCTCTCTGAGCTCTCAGGACCACCAGGTACCAAACATATGCAAATTTTCACAATACATTGTAAGAGAAAGTCCCTCTGGGACTAGGTAGAAAGATAGCAGATGAGCAGGACGGAAGCAGGGAGGGACAAGGTTTTTCTGGGCTCCCAAGCCTGATCCTGATACCTCAGTTCCCCCCTCGTATATTGGAGGGGATGTAGGACCAGGGTCTCCATATTCCAGCTGCACCAAGGCCAGCGAAGGAAATTTGGGATAGGGCCCTGAGGCCAAGGTACTACCTCTGCTTTAAACCCTGCATGGCAAAAAAACAAACAACAACAACAACAAAAACCCTGCATGGCTCCTCATTAACTCTTGCCTTTACAACCGAACTCCTACCTGGCCTGAAAAGCCCTGAGGGTCTGGCCCCCATCTGCTTCTCTGACTTTACCTCCTCCTAGTTCCTTCCCTCTGCCTGGGAAGCTCCTGGCTAACGCCTCTTCCACTCAGGTTGCAGGACAGTTGTCACCTTCTCAGAGATAGCTTCTCCATCTGAAGCAGCACCCCTCCCCCATCCAACCTCCAGCTTACTGTCCAGCACATCCTGGACGGGTCTTTTCTTGTTTGGGGACAGACGGGGCTTGTCTTGCTCACTGCTACATCCTCAGTCTATGGTAGGCACTCAATAAATGTTAATTAAATAACTAAACATCAGAGCACCTGGGTGGCTCAGTGGTTGAGCATCTGCCTTTGGCTCAGGTCATGATCCCAGGGTCTTGGGATCGAGTCCCGCCACAGGCTCCCCGCAGGGAGCCTGCTTCTCCCTTTGCCTGTGTCTCTGCCTCTCTCTGTGTGTCTCTCATGAATAAATAAATAAAATATTTAAAACACACCAATAAATAACTAAACGTCTCCCACCACCAAACGACATGAGCTAGGAGGAGGGAAGGGGAGCCAGCCTGTGAGTGTCTTCTCTACCGGGAAGGCCAGGTCCTCACCGAGCATCAGAGGAAGCCAGCCCCCAGCTGTGGGTGAAGCTCCTCTGTGACCGGACAAGAGGTGAGGGCAGGGGCCCCAGCACAGCCTCCCAGCACAGCCTGGGATGTGGGCGCCCCCTGGCGGAGCAGCCCCAGCCCGGAGCCGGAAGGGCCGCGGCGGAAGGTGTGGAGGTGTGTTCCCCACTCTACCAGGCGGGGGCCAGAGCTGGCTAGCAGATGCTGCCCCTGGCTGCTGATGGCACGGCTGCAAGCCCGCTCCTGGGGCGGGGCTAGCCAAGGTCACACCGCCCTTGAGCCGGGCCCTGACCTCCCGTTCTCCAGAGACCTGGGCTCCGCTCCCCTCATCCCACCCCGCCCCTCGCCAAGAGACCCTGCACATTCCCCGCTGGGCCTGAAAGCACCAGGACAGCACAGCTTCCAGGCTGTCACACAACCCCACACGCATGCCCAGGATGTGCACACACGTGTGAACATGCACACACAGGACTTGTCCAGGTCGAGAGACAGAGACACACTCAGACTCAGAGACCCTGGAGAGGCTCAGAGACAGAAATGGTCAGAGAAGCTGAGAAGCACAGCCATGGTGAGAGTTGTGGTCAGAGACACGGAGGAGAGGAGAGTACACCCAGTAGAGCCAGGAGGGCTGCAGGCAGTACAGACTGGCCGAGGGGCAACATGCAGGTCAAGTGGGACCTGGAGACCCTGGGAGGCATCCAAGACGGATGGCGGCCCGTGGTGTCCCTGACACGGTCCCCTGACTCGCGAGGCCCCCGAGCACACTGTCATGAAGGGGACAGCCGTCAGTGTGCCGGAGCCGAGGCTAGCCTCACCGTGGCTGCCACAGTGCGCTGGCGGGCACCTTGGCCCTGGCATCACCACAGGCTGCCTGCTGCTAGCACTGCCCTGTCACCACTCAGGCTGGTGGCCTAGTGGCCCCATCACGAGCCCTGGGCCCAGCCAGGCTTCCACTCCTATACTCTGGGCTGCTGCCCCTGTGCTGACCCTATCTGCAAAGCCATGGTGTTGGGGCCTATGCTGACTCAAGTTCAAATCCCAGCTCTGCCACTTACTTGCAGCATGACCTTGGAGAGGTCACGGCAGTTCTGGAAGCTGGACAAGGTACAGGGCGGTGCCGGGTGGTGTGGGGATGGGGTGGGTGGATTCTCTCCTGGAGCCTCCAGAAGGAGCCCTTCCTTGCCTTCAGTTCTTAAGGCCCATCTTGGACTTCTGACCCCTAGAACTGCAAGATAATAAACATAGGTGGTTTTAAGGAACAAGGTTTGTGGTAATGTGTACCCCTGGACACTCACCACCCCCCATGCAAACCTCCAACACAGCCCCCTCAGAGCAAACGTGGAGACACCTGTCCCACACCAGCCCAGACCAGGGCCCCCCACTCTGGCCAGTGCCCTGCCAGAAACAAGGGGACCCCACTCCCACCCCAGGAGCCAGCCTGCCCACCCCGTCATGCCCAGCCTGTTCTCTGCCTCCCCTCAAATACCACGGGGGCCCCCCAGCTCCCCCTTAAGATGCCTTAGGGAAACCAAACCCATGCTTTCCTTCCCCTCCCAGTGCCACAGGCAAGCTGTGCCACAGATGGTCCCACGTGTCATCCACCTAAGCAACCAGGCCGGCTGGGCACGTGTCACCTCCCCCCTCCCTCACTCACTGCTGCTCTGGCAGAAATGAAGGGTTTGGGGCTCAACCCCTTCACACAGAAGCCAACCCTTCCTGCAGACAGGCAGGCCCCCTCTGTGCACCCGTTTCCCCAGGATGCCGGCCCGGAGGCAGGCAGGTCTGGGGGTGGGTGGGCAGATGCTGGGTGTCTGCCCCACAGCAGGAGGCTCCCAGCACCCCTCCCAGCCTGCACCCAAGCCTCCCGCCATCCCTTCCCCTTAACTCCAATTAAAGGGTCCTCAACGGCTAATCGATGCGGTTGACTCAGCCCCTGGCCTCACCTCCCTAACAAGGCCTTTGTCTGCTTAATTGGCTATCTCCAGGCGCTATTGCTATTCCGGGTTCCCCACCATGCTGCCCTATCCTCATATCCCAGGCCCAGCTATGTGATAATTGGGCCCCTGGGGGGCACACATAAAGCCCACCCTTGCCTTCCTATATCAGCCCCCACCCACGGGTTCCTAAAGCTCAGCCTCCAGCCTCCAGGAGGTAGGGATGGGGCACGGGAGGGAAGACTTGCCCTAATTTCCTGGGCTGTGACTCCTCCAACCAGAGCAGTGTCCCCCCCCCCCCCCGCCCCGTCCGCTCCCCCACCCCCACCCCAGCCCCTCCTAAAGGCCCTCTCTTCTCCTGCCTGCTGTCTGCCTCCCCAGAGCTCAGCTCCCAGCCCTGGCTGCTCCTCTCTCCCCAGATTCGGGAGCTGCTTTCTGACCAGCAAGAATATTGTGGAGAAGCTACCCTAGATCAGCCCTGCCATGCACCCTGGGGCCCCTACAGCCTCTGGAGTCTCTGAGCCCAGCCCTCGAGAACTGTGTGCCTTCGTGAGCGGGGCAGCCAGCCACATGCTGCGTGCCCTGCACCCTCGGCAGACCCGGCCCCCCAAAAGGAGGCCCAACCACAGGAGGTTTCTGCACAACCAGATCTGCAGGTGAGGGGCAATAGAAGATGGGAGGTGGGCAGAGGGGCGTGGGGAGGGGCCAGACACCTCAGAGTGTGGGAGACTAGAACAGAGAGAAGGGGACTCCAGGGCAGGATACAATCAACACTTAAGATGCATTTATTGAGCATTAACTGTGTGCCAGGCTCCCAAGATCCACTGGTGCAAGGCAGACAGAATCTGCCTTCATAGAGCTTGTGTTCCCACAGGAAGGTGGCCGATCAGAGATTGTGATGCTGAGTGAAAGAAGCCAGACACAGAAAGCCACATATTGCATGATTCCATTTGTGTGAAAGCCAGAAAGCAGGGTAGTGGTGCCAGGGAAGGCAAGAGGGGATGGCGAGTGATTGTCAGTGGGCTCAGGGTTGCTTTCTGGGGTGATGAAAAGTTCTGGAACTAATTAGCAGTGCTAGTTGCACATTGTGAATGTATTAAATGTCACTGGATTGCACACTTTATTATTTTTATTTTATTTATTTATTCATGACAGACACAAAGAAAGGCAGAGACGGGATCCCTGGGTGGCGCAGCAGTTTGGCGCCTGCCTTTGGCCCAGGGCACGATCCTGGAGACCCGGGATCGAATCCTACGTCGGGCTCCCGGTGCATGGAGCCTGCTTCTCCCTCTGCCTGTGTCTCTGCCTCTCTCTCTCTCTCGCTCTCTGTGTGACTATCATAAATAAATAAAAATTAAAAAAAAAAAAAAAGAAAGGCAGAGACACAGGCAGAGGGAGAAATAGACTCCGCACAGGGAGCCCGATGCGGAACTCGATCCCGGGACTCCAGGATCATGCCCTGAGCCAAAGGCAGATGCTCAACCGCTGAGCCACTCAGGCGTCACTGGATTGCACACTTTAAAGTGACTCGTTTGGGACTCCTGGGTGGCTCAGTGGTTGAGCATCTACCTTTGGCTCAGGGCGTGATCCCAGAGTCCCAGGATCAAGTCCCACATCGGGCTCCCTGAATGGAGCCTGCTTCTCCCTCTGCCTCCCCACCCCCGCCTGCCATCTCTCACGAATAAATACATAAGTAAATCTTTAAAAAAATAAAGTCACTTGTTTTAAGTTATGTGAATTTTATCTCGATTTTTAGAAATTATATGGCTTGTTATGAGGTGATAAATACTATGGAGGGCATGCTGGGTGAGGACTGGCATTTTAGGTAAGATGTCAGGGAAGGCTTTACTGAGAAGGTGACAATTGAGCCAAGACCTGACTGAGGCCAGGGAACAAGACTGTGATGTCTGAGGGAAGAGCATTCCAGGTAAGGCACAGCAAGTGCAAAGGCCCTGAGGCAGGAACATCCCTGGAATGTTTGAGCACCAGTGAGGCTGGAGCTGAGTGAAAGGGGAGGGAATAGGGTTCTAAAGAAACAGGAGCTCCCCATTTAGCACCACACCATTCAGCCCCTGGGTTGCATGTTCCCTTAGCAAAGCAATGTCCTTCCCTGTCTCCGGGAATGTAGATGGAGACCTGAGCTCCTTCATGTCTGTGCTCATGCCTGTCCTTCCTCCCAACCCCACCCAGCCCCATCCCGCCTTGCCCTGTGCTCTTCCCTCACTCTGTGACAGGAGCCATTTTTTGAGCACACCCTTAGGTTTGACATGCAATATATCACTTAATCCTCTCAATAAATCTGCACAGTATGTTGTCTTTGTCCCTATGCTACAGACAAGGAGGCTCAGAGATTCAATGCCTTATCCAAACCACACAGCTAAACAATGGATACAACCCAGGCCTTCTGAGTCTAGAGCTCATGCTCTGTACAACTTTGCTGTCCTGGCTGGATACAGAGTCTCAGGGACTTGATGATGATGATGGTGGTGGTGGTGGTGGTGATGGTGTTGGTAGAATGATGGTGATGGTAATGGTGGAATGGTGGTGATAGTTATGATGGTGATAGTGGGATGTGATGATGGTGATGGTGATGATAATGGTGATGATGTTGATTGTGATAATGATGGTGGTGATGGTGAGATGGGGGTGGTGATGGTTATTGTGGTATGGTGGTGATGGTGGTGATGATAATGGTGGTGATGATGGTGATGATGCTGATAGTGGTATAGTGGTGATAGTGATGATAATGGTGGTGACGATGGTGATGATGGTGATAATGGTGGTGATGATGGTGATGGTACCTAACAAGCACCTGGCACTTAATATGTGCCACATATTAAGTGCCAGACACTTGTTTTGAGCACTTTAGTATTAATTTGTAATACTCATTCACAATGAATATGAACTCATTAATCCCCAATAGTAACCCTAGGAAGTAGTTGCTATTATAATTCTCATTTTTCAGATGACAAACTGAGGCACAGAGAGATAAAGTGACTTGCCCAAGGACCTGCTCTTCTGGAAGTAGGTTGTTCCTTCCAGCCAGCCTAGAGCCTTGCTCCAGGAGGTCTTGGAATCAAATTTGAGTATACAGGGGCCTGGTGCAGCCTAACTCCTGCCTCCACACTGCAAGCCACCTTGTACCAGGAAGCCCAGCCCCAGCCACACCCAGAATGTTCACCACCACCACCCTACACACCCATTATTGAAGAGGAAATCACATCTCTCCTCAAATAGGGTCCAGCGCTGTGTCCCAGAGCTAGCCTTCTCATACCTCTTCAGCCCCCCTCAGCAATCACTTCAGGATCCCTCCCCATCTCCAGCCTCCATGTGGAATCCCTGCCCGCCTCCAGTCTGGACCCTATGCTAATGCCAGCCTCTCACCTCCCAGGTTCCCTGCCCACCTTCCCCCATTCAGCCTCCCTTTTACCCAGGGCCAAGGCCAACTTCTGTCCTATTGCACCCCAGACATTCCCACCCCCATGCCTGGCTCTGCCACATGCTCCCTGGAGGCCCAGGCCTACCACCCACAAGCTCCTCATGGGCAGCCCAGGCAGCTCTGGAGCATATTCCCCTGGGCACCCAGCCTCAACCTGAGAAAATTCAGGTCACAGGCAAACAGGCAAACTATCCTCAGCACCTTCCCACCCACACCCTCCTCCTCCTCCCTCCAGGTCCCCTCAGGCCCTGCTCCCTCAGGAGCCTCTTCCCACCCATGTGTATGGATTTTTTACTTCTTTTATTGTGAAGAATTTCCAACCTACAGAGAAGTCAAGACAGTTGTCAGATGCAGCAGTTTTCAAAAAAGTGGTTCCCAGACCAGCAGCATCAGCACCTCAGCATGGTGTGGGCATGTGCTGGAGGTGCAGATTCTCGGACACCACCCTAGACCTGTGGAACCCAAATTTGGCTCAGGGGCCCAAGGACCTGTCTCCACAAGCCCTCCAGGTGTTCTGTTGTGCACTCAAGTTTGAGAACTGCTAGCCCAAAGATCACTCATGTACCATCACTTAGACTTTACTGCCTATAACAGCCTATTTTCTTCATCTATATTCTTAAAACACAAATGTCATGACTCTTCAGCCCTAAATGTCATTTACACTAGTTTGTTTGAGTCAACCCCCTCTCTTGCTCTCTCCCTACCCCCATTCTCTGCCATTTAGCCTGACATCCTGGTTAGCCCAGGTGGCTCAGCACTGAAGCCCAGTGCCCCCTTCAGCCCAGGGGCGTGATCCTGGAGTCCTGGGATCCAGTCCCACAGCAGGCTCCCTACATGGAGCCTGCTTCTCCCTCTGCTTGTGTCTCTGCCTCTCTCTCTGTGCATTCATATGGTTGCACATGCACCCCCAGCCCACGTGGTGCCTTTGTGTGGAAACACTTTTCAAGGCACTTTTCCTTCAGACTTTTTTTTACTTTTATATATGTTGGGATGTGGCCACAAAAAATCTAAATGTCAAAAATGTGCATTTTGCTGAGCTAGATGTGAGGCCTTGTGCAATTCACAACCTCCGCAGCGGTTCAGAGCTCCCCTATGAACAGGGTTAGGAAAACTGAATTGTCAGACTCAAGAAAGCAGACCCAGATGGCACAGAGAAGGAAAATGGATGGGAGAAGAGAAAAAACCAGTCCTGGGATGGCAGGAGGGGAATGCTTCACGGCCACCCAGTAATGATTGTGTCTTTGCAGGCAGTTTGCCAAGATTGAAGCTGCCACCCAACGCCTGGCCCTCTCCATCTTGTCCCAGGAGGCACCTCCCCAGAGACCACCACACAGAAGGCCACCCTTGCCACCTCCGTCCCCCTTCCTGGGGGTGGCCTGTGCTGTGGCCCCCACTGAAGTGCCCTCTGCTGGCCCCAGCCTGAGCCTCGCTGCCCTGGATGCCTCCACCCTCGACCTCTTTGATGACATTGCACTCAACCCAGAGTGTCCCTCAGCGCCATCTGAGTTGTCCCACTGTGCTTGGGGCCAGCCAGACCTGAGGCAGTCTTCACATTTCTATAATCCCATACCCCCTGCCTCGAATGGCCTGGGGGGAGTGGATGGGCCCTGGGCTCCTGAGGGGGACTGGGTGGGCAGGTGGGAGTTGCCTTGTGCCTGCCATTCTCAGGGAATCCCTGAGGGCTGGGGGACCTGCTCCCCATGATGCTCAAACACAACCTAACCCAGCTGCCCCTGCCCCCCGACAAATCAAAGGCCACCCTCCCAATAGCTTAGCAGCCACCCCTAGAAGCCCCCAGTCCTGTCCACTCCCCTCTTGGCAGCCCCTGGGAACATGAACCAAACCTGGACCCCCCACTTCAGACCATAGCCTCTCCAGTCTTCTCCCCAGCCCAAGTTCTGCACTTCTGCCTCTGCCAGGAGTGCCCCCTTGCAGTCTCCCTCCCCCACTTCACCCCAGCTCCACCTCCTCAGCATTTGCCACTCCAGCTTCCTCTCAACTGGGCTCATTTCTGCCTAATGCCTGGTCTGGTCTCATCTATTCCCAAATAATGTACGGAGCACCTACTACGTGTCAGGTTCTGTCTAGGCACCGAGGATTCAGCAGTGAATAAACAGACAAGATGTGTGCATTTAAGAGCGTGGGGCATGGGTACCGGTGTGTGTGGGGGGATTGACAATTAGTACATTTGTACATTTTTAAAGTGCAAGGTAAATTTCCAATTTCAGATTGGAATTAATGCTGTAAAGAAAATAAAACAGAGACTCGGGGATCGCCGGGTGGCTCAGCGGTTTAGCGCCGCCTTCAGCCCAAGGCGTGATCCTGGATACCCGGGATCCAGTCCCACATCAGGCTCCCTGCATGGAGCCTGCTTTTCCCTCTGCCTGTGTCTCTGCCAATCTTTCTCTGTGTGTGTGTGTGTGTGTGTTTTTCATGAATAAATAAATAATATCTTTAAAAATATGTATCCTTAAAAAAAAACAGAGACTCTACTGAGTGGCTGTTTAACATCAGGTGGCCAGGGAAAGCCTTGAATGACAAGGAGCTGTTGAAGCAAAAGTCTGCGGCTCCAGGCTGAGGAAACGGCACGTGCAGACCCTGAGGTGGCTGGAGCAGCGTAAGCAGGGCAAGTGGTAAGAGATGAGGTTAGAGGCTGACAAAAGCAGACAGGAATTGGGAGCAGTTTGGATTTTATTCCAAGATTGATGGGGAAATTCTCTCCCCAATTCTTTCTCAGCCTCATTTCCAAGAAGAGTCTAAATATTTCAAACAGCATGCAAAACACACACACACACACACACACACACACACACACACACACACCACACACCACCCGAGGAGGCAGGTGCTGCACAGATGGGGCAACTGAGGCTGAGCGGGGTTGGGAGGATTTAAGTCCCCTTTCCTGGAAAGTGCTTGGGCTTGGGTCTCGTGATAAATTTCTGTCTCTAGGCCACAAGGGCCAGCGTTCGAACCCCGAGTCTGCCTCTGCCCTGGGTACGCCCCCCCCCCCCCTCTCTTTTCTCGGCCTCAGTGGTCTCATCTCTACAATGAGGGTGGCCGGGACCCAACCTACCCACCTGGAGTTCGCGGTCTCCGCACGCAGGGCACCACTCCGCCCCAGGCCCGCCACTCACACCCTTTCTGGCTCTCCATTGGTCAGATGCGCCGCCTTCCCGCCCCTCCCTCCGATGGGCCAATCACGTTCTCAGCACTGAAGGCGGGCCGGGCACTGCCCCTTCACGGAGGGCGAAGCAGCTTCGCCTGTGGATTGGCCGGCTGCGGGGGCGGAGCAGAACTTGTTGAGCGCTGATTGGACGGTTCGGCCCTGGTGGGCGGACGCGGACGGCTGGGGGCGGGCCACGTGTCGCGCCCCAACAAATACTGTGACCCAGCCTGGGAACCCCGCGGGAGGACGTGAGCGGCGTCAAGTGCGGCTCCGTGAGGTGAGTGTCCCCTTGGTCTCTCCAGCGGAGAGGTGGGCCGGGCTGGAAGCCAGCGCCTTCCCGGTAAGCCCCCCCACACCCCAGCGCTGCAGGGGGACCGGCCTTCCTGCCTGCAAGTGGGGAAACTGAGGCTTAGCAGGCCGTCCAGGCCGAGGTGGCACAGCCAAGGGAAGGGCTCCTGCCCAAGCCCTGAAGAATGGCCTGGCCAGAGACCCGAACCCGCCCACGGATCGCGGCCGCCCTCTCTGCATCCCTGGCCGAGTTCTGCATCATCCCTGTGGAGTGGATGAGTTTGACCCCGATTTTCAGGCTCATACGGAACATGAAACTTGCCGAGGGTCGCACAACCTGCAGGGCTGCCCACCCCTCAGGTGCTAAGCAGCACCCCTCTTCCCCTTCTGCTGCCCCTCCTCCGCCGTGGCCTCAGACTCCCTCCACCCAGAACTCAGTTCTGTACCTTCTCACCACTCCCCCCAAGGCACCCCTAAATCAATCTCCAACCCAGACCTCCTCACATGTGCACACGTGCATACACACACACACACACACACACACACACACACACCTCTCCAGGCCCCCTACTTAGTCCCTGGGACCTGCCACCCGTGCACCAGAAACCTAAAGATCTTCCTCTTCCCCACTTTCCACCACAGCCCTTTGCACCTGCCCCCTGAGCCTCTCCTCGCCGCTTGACCTGGAGCCCAGGCCTCACCCTTGCCCACTCGGACCCCAGCCCTGGTTTTCTTCCTGGCCTCCACCTCCAGTGCAGCCCCACAAAGGCCCCCATTTTATCTGATAATTTGAAAACTTTTTATAGAAGTATACTGCATATGCAGGAGAACCATACAAATCACAAATGGGTAGCTCAAGTAACTTTTCACATAGCAAACACTCTGGTGTAAACAGCGTGCGAATGCAGAAGCAGAACATTTCCCCCATCCCAGAAGCCCACCCTCCCGGGATCCCTTCTTCACTGCCACCCAAGGATAACCATTCATTCATAGTTTGACTGCCACAGATTGGATTCGCTGGGTTCCCACCTTATATAAGTATCTCACTATATTGTAGTTATTACGGACCAGACCATCACATGTTGTCCAAAATTCAAAAGGAATAGAACAATACACAGTGAAAATAAAATCTCCTTCATACCTGGCCCCTCAGTGATCTGCTCTCCTGTCTGAAGTACCTGCTCTATCTGTGCCTACCAAAGACAGCAAATAGAGAGAGGAGCGGTACACTGGCTCACTCTCATCTGATTGGGGCACAGATGGAACCGCTGCTATATGCACTTTCTGCTTCATTTCACTGCTAACATTTCTTAATTGAGTTCCATACTGTTACCTAAACAGCTTCTTGTCATTTTTCCTGGCTGCAAAGAATTCCATGGTGTAGGTATACCATAACTTATGTAACCAGTACCCCAACTGTAGATGTTTACGTTTATTTCTAGTCCTTTGCTCCGTGGAAGAGTCCCAGGATGAGTGAGCTGGAAGTCCGGTGGTGAATAACCTCGTGTCATCTCACATGTGTGTTTGCAGGGCAAATACTTAGGAGTGAGTTTTCTGGGTCACAGGGTTCATATAACTCTAATTTTGAGAGATGTGGCCACACATGCTTCCCTAAGGGTTGTTGCAATCTACTCTCCGACCACTGTGAAGGGGAGAGGATATCCTTGTTGCTCCACATGTGGGTCATAGGCTTTCAGCCAGCAGAGCCCTGATGTGACCCTGCCCCTCCCTCTCCTGAAGACTTAAAAGATGGAAGTGAGAAGAGCACCCTAGCTGGAGGGATCCATCCTGCCAAAGGTCTTCAGGTGCAACCAGATTGGCCAAGGCTGGAATGGCCCCAGCACCTTGAGGGAAACTTATATTTTAGTCCTGAGGTCAGAGAAGCTTGCAGTGGGTGGGGGCCGAGACAGGGAAGTAACAGAATCTGCTTTGTTTTCAGAAAGATATCTCCCTCTCCTTCTGTCTCTCTCCCACTACTTCCTTGGGGAGAATTTTGTACCCTGCCAAGATAGATCAGGTTCCCTAGAAATCCCAGCACCAATCACAGATGTAATTATGTGATTAACTGATTCAGCGTGTTTGTTTTTTTTTTTTTTTTTTGGTAGGAGCTTCCATTCCATTTTGGTTTTATTTTATTTTATTTTCCATTTTAGTTTTAAATAAAATTCCTATAGCATAAAACATCCCGTTATGACCATCCATTAGTTTTTACATTTTAGATATGTTGCCCATAGAAAATGTTTCGTACAGAAGATGTGCTCATTTGAAAGAATCAGCATAAACACTGTGTGCTCCTCACCCAACCTCCAGACCTCCCCCCGTGTTAACCCTTTGGGTCTTCAAGGTATTCTGTGTCGCAGCTAAATTAACAAGTGAATGAGTGAGCACTCAGGGGATGGGAGCCGCTTGCAGAAGCCAGGCCAGAACTGGCTGCACTACTGAGGACCTAAGTACTCAAGCCTCCGGGGCCCAGGGCTGGGGACATGCTTAGACTCAGAGGCAGGGCCCCAGGTTGCTGGAGATGGAGCCACTCTGACTGGGAGGCTTGCTGTCTTTTAGTCCTGCAGGACCTTGAGCAAGTCGTGGGCTTTCTGGGTCTTAGCTGCCTCGCACCCCCCCGCCCCACGCCTCCCATAAAAGTGGCTCTGCCAGCCCAGCCCCTTCTTTTCTTTTCTTTTCTTTTCTTTCTTTTCTTTTCTTTTCTTTTCTTTTCTTTTTTTTTTTTAAGATTTTATTTATTTATTCATGAGAGACACACAGAGAGAGAGGCAGAGACACAGGCAGAGGGAGAAGCAGGCTCCATGCAGGGACCCCAACGTAGGACTCCATCCCGGGTCTCCAGGATCACGCCCTGGGCCGAAGGTGGAGCTAAACCGCTGAGCCACCCGGGCTTCCCTCTTTTTTTTTTTTTTTAAATGGGGCTAAAGTACACATAATGAAATTTGCATTTCAACCATTTTTAAGCATACAATTAAGTGGCCATTACAAACATTCATGATGTTGCCCAACCGTGGCCACCATCTAGTTCCAGAATGTGTTCATCACCCCAGACGGAACCTCTGCATGCATTAAGGGGTCAGTCCTTGTTGCTCGCCGCCGGCCCTGCCGCCCTGCCCCCCTGCCCCAGCAGCCAGGCTGCTTCCTGCCTCTGGACTCAAACCCCATAAATGCGCTCCCACAGCGTTTGGCCTTCAGTGGCTGGCCTCTCTCACTGAGCACAGTGTTTTCGAGGCTCATCTGTGATGTAGCTTGTAGCAGTGCTTCATTCCCTTCTACGGATGGGTTATATTCCCCTGCGTAGGGACACCTGCCTCTTTTTCTGGGACCCACAGGGACACGCCCCTGTGCTTTATACACACAGGTAAACTGACTTTCAAAGGCTGAGTGGGGGGAACAGAGGTGAAGGTGCTCAGAGCACTGTCACTTCACCCAGAGCCCTTGGGTCCTGAAATGTGGCAGGATAGAGGGTGACCTTGAGGAAGGAAAATGTTCCTCAGGGCTCTGGGAGAGGGAAGCTGGGAGCACCAGAGTGGTCAAGGTCAGAGAAGGCTTTCTGGGAAATGACCTCCCAGTAGAGTAGGACACAGTAATGAAGAAATGGATTCCAGGCCTGGAGAACTGCACGCACGAAGGACTGCAGGTGGGAGGACACCGGTTTCCCAAGCACTGTGTGAGGTCCACCTAGATAGGCAGAAAAGCCCCCTGCCCACCTGCCCCTGCCCCTCAGCACCTCTGCCCATCTCCAGGACATGGCAACTGTGAGGTCCAACCTGGGCCGAGTCCTCCCTGGATCATCCATCCTGTTCCTGTGTGACATGCAGGAGAAGTTCCGCCATATCGCATACTTTCCCCAGATTGTCTCTGTGGCTGCCCGCATGCTCAAGGTATGCCCCTCTTCCCCCAGACCCAGGAGTCCAAGCCCCCAGCCCCTCCTCCCTCAGACCCAGGAGTCCAGGCCCCAGCCCCATCCTCCCTCAGACCCAGATTCTGACCCCACAAACCCCCCCTCAGGCTCAGGCCTTTGTCCCCCTTCCATGGCACAGGTGGCCAGGCTGCTGGAGGTACCAGCTGTGCTGACAGAGCAGTACCCAGAAGGCCTGGGCCCCACAGTCCCTGAGCTGGGGGCTCAAGGCCTGCGGCCAGTGGCCAAAACTTGCTTCAGCATGGTGCCTGCAGTGCAAAAGGAGCTGGAATCACGGCCCGAGCTGTGTTCTGTGCTCCTCTGTGGCATTGAGACACAGGCCTGCATCTTGGTGAGACCCCCACCTCTTCCCATCCTTCCCTGACCCCCAATCCTGTATCCTGGTAGGACCCCATTCCTGACCTGGGACCTTCATCCTTACTCAGGACCCCTGTCTACCTGGTGTTCCCATCCTCCCTAGGATCCTCTTGTAACTCAGGGGCCTCCTGCCCTGCCCTGAGCCCCTGTCCTCCCCATCCCAGCTCCCCCGTCCCTCACCCCATACCTGTTCTTGTCTGGGGTTGGCCTTGACATTTCTATGCCCCCAGAACACCACCTTGGACCTCTTGGACCGGGGGCTGCAGGTCCATGTGGTGGTGGATGGCTGCTCTTCTCGCAGGTGAGAGGGTCCTATCCTGCTGAGGGTGGGTGCATGTGAGGTACAGTTGGGGTGCCCATGAAGAACCAGGGAGTAGGATCCCTGCTGAGTTGGCCAGGTGTCTGTGTGTCCAGGCCGAGACATTGACAACCACCTCCCCCCCACAGCCAGGTGGACAGGCTGGTGGCCCTGGCCCGGATGCGACAAAGTGGCGCCTTCCTCTCCACCAGCGAAGGGCTGATTCTGCAGCTTGTGGGTGATGCCGCCCACCCCCAGTTTAAAGAGGTACTGGCCCGCCACGCCCCACCCAACCTCCCTTGCTCCCTTTCCAGCACCCACTACATACTGATTGACAGAATACATCTGGGAACACAGCAGGCTGCCGCCTCCAGGCAGGCTAAGTTCTAAGTTCCGTGAAAGAAGCTGTCGATGGCCAGGAGGACAAGAGAGAAAGAGAGAGAAAGAGAAAGCCGGGCAGGGGGATGGGACTGGGAGGGCTGGGGCACAGGAAAGGGGTGTTGGTGGGGTGCTGTGGGAGGCCTCCCAGGCTGACAGGCAAGTCTGGCAGAGACCTGTAGATGGCAGCCCTGTGACCCTGCTCTCTGCCTCTTCCTCCAGTCTCTGGCACCACCACCTGTGGCTTTCCAAGTACCCAGGTCTTACTGGGTAGCCCCAGCTCATTCCCACCGCGGGCTGTTAGTTAGGGCAGCAGGATGTGCCCAGACCTCTGAGGTCTGCCCCCCTCCCCCATCAGTTCAGTTCTGTTGAGCATTTATTAAGCACCTGTTATGGGCTAGGCACTGTGGCAAGCCAAAACAGCAAAAGCCAATCTGTATTCGGTTACACACTGTAGCCAGAAGCAGCAAGGGAATGTTCAGAGTGTGTGAGAGATAAGATGGAGGCTCACAGCACAGAGGTCCTGCCCCAGCGGTGGCCTTGAAGTAGGACGGGCAGCCAGACATCCAAAAAGTGTTCCTGGCAGAAGGAACAGCTAGGGCAGAGGCCTGGAGGTGGGGCTGAACTTGACTTATTCTGAGAACCGGAGCAGGGCATGCTGAGCCCTCAGTGAGTGTGGGAGGAGGGGAGGCAGAGAGGAGCTAGAGCCCTGTCTTCTCAAAGATTTGGGTTTGGTCCTGGGTGGCCCATGGATATGGGCGGGTGGCAGGAAGGAGGGAGACCAGAGTGGAGGCAGTGGGGGTGCACTTTGCTTATTTTTTGGGAGCCGAGCACAGTGGGGCCTGCTGACAGTGTGGGGCTTTGGGAGAAGGCAGCCCCAGAGAGGGGGCTGGAACATCGGTGCTCCTGTTGTCTACTGACTGGGGGTTGGCCATCAGTGTGAGAGGTCAGGTGGTAACCCATGTCTAAGAGGCAGTTAGATCAATGAGTCTGGAGTTGAGGAGGATGGGAAAGGTGAGAATACTTAAGTAGGAGCTGGTACAGACAAGAAGCTCCAGGACAGGGCCTTCATGGTAAGCCAGCCAAGTGGGCCAAGATGGCAGGTGATCAGGGGCTCACCCAGACAGCCATAGCGAAAGGGAGGCCCAAGGAGAAGTTTTGAGAAGAGGGAGTGGTTGGCTTGGCCAGTTGCTGCTAAGAGGGCAGAGCAGATGAAAATGGAGAAATGCCCCTTTGAGTCTGTCCTGGAGATGGGTCCTCTTGACCCTTCTGAACCCTCCTCTTCCCCCTACAGATTCAGAAGATCATCAAGGAGCCCGCCCCTGACAGCGGGCTGCTGGGCCTTTTCCAAGGCCAGAACCCCCTCTTCTGCTGAACTCCTCACCCTGAAGGCCACCTCCTGCCATCTGGACCTTCATGGAATCAGTTGGCCCCCATCCTTGGCCCCCAAGAGTGGTGCAGTCCACCGGGAGCACAACCCCCTCGGGAGGGGAGGTGGAGTGCTCCCTTGCCATTGGGCCAAAGCGCCGGAAATGCAAATAAAGCTCCTGGAAGCTGGGTGGTATTTGGCTGAGCAGAGCTGGGGGCGGGGCTCGGCCCCGGGCCACTTCACGAGGCGGGAGGGGTGGGGGTGGAGTGTTACGGGGGAGGGGGCGGGGGGGGGGGAGGACCCGGACTCGCAGAATAAACATTGATGTGGCTGTGGACCGAACCATTCTTGGGTTTGGGGGGTGTCCCGGGGGCGGGTGAGGGCCGCGGGTCGGAGGAAGAGGAGTCCCCGAAGGTGGGGAGGGGGCGGTGCCTCTTCTCCGCTCCCCACGGGCGCGAGGCACAGGTTGGCTGGCCGGGCCACATCTGCACCGAAGCCGGCGCGCATCTGCAGCTGCATGGACCGGAGCTGCCGCCGGGCCGCACGCCCAGCACGCCGCCGGCCGCCCCCCACCGGCGCGCACACGCCCAGCCGCTTGGCTCACAGACACACGCTTGCTCTGCCTCCCCGGCCGGGCCGGCCCCCCACGCCGCCGCCACCCCCGACTCCCCAAGGGTCCCGCATCCGGAAGGTGAGGTGAGCGCGACCGCACCCCGGTGCGGAGGGGGATACTGGGGGACTGGGGACCTGAGGATGGGCGAAAGGAAGAGACAGGCATGCGGATGAACGGACGAATGGTTGGGAAGGACAGCCGGCTTCATCTGAGCGGCTCTTGCCCCCCTAAGACGCAAGAGCCTGGGGACCCACACGGGGGCTCCCAGAATTCTGCAGCCCCTGTGAAGACCCGGGAGCCAGGACCCTGCGGAGCTCCCCGTCAAGGCCACTCAGCCTCTTAAGATTTGCGGTCCTTGCCCTCCCCCAACCTAGGGGACCTAAGAAGACCACCTCTGAATCCCCCAGAGACCCAGGCGTCAGAGCTCTCATGTAGTCTGCCCCCACTGGGGAATCTGCATCTCCCACCCCCACCCCCGCCAATCCTGGAATCCCAGACCCCTCCTAGAAGGCCCAGTCCCCGGAACCCGGCATCAGAGCGCCCAGCACCCCCTATCCCCAGGGACCTAGGAGTCCCATCCTCCCCCCTCCTGCAGGAGCCCGCGGGACCGGGCGTCAGCGCCCCCAGCCCCCGCCTTCCGGATCCAGGTGTCCCCCCTCCTCACCCCCCAGCCTGATGCTTCGCGTCTCGGAGGCCGCGCTCGCGTTGCCATGGTAACAGGAGTCTATTTTGTGCTGGGAACACACAGCTCCCACTGCAGCGCCCCCCCCCCGCCCCTCCAACCGGGGCCTGAGAGTAGGGGGACTGGGGGGTAGATACAGAGACACTCAGGCAGAGATCTGTAGATAGCAGACCTGGGAAATAGACATACAAAGAGTCAGAGAGGTAGGAGAGATGGGGATTTGGGGGGTGGGGGGAACACAGGCAGGATGTAGAGACGGAGACCTACGGGGCAAAGGGAAGAAGGGAAATGTTGGCACCCAGAAAACTGAGACTCAGAGAACGGGACAGCCCTGGGTGGGGAGGGGAGCAGAGACTGGGGGACGCAGAGAAGTGATGAGACATGGAGAGAGACACAGGCTAAGAGGACCGTGACCCAGAGCAGATCCCGTTAGAGATGAGAGGCCTCCTCCGGGAGGAGAGGTGGATCCGAAGATGCAGAGGACCCCCCCGCCTTAGTCAGAGAGGCACGAGAGACCGTAAGACCTGGGGAGGGGGCGGGGCGCAGGGACCTGGTCTGCCGGGCCGCCTGGGGGGGGGAGGGTCCTTGTCCCTGTGTCCCCGCCCCCATCCGGACCCCTCCCCTTCTCCAAGAGCCTGCTCCACCAGCCAGGTAAACCTACATCCTCTCCTCCTCTTGCCTGCTTTCCACATCCCTACCTCAAACCAACCCCTCAACCCCAGATATTCCTAGGATCCACTCCCTTTGCATGCCACCTGGACCCCACCTGTTCCCAGCCTCTGTCTCTGTCTCTGTCTCTCTACCCACCATGCACTCTCAGCCCCCCTCTGCCACCACCTGAAAATACCCCTCCAAGCCCCAGTTCCCTGAGGTTGATCTTCTGACTCTTTCTAGGTCTTAGCCCTCTGTGAGTTTCCATCTCCTCTCTCTCTCCCTCTCTCTCAGCTTCTTGATCTCAGCTCCAGCTCTCTGCCCCACTCTCTCTGTGTCACTCTTTCCCTCTCCTTGAGTCTCTCTCTCTCTCTGGGCCTCCCCTCCCCTCCCCCCCCACCAGCCTCCCAAGACCCTCTCCCTGTCCCTCCTCCTCTGTCCTGCTCCATCTCTCATTCTCTGCTCCTTACATCTCAGGAGGCTGCTCACCTGGCCCCACCCAGCCAACCTCACCCTGGCCCCTGGCCCCAACCAGCAGGGTCTGGAGGGGACACTGGGGCAGGATGTGGAGTGCAGGGCACGGTGTTATGCAGGTGCTGTGAGGTCCCCAGGAACCCAGGGACCTGGCAGGCCTGCTCTGGAAACCCCTCTCACGTTGAATCCCCTGGTCTCTGCCTGTGTGTCTCTCAGGTCCTAGGCGGGGCAGGGGCACAGCCAGACCTCCAGCCCTGAGCTGCTGAGCATGCCTGGTGCAGGAAGGGAGGAGAGTGGGGTGAAGAGCCCCCTCTTCTCCAGCTGTGGGGGAGGAAAGTGCCTGTGTGTAAGGGGGTGCGGGAGGGCTGTGTCTGTGTGTGTGGGGTGTCACATGGATGCTTCCAGATTTCACCACTTGGTGAGGGTGTGTGTGCACATGTATGTATGCACCCACGAGGTTGCATGACTGTGGGCTGTGATGTATATGATTGTGTGTCCGTGTAGAGCTGGCTTGGGCAGGTCCCTGGTTGTATACTGGAGCTATCTGTAGTCCCAGTGTGTCACAATGTCTGAGATTGTGTTTGGGTCTTGTGTACTGTATGTGGAAATGCCCAGAAACACATAGCTGTGTGTCCATATTGAGGTGTGTGTGTCTGTGTGCTGTGAAGAGGCTACAGGTGTGCCACCAGGATGACATTGGGTGTCCTTGTGTCTGGCACACTGTGTGGGTGTCCTGTGTCCTTTGTCATTGTGTGTATATGTTGTGTGTCTATGTGCTGTTTTGTGTGAGGTAAGGGCAGAATCGGTCCCCCTGTATACTTGTGTCTGGACAGGCCACTGTGTCTCTCGGCATGTGTCTACTTCCCTTCAGGAGGTGTAAGGCAGGGGCAGGAGGCTACGGGTCCCTCCACTGGTAGAGGTGCCAGGTGTGTGTGTGCATTGTGTCTGGGTGCGTTGCAAGTTTGAGCGGATGTATGCTACAGCCCCCTACCCCCACTCCCAGGGTTGTCAATGGCCTGAGGTTGTGTCTCCCTGGGCATGTATGTGCAGTTGGAGGGGACAATAAGACTCTGTTAGCAGAGGGAAGAATTGTGCCCATGAAGCTCAGCCGGAGGCTTGGCACAGAATAGGGACTGAGTGGGCAAACTGCTAGTCCATACAGTGCCTTTATGCCAATGAGACAAAGGTAACCCCCTGGCCTAGTGTAGCTCCCCTGCATCTATGGTTTGGCAGGCAGATGGCAACCTTGTGTGAGTTCTAAAGGATGCCCCTTCCCCCAGATGGATGCAGTCCCACCAGTACGCCTTAAGGAGTGGAGCCTGGCTGGATTCCAGCCTCTCAACCAGATCTCCTTGTGCAGTGCACAACCTGCCCTACCATGTGTGGCAGCTCTCAATGAATGAAGAAATCCACATCACTGCATGCATGTGGATTCACTGATGAAAGGTGTGTGTCTGTATGCATGTCAACCCACATTTCCCTGCATGGGATAAAGTTTCTACAGGTGACAGTGCCCTGAGACCTGAGTTCAGAGCCCAGCTCCAATACTTGGGCACTGTAATGTTTAGGCAAACAATGGAACTACAGTGTTTTCATCTGAAGTGTGTGTATGTGTGTGAGAGAGACACAGAGAGAAGACCCACATCTCACACTTCCTTTCAACATTCATCCATGCAATAAATATTTATAGAACACCTCCTGTGGCAGGCACGGATGCCAGGTGCTGTGGACACCATGGGAAACAAGCCGGACAAAACAGTCTGCTTTTACAGAGTTTATAGTCTACTAGGGGAGCTAAGTAACCACACATACAATGTGGCAAAGTAGAGATGGGACCTAGGAAAAGAGAAGGGTGGGGCCCAGGGCGGCCAGGGGTGCTGTTTTAGGACAGGACAGGGAAGGCTCAGTGAGATGACCTGTGAGGGTCACCTGAAGAAAGGAAGGGGAACTTAAAATGTACTATTTTAGCTATTTTTAAACCTTTTTTTTAAGTGTACGGTTTAATGATACTTAGGACATTCGTGGTGTTGTGCAACCATCACCGCTATTTTTTTTTAAAGATTTTATTTATTTATTCATGATAGACACAGAGAGAGAGACAGAGACGCAGGCAGAGGGAGAAGCAGGCTCCATGCAGGGAGCCCGATGTGGGACTCGATCCCGGGTCTCCAGGATCACACCCCGGGCCGAAGACAGGCGTTTAAACCGCTGAGCCACCCAGGCTGCCCCCATCACTGCTATCTAATGCAGGATACTTTCATCACCCCCAAAGCAGTCACCCCCCATTTTCCCCTCCCCCAGCTCCAGGTAACCAGTGACCAGTTGTCTGGCTTTACAGATCTGACCACTGTGGATACTTCATATAAATGGGATCATTCAGTAGATCACCTTCTGTGTCTGGCTTCCCTGACCTATCAGTTCTTCATTCCTCCTTAAAGCTGAATAAGATTTTGTCTGAATAGACCACGTTCTGTTTATCTGTTCCTCTGTTGGGGGGGATGGGGGGCACTTTGGCGATGTTATGAATGCTTGTGTATAAGTTTTCATGTGAACATATGTTCTAGTTCTTTGGGGGCAGACACCTAGGAGTGGAATTGCCTGCTCATGTGATAACTCTGTTTACCTTTTGAGGAACCACCAAACGGCTGTCCACAGTATGGGCTAAACCGCTTCTTTTTTTTTTCCCCTAAAGATTTTATTTATTTATTTATTTTTAAAGATTTTATTTATTCATGAGAGACACAGAGAGGCAGGCAGAGACATAGGCAGAGGGAGAAGCGGTTCCACGCAGGGAGCCTGATGTGGGACTCCATCCTGAGTCTCCAGGGTCACTCCCTGGGCCGAAGGCAGATGCTCAACTGCTGAGCCACCCAGGCATCCCGATTTTGTTTATTTATTCCCAAGAGACAGAGAGGCAGGCAGAGACAGAGGGAGAAGCAGGCTCCCTAATGAGCAAGGAGCCCGATGTGGGGCTTGATCCCAGGACCACAGGATCACAACCTGAGCAGAAGGCAGAGGCTTAATGGACTGAGCCACTCAGGTGTCCATGGGCTAAGCCACTCATAAGATGCCTATTAAACACCAAGTCGGATGTTGTAGCCTGGAGTGCAGGGCTGCAGCTGGAGCTAAAAGGCAACTTGAGGGGCAGCCCAGGTGGCTCAGCAGTTTAGCGCCTGCCTTCGGCCCAGGGCTTGATCCTGGAGACCTGGGATCGAGTCCTGCATCGGGTTCCCTGCATGGAGCCTGCTTCTCCCTCTGCCCCTCTCTCTCTCACTCTGTGTCTCTCATGAATAAATAAAATCTTTAAAAAAATAGCTTTGCGCAGTGGCAGTATTGTAGCCAATGAGGTTTATCCGAGGCGCGATTATTGCTAATTAAAAAAATAAAAGGCAACTTGAGGATCCCTGGGTGGCGCAGCGGTTTGGCGCCTGCCTTTGGCCCAGGGCGCGATCCCGGAGACCCGGGATCGAATCCCACGTCGGGCTCCCGGTGCATGGAGCCTGCTTCTCCCTCTGCCTGTGTCTCTGCCTCTCTCTCTCTCTCTGTGTGTGTGACTATCATAAATAAATAATTTTAAAAAATAAAATAAAAGGCAACTTGAGGCTGCAGGCCAGAGAGGGGCCAGCTGGCTGAGGAGCAGGGAGCCTGAGCTCTCCCCATCCCAGCCCCTACAACTTCTGGTGATAACAGTGTGGTCTCCAGATACACACACCCTCCATGGAAAGGAGCAAATAAAAGTAATACCTCTTGATACTTGTTCCACCAGTTCTGTCCTCCCTCCCATCCCCTCATGATGCTTTCATATAGCCATGACTTCCTTCAAGATTTCTTAATATTTATTCACAACAGTGTTAAACATGCACCACCCTGGCTTCCATCTGTGCACTTGCCCTCCCCACTGCCAGGACGAAAGTCCCATAAAGGCAAAGACCCCAAGCCCCAGGGCTCAGTCACCGACCGCTCCATCCTCATGGCTCAGTTCCTGCAGCCTTGGCATCTGCGCTGCTGCACAGCTTCTGGTAGACGCCGCTGGACTGGCTGGCCCCTTCAGGTCCCTCCCTCTGCCACCTGCCCCAGGGTCCTGCCGGGGTCCCATGCTGCCCGCCACCCTCTGCCCACCACCAGCAGCGGCTGCAGCCAACACTTACACAACACGTGTGCACAGTCTGCCACTCAGCAACAGGACAGTTTGCTCCAGGCTCCTGGAAGAGGCTAACCCCGCTCATCCTCATCGCCACCCCCTGATAACCATCCTTACCCCCACTTTACACATGGGGAAACTGAGGCATGAGAAACCTAGATGAGAGCCTATGCAGTCAGGCAGCTGGCACACGGTGGAGCTCTGTCACCCTGCCTGTCCTGCTGTGGGCTGAGACACTTCAGACCTGCCCCTGTGAGAATGTGTGTGTGTGTGTGTGTGTGTGTTCCTTATGTGTGCATCTGTGTGTCTATGTGTGTGTGAGAGAGACAGAGACAGAGAGGGCGGAAGGGACAGAAGGGGAGAGGGACAGAGGCAGAAGCTTGAGACCCATGGACTATCAGACCTAAATAAAAGAGAAATCAGTCTTTGGGACCACTGAGGACCCAGCAGGTCCCAGCCAGCAGTTCTCACCTGTGCCCCCAGGGGGACATCTGGCAATGCCTGGGGATATGTTACGCTGTCACCATGTAAAGAATGGGAATTCTGGCACCTGGTGGCTGCACACAGGACCGGTGCAACCAGAGTAGTGCCCGGGAGAGAAGCCCTGCACTACCTGGTTCCACGGCCCGGGCTGTCAGCTTAAGTTCTCAACTCCCAATCTCTCTCTCCCACCCCACCACCCACACCTCCCTCTCCCCTTCCCCATCTCCCTCGCTCCTCCCCTGTCGCCCATCCCACATCTGTCTCCATTCCTTCCCCCATCTGCTCTGACCCACCACCCCTCCTCCCCACCCCTCCACCCCTACGCTCCCACGTCCGCAGTTCTCACCGCCTCCTCCCTCCCTCCTTTACGCCGCCTCCTCACATCACATCTTGGCTCTGGTTTGTCCATCCTTTACTTGTGCTCACCCCTCTGATATCTCCGCCGACCTTCCCAACCTTTCCTCCCGCATTAATCGCACACCTTGATCGGTTCCGCGTCTGCAGTCATCATGTCCATCCTCCCCGGCGGCGTCCCGGCTCATTTCCGTCTCCCCCGCGCATCCCGTCCCCTGCCCTGTGGGACTGCTGACTTTGGCCCGTGCCTCTCCCCCTCCATGCATCTCTTCGGGCTCCCGGTGCTCGTTTTTCCCCACCCTTCTATCTTCCCTCGGCTCGCCCTCCTCTTCCTGTCCGGCCACCCATCCCCACGTTTCTGCACCTCCAGCCATCTCTCTCTCACGCACCGCCCCCCGCCCCGGCCTTGCTTCTCCCCGCAGCCTGACGGCTCGGTCTGACCTGCGCGCCCCATGCCGTCCCTCCTGCTCCTCGGGACACTCCTGCTCCTGGCCTCGACCGCCCGCCAGGCCGGGGCGCGCCCGTCCAACGCCACAAGCGCCGAGCCCCCGGGCCCGCTGCCCGCCCTGCTGGCGCACCTGCGGCGCCTGACCGGGGCGCTGACAGGTGGTGGGGGCGCGGCGGGCCCGGGCGCCAACGGCACCAGGACCAGCGCCCAGAGCGGGACAGGCGCGGCGGCGCGGGCACCCCCTCCCGCCGAGCTCTGCCACGGCTACTACGATGTCATGGGCCAGTACGACGCCACCTTCAACTGCAGCACGGGCTCCTACCGCTTCTGCTGTGGGACCTGCCACTACCGCTTCTGCTGCGAGCACCGCCACATGCGCCTGGCGCAGGCCTCCTGCTCCAACTACGACACGCCGCGCTGGGCCACCACGCCACCGCCGCTGGCCGGGGGCGTCGGGGGTGCTGGGGGCGCGGGCGGGGGGCCCGGGCCCGGCCAGGCTGGGTGGCTAGAAGGGGGGCGGGCGGGGGGCGCGGGGGGGCGCGGGGGCGAGGGCCCCGGGGGCAGCACGGCCTACGTGGTGTGCGGGGTCATCAGCTTCGCCCTGGCAGTGGGCGTCGGCGCCAAAGTGGCCTTCAGCAAGGCGTCCCGAGCGCCCAGGGCGCATCGGGAGATCAACGTGCCCAGGTATGTGAGCGCTGGGGCCCTGGCGGGTGGGGCCTGGGGACCGGGGCTGGGCAGTGGGAGGTGGGGCCATCTGGTGAGGGCGTGGCTACAGGGGTGCGGGCTTGTTCCCAGACGCAGCTGGCAGCCCAGCGAGCCTGGGAGCCAAAGCCTAGGGAGTCTGGCGGGCCCTAAGAATAGATGCGACAGCACGGGCCTGGCTGCTGAGTGACGGGTGAGGCGCAGGCCTTCATTCATCAAATTATTTCTTGAGCATTTTCTGTGGGTCAGGAGCAAAACAAGGTCCAGGGGATCCCTGGGTGGCGCAGCGGTTTGGCGCCTGCCTTTGGCCCAGGGCGCGATCCTGGAGACCCGGGATCGAGTCCCACGTCGGGCTCCCGGTGCATGGAGCCTGCTTCTCCCTCTGCCTGTGTCTCTGCCTCTCTCTCTCTCTCTGTGTGACTATCATAAATAAATAAATAAAAATTAAAAAAAAAAAAACAAGGTCCCTTTAAAAAAGGGGGGGGGGAGGATCCCTGGGTGGCTCAGCGGTTTAGCGCCTGCCTTTGGCCCAGGGCGCGTTCCTGGAGTCCCATGTCGGGCTCCCAGCATGGAGCCTGCTTTTCCCTCTGCCTGTGTCTCTGCCTCTCTCTCTCTCTCTATGTCTATCATAAATAAATAAATAAATCTTCAAAAAAAAAAAAAAAAAAACAGGGTCCCTGCTCTGCTGGGTAAACCCGACTTCCAACCCCCCGGGCTGCTGCCTGCGATCTGTGTGACCCAGGGCCTGTCCCTCGGTTTGCTTGCCTGTACGATGGAGCTAATAATTGTTCCCCATGCATTCAGACTGTAATGTCAAGTCTTGGCGGACGGTAAGCCCTCAATAAATGCTGGCTACCGTTATCTTTAAATGATGGTGGTGGAGAGAGTAAGCAAGCAACCACATAGGCAATATAATGTTAGGTATTGATAACCACTGTGAAGAAAATAAAGCAGCATAACAGGTAGAGAGTGGGGGCTGATGGTGTTTGATGTGAAGTGGTCAGGAAAGGCCTCTCGAGCAGAGACGGGAAGGGAAGGAGCAAGCCAGACAGGTATCTGTGTGAAGGGCATTCCAGGCAGGGGGAACAGCACGCAGAAGAACCCCATGCGAGTACTTGCAGTACAATGAAGGGGGGAGCAAAGTGGGAAAAGAAGCCTGCGCTCTCCCTCTCCCTGCCCTCAACCCCGTCCCCAGGCCGCTGACCGTTGCTCTGCCACCCCTAGGGCTCTGGTGGACATTCTGAGGCATCAGGCGGGGCCTGGGACCCGCCCAGACCGGGCACGAAGCAGCTCCTTGACGCCGGGGGTCGGGGGCCCCGACAGCATACCCCCGAGGACGCCCAAGAACCTCTACAACACGGTGAAGCCCTCCAATCTCGGTGAGTGGGACCTGGGAGTCTGGGCTGCCCCTGCTGCCTCTGACCACGCCCACCAACCCTGCGGCTCCGCCCTCCCAGAATAGCCCCACCCCCTGCTGCCCAGGCCCCGCCCCCACCCCACCCTCCCGCCTCTGCCTGCTCTGAACTATTCCGGCCCAGATTCCTCACAGGGCTATGCTGGAGGGGCGCCACAGCGAGTCACGCCCCTCCCTGCCCTCCTGTGAACCCCCTGGCTGGGTGCTGTGGATGCCACGGTGATGTAAATTTAGGCATTCTCAGCTCCTGCACTTGAGAAAGTGTCAGAGCTCCCAACAGCCAAGCTCACAAGAAGTCCCTAAGAGTTGAATTAGAATGTGTCCAGACAGCCTGGATTTGAGTCTTGGTTCTGCCACTGCTGACCTGGGGCCTCAGGGTCCTCGCCCATAAAGCCAGAAGCAAAACAGCACTCACCTCACAGAGTTATTGTGAAGGTCAAATGCTGGAATGCTGAGAGCAATGACTCCCACAGACAAAGCACCATATAAATACTAGTGCCATATAAAACATAAATCTTATATTTTATGACGGGTTCATCAAGGCAGAAGTCCAGGGAGCTGTAACAGGTTTGAGGAGGAGAAAGACTTCCCCCAGGAAATGCTGTTTGAGCAGTGGCCTGGAGGGTGAGGGGTTTCCTTGGGCCAACAGAGCTCTGGGCGGCTGAAGCAGTTTGTGAGGCCAGTGAGAGGGTGGGCAGATGCCTCAAGAAGGGCTTGAGCACAAGGCTGGGCTGAGGAGCTCTGCCTTTGTCCTGACAGCAATTGGGAGCCATGGAGAAATTTAGACCAAGGGAGCAACGACGTCAGGAGTGAGTAGAAGAGTGACTTTTCTGGAACCCATGTGAAGGGGGAGAGATGAGAGGAAGGCCAGATGGTAATCTTGGCTGTACAGGACAAGGCCTGAACTGGGGTCAGAAATGGAGGGGGAAAGATGGATCTGAATAGTAGTACTAAGGAAGAGACATTTGAGGTGGATCTTGAGGGATGAGTAGGAGTTCTTGAGGCAAAGGAGGGGAGGAAGGAATTCAAGGCTGAGAGAATAGCATAAGAGCATATGCAATGTCCCTGTGGCAAGGCACCAGTGGGGGCCAAGTAAGCCTAAAACACCTATCCTGGCTTAGATTTTTGTCCTGTGGGTGATAGCCAGACATGAAAAACATTTGCAGCAGCAGGGGAGCAAGGGCGGGGGCAAGTGTGGGTACCAGGAGAATTATCGTGGGGTGGGGGCTGATCTTTAAGATCTTGACTATGGGGCTGGCCACATGGCCAGAAGGCTGGATGGTGCAAGAGGGGGAGACAGGTCAGAGCAGAGATTCAGGAGGTAGGAGGGATCAGAGTGGAAACCTACAAGAGCAGGACAGCAGCTCCAGCTGGGGGCGGGCAACAGCAGTGACACCATTCCCCTCTTGGTCTCCACAGATAGTATGCACAACTACCTACACCTCAACGTCAACAGCCCCAAGCACCATGCTGCCACGATGGGTACGGACCAGGGCTGGGTGGTGGGGAGGACAGGGCTCGTTTCCTTCCCTGCGTTGTATTGAGCCTGAGCTGGGGGGCCCAAGACAGAGCAGGCATGAGGCCCTGTGAGCCCTGACCTCCCAGGTTGGCCAGGTAACCACGCTAGCCTCAGTTTCCAGTTTGGACCCCAGAGGTGGTCATCTTTCTCCCATCTGGGTTGGTGGGAAGATGCATGGAGTGGACTGCTCCTCCATTCTGGGTCCAGGCACCTGATGGGGGCTGAGCAAGTGGCAGTTGCCTCTCTTCCCATGATGTGACCCACCTCCCCAGCAATGAGCCTGTCTCCTGAGGTGGGGAAATGAGTACAGACAGGTATCCTGGCCTGCTGGTGCTCTGAGGGGCCAGGACCCCTGGCATCCACTCCCTGAGGGCTTGGGGCTGGAACTGCCAGGTCTGAGGGAGGAGGGGCTGGACTGACCCCTGCCCTGCCCCTCTTGCCCCAGACTGGCGTGCTGCTCCACCGCCCAGCCCCTCCTTGCACTACTCCACCCTCTCCTGCTCTCGGTCCTTCCACAATCTCTCACACCTGCCTCCATCCTATGAGGCCGCTGTGAAATCCGAGCTGAACCGCTACTCGTCCCTCAAGAGACTGGGTGAGTCCCAGGAAGGGAAGGGGCACAGGTAATGGGGTGGGGTGGGGTATAGGGACAGGGTCTGGGTTCAGAACCATGGAGACTGGCCCAACTGATTAAAAATGCAGATTCATGGCCTCCTAAGATCTGTTGTATTCATCAGGACCAGTATTTACAATAAACAGAAATACAACTTAAGAATAAAAAAAAAAAGGACACCTGGGTGATTTAGTAGTTGAGCATCTATCTGCCTTCAGCTCAGGTCATGATCCTCAGGGAACTGGGATTGAGTCCCACATCAGGTTTCCCACAGGGAGCCTGCTTCTCCCTCTGCCTATGTCTCTGCCTCTCTCTCTGTCTCTCATTAATAAATAAATAAAATCTTTTTTAAAAATGCTCTTTAGGGGCTCCTGGGTGGCTTAGTCAGTTAAGTGCTGCCTTTGATTCAGGTCATAATTCCAAGGTCCTGGGATCCAATCCCACATTGGGCTCCCTGTTCAGTGGGGAGTCTGCTTCTCCCTCTGCCTCTGCCACTCCCCCTGCTTGTGCTTGCTCTCTCTCTCTCTGTCAAATAATTTTTTTTGTTAAAAGATTTTATTTATTTATCCATGAGAGAGAGAGAGAGAGAGGCAGAGACACAGGCAGGGGGAGAAGCAGGCACAATGCAGGGAGCCCGACGTGGGACTCAGTCCCGGATTCTGGGATCATGCCCTGAGCCGAAAGCAGATGCTCAACTGCTGAACCACACAGCCATCCCTCTGGCAAATAAATTTTTAAAATATTTTTTTAAAAATGCTTTTTATATTATGACCCATGAGATGCATGTGTATATGTATCTTTTTTAATTAAAGGAAAACTTTAAAACTTGTTATTATGAGCATTTTCAAACATACCCAACATTAGAGGAAATTGAAAAATGAATCCCCATGTTCCCATCACTCAGTCTCATTTTGTTAAATCTATACTCCCTTCACCCCAGTTTTTGGTGGATTCTTTTTTTTTTTTTTTTTTTTTTACTTTTTTAAAAAGATTTATTTATTTTTAGAGAGAGAGGGAGAGTGGGGAGGGGCAGTGGGAGGGAGGATAGAGAATCTCAAGCAGACTCTTGGCTCAGAGTGGAGCCAACGTGGTCCCATGACCCTCAGATCACAACCTGAGCAGAAGCCAAGATTTGGATGTTCAGGCCACCCCTTTGATGGATTATTTTAAAACAAACCCTAGGTATTGTCACTGCATCCATTAATATTTCAATAACACAAACAAAACTGAAATAAAAAACTTTATGAACTAGTACTTACCCGTATTCCCCTATTATATGGATGCTTTCTTTTTTATATAACTTTTAAAAATCTTTTTCCCCACCACCATCTCCTTAATCTTTTTTATTTTTTTAAATATTTTATTTATTCGTGAGAGACACAGAGAAAGAGAGAGAGGCAGAGACACAGGCAAAGGTAGAATCAGGCTCCATGCAGGGAGCCTGACCTGGGACTTAATCCGGGTCTCCAGGATCACACCCTGGGCTGAAGGTGGCGCTAAACCGCTGAGCCACCCAGGCTGCCTGCCTTAATCTTTTTTTTTTTTTTTTTTTTAATTTAAGTAATCTCTGCACCTAATGTGGTGCTCAAACTAATGGCCTAGAGATGAAGACTCAAATGCTTAGCTAGCAAGGCACCCCTATGTGGATGCTTTCTGATAATTTTTTATTCTATTGCATTTCAAAATGCCAGTCACCACCCACAACACTGACTTCATAATCCATGAGTAGGTCACCTCTCTAAGTTGGAAAAAAAGGAAGTCCCCCTCATCTACCGGCCCACCATTGTGTGTGAGGCCTAGGAATCTGCATTTTTTTAAAAAATTTTTTTTAAATTTATTTATGGTAGTCACAGAGAGAGAGAGAGAGAGGCAGAGACATAGGCAGAGGGAGAAGCAGGCTCCATGCACCGGGAGCCTGATGTGGGATTCGATCCCGGGTCTCCAGGATGGCGCCCTGGGCCAAAGGCAGGCACTAAACCGCTGCGCCACCCAGGGATCCCCGAGGGAATCTGCATTTTGGTTACATAGCTAGCCTAATGGTTTTGACTGACCAAAGTTTGGGACCCAGTCACCCGTGCCTGGGCTACTGACCAGGACATTCTGGTGATGCCTGGGGTCGTTGTGCGCATGGGAGGTACCGAAGCCAGGGGATGGGAGAGGTTCTGGGCTGGCTGGCAACTTACCTCTATAGCTTTGTCCCCTCTTCCCCCAGCTGAGAAGGATCTGGATGAAGCCTACCTGAAGCGCCGGCACCTGGCGGAGATGCCCCGCGGGACACTGCCCCTGCATGCCCTTCGGCGACCCGGCACGGGGGGCGGCTACCGCATGGATGCCTGGGGCGGCCCAGAAGAGCTGGGCCTGGCGCCCGCGCCCAACCCGCGGCGAGTCATGTCCCAGGAGCACCTGCTTGGCGACGGAGGCCGGGCGCGCTATGAATTCACCCTGCCGCGCGCGCGCCTGGTGTCGCAGGAGCACCTGCTCCTGTCGTCGCCCGAGGCCCTGCGCCAGAGCCGGGAGCATCTGCTGTCCCCCCCTCGGAGCCCCGCGCTGCCCCCAGAGCCTGCCGCCCGCGCCAGCCTGGCCGCGTCCCATTCCAACTTGCTGCTAGGACCCGGGGGCCCCCCCACGCCGATGCACGGGCTGCCCCCACCGCCCGGCCTGCACGCGCACCACCACCGAGGCCTGCACGGCTCCCCGCAGCCGGCCTGGATGTCGGACGCCGGTGGGGGAGGGGGCACGCTGGCGCGCAGGCCGCCCTTCCAGCGCCAGGGCACGCTGGAGCAACTGCAGTTCATCCCCGGCCACCACCTCCCGCAACACCTGCGCACCGCCAGCAAGAATGAGGTGACTGTCTGAAGCCAGGCCCAGGGAAGCTTGGGGGGCTGAGGCCTCGCCGGGCCCCCATCCCAGACTGAATCCCCCAACACACTCCAGGGGCCTAGGACCCAGGATCAGCCTGTGGGCAGGGGGCTGCCTCCAAGGACACTGCTTTGGATGAAATCGTCACTGGAGACCAAATCTCCTTCTGGGATGTCATGGTAGATAAGATCCCTCCTCCTATGTCGCTGTTTGAGGCAAGGCCTCTTTCCCATGACGTTATCACAGAGGAAGAGCCCTGCCTGTGAGGTCATCACTAGTGAAAATGTCTGTGTTCTGTGATGTCATCACAGGGACAAAACCTTCCCATGAATCTATCAGAGAGGAATAGGCCTGCCCCTGAGGCCATCACTAGAGGCCATGTCTATGTTCCATGAAGTCATCACAGACTTTCTCCCTGTGATGTCACAGCAGAAGACAATGCCTTGTCCTGTGACATCATCCTGAGAGACAAAGATTCCTTCTTGTGAATGTCCTTGCAGAGACGAGTCTCACCCTTATAATGTCATCTCTGGCACCAAAGGCCTCTTTTGACATCATTATCAGGAAAATATTTTCTTCCAGAGAAGATGTCTCTGTCTATAGAGTTGTCACTACAGACAAAGCCATCTTCCTGGGATACATCGCAGGGGAAACACCTTGCCAACTGTGTCCTCCCTATACATAAGACCTTTCCAGGACACTGTCACAGGGACTCTGCCTCCTTCCTGTGATGCCATCTCCAGAGAAGGTGCCTTGCCCTATGACATGATCAGAGGGACTGTGCCTCTTCCCATGATGTCATCGCCAGGGATGACAGCCCACTTCTGGGACACCTCCAGGATGAGGCCCCTTCTGCAATATTGCCACTGGACTCTGCCTGCTCCGGGGTGATGCTGTAAGACTCCTCCACTGCTGCTACCATATCATGAGCAGGCAGGGTCTGCCCAGAATCCATGGCCACCCTGGAGTCACCAGAGAAAGTGCTCTGACCTGAGAAGTTGTCTGAGGGGTGTCATCACTGGGGACACAGCCCCATCTGGAGAGGTCTCCACCAGAGATGATGGTCTGACTGTAGGTTGTTGGCAGTGGGCCCCAAGTGAGGTTCTGTCTCAATGCTGTGATGTCACCATAGACACTGCCCAGAGTTTCTGCCTTGTCCTGCCGTGACTTAACTTGGTCACTCCTTTCCCTGACACCAGGGACATGCCCTGCAGGATCCCCACCAGATCCTTCCTCTAAAGAGTGGTTGGGCCTCAGATCCCACCCCTGTGCAGTGATGTCACCTCCTGTGTGTGACTCCTGGAGGACAGGACTCCCAGACTGCCTTCTGCTCCACTCTGGCCCACCAGCCTCCCAGAGTCCTGGGACTTATAGTGGCCCAAAGGCTGGTGTCACTTCTTTCTGCCATAACTAGAGACATCATCACCTCTGTCAACAAGCTCCTAGCTTCCTGTTGGGGGTGAGGTGGGATGGGGCTGGATGGGGTGTGCCCACTATTGATTTTGCTGATGATATCATCAGTACCATAAGACTTCCACCACTCATGATGGCATTGTACCTGGGGTCAAATGCTAACCATGCCTGATGATGACATAATTTCCCAGGATTCCCTATGACCTATAATGTCCTCATCTCCCAGGATCTACCACAACCATTGTATCATCATCCTTTAGGATCCACCATGACATATTATGTCATTACCTTCCAGAATCCTCTATGGCTGATGGTAACATCTTCTATCAGGATCCACTAATACCGATGATGCCACCATTTCCCATAGTCCCCAATAATTGTGGTGTCATCACCTCTTAGGATCTACTTCAATCATAATTTCATCACCTCCCAGGATCCACTTCAACCATGGTGTCATCACCTCCCAGGATCCACTTCAACCATGATAGCATCACTCCCAGGATCTACTTTAACCATGATGTCATCACCTCCCGGTATCCTCTTCCACCATTATGTCATCACCTCCCAGGGTCCACTTCAACCATGGTCTCATCACTTCCCAGGACCCACTTCAACCATGGTGTCATCATCTATCAGGATCCGTCATAACCATAGCATCATCATTTCCTAGGACCCATGACATCAAAATATGTCATCATTTACTAGGATCCACTTCAACCTTGCATCATCATCTTGATGGCCAAGTACTACAATGACTGTATTTTGAATGTTTTCTGGGGTCCCATGGCACCTATAACTTCTCTTAAGGGGAACTAGCACAATACACACCATTTTCCCACTCCGTATAAATGGAATAGGGTGAGGACCCATCTGATGACATCATCCTTAGTTTGCCCCTTCTTAATGATGTCACTGCCTCCCTCCTGACTTGAGCTGATGCCTTCATCAACCCCACCACAGATCTGGTCTTGGCCAGACCCCATCATCCCTCTGGTGAGGGCACCCAGGTCTCTCCTGATAACCCACAGCCCTTCACCCAACCATCTGATCGGTGACAGGGTCAACACAGAAAACTTCTCATTGTGGGTGAGGAGGGCAGGGTGGGGGGGAGCTTTACAGTCCTCTGGTGATATCACTGCCCCTATTACCTGGACCCCCACCCAAAACAGCACACCACTGGCTCGGGCCAAACTCTCCTCAGAGACCGCATGGGCTGGGTGGACAGCTGCTGACCTCCCTGGGGCCTTCAGTCACATCTTCTGCTGGCCTGGTCCTGGAGCAGACACATCTGGAGGACCATGGCCACTGCCAGCGCCACGGGGGGCGGTGCTCTGCATCATTTCAAGATGGTGGAGAACCAGCGTTCTCTCCTTATCTCCCCCTCACACACCAGGGAGCCTCCAGGGGTTTTGGGGATTCCTCAACACCCAATGCACAATTTGCCCTAATTCTCTTTGTATATAGCCATGTTGCTGGGGGGCGGCCATTCCCCCACTCTTAAAGGGCTACACACCCCCTCCCCAGCCCCCAAGGCAAGGTGAGGGGGCCTCTTCTCCCTCCTCTGGGCCGTCCCCCTCCCTCCTCTGCCTTCCCCCACCCCAAATACCGGCACCTCAGCTCATCCTTTCTCATCAGGAGCCTGGGGCAGATGACTAGCCCTCAGTTCTCACCACACGAAGAAAGTGGGGAGCTAGCCCACCCTACCTGGGCCCCAGGGCCAATTTTTCCACTCCATGCTTTTAGCTGCTCCTGTGGGTTCGCCCTCGTCCCTCCCAGGGCTTCCCTGTGCCCTGTGCCCCTCAGCCGACTGTGACATCCCCAGAGAGGAGCCAGCTTGAGCGCCTGCCCTATTTCAGACCCTCTTCCCTCTGCTCTCCATCCCCATTGAGCACTCAGCTTTCTCCAGCCCCTGCAATATAGGAGTGTGGGGCCTTTCAGCTTTTGTATGCCCCCCTCGAAGCACTGTCTCCTGGCCTAGATTCCAGGTATCTTGTTCCCCTCGCCCCACTCACTCTGCCACAGGCTGCCTGACATTGAGGCCTTGGCCTCTGATCTCAAATAAGCCATAGTGGGGAGAGGTCTCAAGGGGCTGAGGAAGCAGGCTCATCCTGCCTGATCCCCCTCCATGTTTCCAGAGCTGGGACCTAGCCATCTGAGTCTTCCACCTCCTGAAAATGCACATGCGCACACTCACACACATTCTCCCCCACCCCAACTTGCAGGGGAGGGTGGAGGAGGGGTGCAGAGAGGAGATAAACAGTTCTGGACCAGAAGACTCTCCACAGCTTCTTTATCCCTCCCCCTCATTGCTCAACACCAGACCCTGCCCCCAGTCCCTTGGTGAGGACAGTGGCCAAGTGGCAACTTGTTTTGTTTTTTTTTTTTTTTTTTTGGAATAAACAGATGTTTCCTGAGCCTGGGTCTCAAGGTTTACTATCGGGAAGAAATGGGTTTCCACCTCTGTGTCTATGTCACCTGGGAGTCCCCTGCATGGCTGAGGTGGGGGCAGGCATCTAGGAATGAATCTGTCACCACACTAGGGGGCAGGGACAGAGGGTGGCTGCATGGTGCCTTTATGTCCCTGGCGTCTTCCTAAGAAAGCCTCTTCCCTCCATGCATTTAAGCATTTGTTTGCACTTACTTCTATTTGAGTCCTTTGGTGTAGTATCATTGAGGTGCTGTGCCATGTTTGCTGGAGCTGCTGTGACAAGCAGCTGAAGCAACAGAATTGTGCCACCTGCTAGTTCTGGAGGGTTGGCTCCTTCTGAGGCCAGGCAGAACTGGTGCTGTGCCTCTCTCCTGGCATGAGTGGTCTGCTGGCAGTGCCTGGCATTCCTCGACACACATCACCTTCCCTCTCTACCTGTCTCTCTGTCTACAAAGCTCCCTATTTTGTAAGGACACCAGTTGTCAGTGACTTCTAAACTCAGTCATCTGAACAGACCCTATTCCCAAGTAAGATCACGTTCACAGATCCTGGAGGTTAGGACTTCAATAGTTCTTTGAGGGGACACAATTCCAGCCATTGGGGTGGGGTGATGCCATGACACCATCCATTCAAACACCAGTTTTTAGGAGAAACAGGAAGCATTTTCCCCAGTACATTAAGATATTTGCATAATGATGATAAGAGCTGCCCCATCCTCATATTCATATTCATGTTTGACTATAAACCACAGTGGGGAGAGGAGGTGCCTCCAAAGCTTGGCTTTATGAACTTTAGGACACATCTCCCCTAGGGGCACCTGAGTGTTTGTTGAGAATTGTTGATTTCCATCTTGCATTGAAAAGCTCATTTACACAATCTTCTGGCTGTGGGTTGCGTGTACACCGCATTTCAGAATTGATTTTATCATTAAGAAAATCCCTTCCTGGGGTGCTTGGCTGGCTCAGTTGGTGGAGCATGAGATTCCTGATCTCGGGGTTGTGAGTTTGAGCCCCACATTGGGTGTAAAGAATAATATCTTTTTTAAAAAAAGGGAAACGCCTTCCTCTATGATGCATTTAAGTGTTTCCCAAATTTTAGATTTTACTCTATCAATCAGGGTTCTCCAGAAAAACAGAGCCAATAGGATGTGAGTGTATGTGTGTGTAGATTCATTTTAAGGAACTGCCTCACAATTGTGGGGGGCTGGCAAATCCAAAGTCTGTGAGGCAGGTCAAGAGGCTGGAAATTCAGGCCAGCTTTTTGTGTTACAGCCTTGAGACAAAATTCCTTCTCTAAGTTACTTCAGGTTTTGGTCTTAAGGCCTTCAACTGATTGGACGAGGCCCACCCATGTGATCTAGAATAAACTCCTTTAATTGAAGTCAACTGGTAGAATTAATCACATCTACAAGGGGCTCCTGGGTAGCTCAGTTGGTTAAGCGTTGGACTCTTGATTTTAGCTCAAGACATGATCTCATGGGTCTTGAGATCAAGCCCCACATCAGGCTCCACACTCAGTGGTGTGTCATCTTGAGATTCTCTCCCTCTTCCCCTCTCCATGCTCAGATAAATTAAAAAAAAAATCACATCTACAAAATACCTCACAGCAACATCTGGACTGGTGTTTGACACAAGAGGTAGGAACACCACACCCTTCTTGTGGGGAGGTGCCCACTACTAGGTTGCTGGAGGAAGAAGTGTGATCTGTGTTTGAAAGAGCCTCATCCCCTTCAGTATGGTTAAGTGTTCACCACTGGCCAGATCGCACTTACTCAGGGTCACTTGCTTGGTTAGAGATTAGCAGGGCAGTAGGGGATGCATGTGGTGTATTCAAGTACTGCTGTTATGTTCACTTTTTTTTTTTTTTAAGATTTTACTTCTTCATGAGAGACATAGAGAGAGAGAGGAGGAGACACAGGCAGAGGGAGAAGCAGGCTCCATGCAGGAAGCCTGACGTGGGACTTGATCCCAAGACTCCTGAATCATGCCCTGGGCCGAAGGCAGGCACTAAACCGCTGAGCCACCCAGGGATCCCTGTTGTTTGTTTTTAAAGATTTTATTTATTTATTCATGAGAGACACAGAGACATAGGCAGAGGGAGAAGCAGGCTCCCTGCAAGGAGCCCAATGTGGGACTCAATCCTGGATCCCGGCGTCACGACCTGAGCCAAAGGCAGACACTCAATCACTAAGCCACTTAGGCATTCCTGTTATGTTCACTTGTAAAGTGTCCCCAGTGGTGATTATAAGGGTTGACTGCATATTCTCAGGAATCACCTTCAAAAAAAAAAAAAGATTTTATTCATGAGAGATACACAGAGAGAGGCAGAGACACAGGCAGAGGGAGAAGCAGGCTCCATGCAGCGAACCGGACATGGGACTTGATCTTGGGTCTCCAGGATCACACCCTGGGCTGAAGGCGGTGCTAAACCCCTGAGCCACCTGGGCTGCCCATGGAATCATATCTTTTCATTAGTGTTTTTGTCTGCAGATAATTAGGGGTGGGCCATGCTGTGCACCTGAGCCTGGGTTTACCAAGCACTCACAGATTCTCCTCCTAGATGCACAGAGGGCCCATACTTCCCTGCCCCCTTGAGCTCAGATGTGCCCTTGTGACCTGTGTGGAGTGGGAACCGAAGTACCTTTCCAGGTAGACACTTCTGAGAGCCAGTGTGCAGATGGATCCTCCTGGGGAAAACCCTGCTATGCTCACTGGCATTCTCTCAGGTAGTACCTGCTCTGCCGGCCTGGGCCCAGAATAAGAGTGATGCCAGATAGGGACTCCAGCCAAGCTTCAAAAGGTATGTGGTGTGAGGGAGGAGTAACCCTGTTCCTTTAACAACTGGGCCTTTGAGGCTACTCATTACTGCAGCATAGTGGGGCCTATTCTGGCTAGTACAGTTTGCCTGTGGAAGGGAAAATGGACATCTAGAGTTCGTCAACATAAATTCTTTTGTGCTTCTGAATTTTTGCGTCAGTGTACCACCTATTTTTAAAAAATCAGTTTGAACTTAAATGTAAGGGGTGCAGGCTTAGACTGGCATTCCCCTCACTGGGCACAGGCCCAGGAGTAGCTGGGAGATGCCAGGCTTGTCCCTTGGCCCTGCAGGGTGACCAGCTTCCCACTCAGAGTTGGAATGCCAGGGCTTGAAGGCATGCATTTTCCATTGAACACGGCCTGTATGCCAGTCCCCTACTTCATCTGTGTTCCACCAGGAAGAGAGCAATCTGATCCACATACCCCATCCCCTGTCTGTGCAAGTCAAGGATCAGAGTTGACATGAGCATTCCTGCCTGTGCGGCCTAACATGCTTAATCTGCAACTCCAACCAGTCAGTCAACACAGCCCCTCTGCAGCTATTCTTAACCTGTTTGACGGGGAGGGTTTGCGTGCTTCTGAATTCTACACCAGATGTCTGCATATGCTATGCCCTCTCCATCTTTTCACTTTGTGCTTTGAATCATTTCAAACTTGCAGAACAGTTACAAGAGCTCCTGTATACCCTTGGCCAATTCACTGGTTGTTAACATTCCAACACACTGTTTTAGGATTTCCTCTCCCTATAAAGATTCATTTTTTTTCCCTCCAGAAGCATTTGAGAGTGAGCTGCATACGTCAGACCCCTTGATCCCCAAAGGGACATTTCTTTTTTTTTTCTTTTTTCTTTTTTTTTTTTTTTTTTTTGCCAAAGGGACATTTCTGAAGAACAAGGACATCCTCTCACACATCCACAGTACAATGATCCAGTCCAGGGACTTAACACTGATAGAATCCATGTTTGACAAATGATAATTTTCTAATTTTACCATTCCTCTAGCATTGGCCAGCATTTGTGTGTGATCTTTCCAGGGAAAAGGATTCAGGACCTTCATCAGGCTGTGAGACACCAGTGATTCCAACAACAAATTCACCATAATGTTCAACTGCGGCAGAGTATGGCATAGCCTGTCGACTCATGGAAGTGGCATATCCCAGTGCCTATCCATACACGTTCCAGTTTTCACCATTTTTCATTATTATAAACAACACCCTGAGAGACATCTTTTGTGTACCAGTTGGTGCATTCACTCCTTTTTCCCTGGAATGAGCTCCCAGGACAGGAATGTCCGAGTTGGAAGGCAGTGTGTTTTAAAGATTTGCTACTAAGGGGCACCTGGGGGTCTCAGTCTGTTAAGCATCCAACTCTTGGCTTTAGATCAGGTCATGATCTCGTGGTCTTGAGATCCAGCCTTGTGTTGGGCTTGGCACTCAGCAGAAAGTCTGCTTGGGATTCTCTCTCCCTCCGCCCCTCCTCCATCTCAAATAAAATAAATAAAATCTTAATAAACAAATAAAGGTTTGCTACTCAAATGCCAAGCTGCAACCTCAAGAGCCCTGTCAGTCCACGTGTGTGAGAACTCCAGCCTGCTCCCATCCTCACTGGCACTGACCTGTTTAATCTGGGTGTGCATCAGAGTCTATGGGCTTTGCAGCCATTAAAGGAAGCCCCCAGGGCCATGAAGTGTGTTTGTATCCTTTGTGGAGACTGCCCTGCTTTCTAGGACTGAGCCTGCAGGGGGCCGGGCAAGCATTTTATTACCAGCGCATCCATCACTAGAGGGACAACCTGATCCATCTCGGGCGAATTCACCAATCAATGAAGGGCCCTCCCACCCAGGAGAGCTCCAACTTCTGCTCTCCGAACAAAAAGGGAACACGGGGATCCCTGGGTGGCGCAGCGGTTTGGCGCCTGCCTTTGGCCCAGGGCGCGATCCTGGAGACCGGGGATCAAATCCCACGTCGGGCTTCCGGTGCATGGAGCCTGCTTCTCCCTCTGCCTGTGTCTCTGCCTCTCTCTCTCTCTCTGTGACTATCATAAATTAATAAAAATTAAAAAAAAAAAAGGGAACACAGCTCTTGTTAATCACCTACAGACTATGAGCTTGGAGAT